CAAAAANGAAATAGATAAGCAATTTAATATAAGTAAGTCGATTTTGCAGAGACATGTAACAAGATCAATGAAATCTCAAGGTGGACAAAAATGTCTAAGTAATACATAATAAAATATTTAATATTTGTTCAGAGTGGGGGTATTCATCTGATTTATCCATGGAATAACCGACACACCTAATCTCTTAACCCAGATAGAAATATCAGCCCCCTAGGTACTTACCAAGAACGGAGAAATATAAACCGTTTCTAAGAAAGCCCACTATATATGTGTAAATATATATATATAAATTGTTGTTACTGCACTGTCGATTGCACCTATAATTGAGGAGATGTCTGCCATGTACTTTTGTCAGTTTTTCAATTTTTTTTATTGATGATCACTTTGTAGGCGCAACTAAATAAATAAATAAATTAAAACTATATATAAAAATAAAAGTAGTGCCAACCCTAGCAAATTTCTCATTTCGTCCCAATTAACCGCAATTTTCGGGTAAATAGGGATTACACCTATTTTTGCATTTTTTGCTTAAACTGGAATGCTAGTTGCATAATTTTACATTAGACAACAAAGATGCCCCCAAGACTCAATCATTTTGATCCTGATATAGCATTATATACATCAACAACTACCTTAAAATTGCTCATAAAGTTGGAATTTGTCCCTAATCGCCCCATTTTACGGTACCTATTGACAGTCACATTATGTTTAGATTTCTAAATTGTAAATGACTAATAGGTATTTTGCCAATTGAATTGACTAATTTAATTTCATGCTATTTGATTAATGTTCCAAATTCTTTTCAATTCATTTCAATTCCTATTAACATTTTTCACAAAAAAATTATAAAATATTAGGCTGTATGGTATGATACATTTGCCTTTCCAGTTGGAAAAATACAGCAACTACTACTACTGACATTTGACAAGTACCGTAAAATGGGGCGATTAGGGATTGAGAGGCGAATCGGGAAAAAACCGGGAAAATCTTTCGACGCTTAATATTAGTTTTATATTCGTTGCAAAATCTTCCATTTTTTGTAGTTTAATAGTAGAATGTTGAAAGTTCACAAAACAACTCTGAATATGCATGATAATAGCTGCTAACTTACAAAAAATCGCGTTTCAAATTAACTTCCTGTGGTGGTCATTATTTTAGTGCTAGAAACTTTGCTCTCTTTTATTTATTTGATAATAATAGAAGACGACTGTGATTTATAAACGTTATTTAGTGTTTGAACCATCATATATATTAAAGGTAAGTCTCAGTTGTTATTGGTTTTAATGTATTTGATAAAATAAAAATACATGTAAAAATCTGTTGTTTTTGGGGATATTGGGGACGACTTAGGTACAAATAACAACGAAAAAGGGGTCAATTGGGATGAGAATACGTGAAATGTAAACGAAGTAAGTATAAATAGGTACAGGTTTGTTGGGTTGTCTATGTAGTTATAACAATATTTTTTAAATTTGTTAGTAAAAATCTGGTTTATTCATGATGTTGTTGTCTAGAACTTTTATTCAAAATTATCAATGTGTTATTTTATTGTTTGGTAAATTTTTATATTATCAGTTACGTATTGTTTTCTATTTTTAGATAATGCCTCGCGTGTACGTATCAAAGAGTGCAAAGCCTTATAAGAGATATGATCCTTTAATATTAAAAACAGCAATAGAAGCCTTTGAAATTGGGAATAAGTCTTTAGTTGAAATAGCTAAGCAATTTAATATAAGTAAGTCGATTTTGCACAGACATCTAACAAGAACAATGAAATCTCAAGGTGGACAAAAATGTCTAAGTAATACATAGTAAAATATTTAATATTTGTTCAGAGTGGGGGTATTCATCTGATTAATCCATGGAATAACCGACACACCTAATCTCTTAACCCAGATAAAAATATCAGCCCCTAAGTACTTACCAAGAAGGAAGAAATATAAACCGTTTTTAAGAAAGCTTACTCTCCTTTGGGACTACAATAATGTCCACGGTAGCATGGTCTCCGTCATTGTTCATTCGGAGTTGTCAGATTACGCTGAACTAATTTTAAGTGATGAAATAGATTTTTTTTTAATTGTATCACAACTTATAGGACAAATCTGTCGCGGATCATTTCCCAAGTAAATATAAATTAATCATAAGTAAATAAATGTAATCAAGTTGATGATCATTTTGTTGGTGCAACTAAATAAATAAATAAATTAAAACCAAGTAGTGGCAACCCTAGCAAATTTCTCATTTCGTCCCAGTTAACCGCAATTTTCGGGTAAATAGGGATTACACCTATTTTTGCTTTTTTTGCTTCAACTGGAATGCTAGTTGCATAGTTTTAAATTGGACAACAAAGATGCCCCCAAGACTCAATCATTTCGATCCTGATACAGCATTATATACATCAACAACTACCTTAAAATTGGTCATAAAGTTGGAATTTGTCCCTAATCGCCCCATTTTCCCGGTACTTAATTTCAATAGTAGCAAAGAATATGTAATGCCGGCCACTGACATGCGTGCAAATATTCGTACATTGTACGAATGTTTGCTCGCATGTGAAGGGCCGTCAAACATTCATTCGCAAACTTAGCAGCTGTGCAAATGGGTTCGCATACTCAATTTGCGAACCCGTTTGCGCTTCCTTCTACACTTGTTTACGAATGTCTCACGAATTTCTCCTCCTTTTTAATTCGTCAATAGAACATTGAAGAGAAAAAGTGTTTTAAATTCTTTCCCATACATCATTAACAGCCATGCTGTTTTTATGGGGTTTCTTTTAATGAAGATACGCTACACAGTAGACGTCACGAACTATGAAAATGGCGATACGTCCGTTACCTTCGCAATCGTCGGCGCAACTGGGTAAACGAATGTGTGGGAGACTACGCGAAGGTTCGCGGTTCGCGCGCTTTGATGTCTGTTAAAAAACCGACACAGCTTGGAAAACCACGAATGCAGCGAAAACTTTGCATAATCATTTGCAAATGTCGTCCCACACTTGCGGGTTTGCGTATTCGTGCGCATGTGAGTGACCGGTATAACACTACGTTTAAATAGTAGTTTGATGTCATTTCCGTTGCATACCTGCGTGACGTTCTGTAAAAATTTTACCCTCATGCGTCTAAAGAAGTTTCACTTCAAAAATAAAGCGAATTAAGCTAATGAAATGACACATTTCTCTCGACCTAACCATAGAATAAACACTTAATATGACCTAACCATGACATAACCCCGTCCGGCGCCCCACCTCTATTATCAAATAAAATCCAAAAGGGATTGTGTCATCAATATCACACATTTCGAAGGTTATAACCACGGAATAGATAAATAAGGTTGGAATGGTAATGTAGGCGGGGCAAGCGTGCCACAGTTATGTTTCTACAATCATAACTCGACCGATTCTTTCATTCACCGCGTTTAGTGCGTTTCGGACTACTTTGGCGAACAGATCTCCTCTTTATAGTGCCGTGTTGTGCAATTATAACTTGTAAAACAAAAAATCAGACCTCAAGTATAGAGCGAGGAGGTATATCTTTCGATCGGTAAGTCGAAATTACCATTTAATTACAATATTATTTGTCTAAAACACAAAAATATACTGAGCATTATGAAATTCCAAACATTAACAATATTATTGCAGCAAGTTATAAATAGCATACATTGCGCGATGTGTACTCGCCCAATGAACGCAATGACCAAGTCAGCTTCCAATGTACTATATGCATTGCGTTCTCTACACTTCAATCTTTGAAATTTGCCCTGATTGGCCGTGGTGCAGTTTGTCGATAGTGAGGTGACCATGTGGTGAAATAAAATAATCGACAGAATTCTCAACTATATTTACATTTGACATGGATAATTTTTGCATTATTTTATATTTAATTAATGATACCTAGTATATTCTTAGTGAGACGTATTTTGAGTAAAATAAATATGTATTATTATTATTGAATTATTATCATTGAATTAATGTGAAGGTATAATATAAAGGGACATGTAGACCTCTCATTTACGGGTATTTACTATATTGTCTAAGACGTATTAAAATCTAAGTAAAATGCTATTTGACTTATGCAGTAAATTAAAAATTTTAGGTTTCCTAAAGAACCTAACGCCAGGGAACAATGGATTGACGTGACAGGTAGAGGAAACTGGAGACAAAGACGAGTACTATTTGCTCTAAACATTTTACTGAAAATGATTTTACCATAAAAAAATCAGAATACACTTAGTTTTGAAAAATTCATTCGCAATTAATAGCAAGCGCCAACTGCTTAACAAATACGTTTTATTCCAGGAACAGTGACTTTTTGTAATTAATAAAAGTAAAATAGTTTTCTTTTTCAATATTTATTTCATGTTTCATTTTCTCCATTCATTCATCAGATAATTTATCGATAAAGAATATCGATTTTATGAAGCACTAGCGTGTATGAACATTTTTATTGCCTTTTTGCGTGTGTGAGTGTGTATGCCTACGGGTGTTTTGTGCTAGTTTGCGAACAAATATCTGTCCTGAGATTTATGTGTGGGTGTTTTTGTTGTGTGCGAAATACTTGTAATCACAGTATGTGTATGTGTAGAAATTAAAATAGTAGGGATGAAGCGGCGACACTGGTTCTAATACAAAATTAGAGCAAAGGCCTTTCCAACCTTATTTATCTATTCCGTGGTTATAACTAATTCGACTGTAAAGGGTTGATCAAATTGATCAAAATGTCAGCTCACCTCATGTATCCAACAGGCCTTATATGTTGCAGATGCAGCAAATTTCTATTTATAATACTCAGTATTTATATTTCATTAAAATATTTATTGATTCAAACTTCTGTTGTTTTTTAAAACCAATATCTTTATTGTTATATTATTATTATTATTATTTTGATCTTTAATTTTTTTAATAGTTTTTTGGTACTTGTGTACCTTATAAAATGAAAATAGCTTTTTGGGATGTAATGCAGGTCAAACATGAAGTATAACCAAACACATATCTAAAAAGAAGGCACCAAGATACCTAAAAAGAAGGCACTTTATAGATCTAAATTTATTTATTTGTTGATAAATGACAATATTTTACACAAAATTCCACAAAACAAAAGACACCATTGGTTACAAATATAGCAAGTAGTAAATTACTACTGTTATTGAAGTACCAGACCAATTTTATTCGGGGCCATACTAGGACATCTCCAATTATACAAATAATATTGCAAATTTCCATCACCAATCCCAAATTTTAGAGGTTCAAGAAATTCTTTGTTATCCATCAAATCTAGTGCATTAAACACATCAAATCCTGAATTTTTTGCTGTTATTAATGCATCCAGCATCAAATCCACCCAAGGTGTCTTGGTTGACACATTATAGAATGAATAAGCTGCTTTTAGTGTTTTGTGCACTGGATGGTAAACAACAGTTGAAGGCAATGTATAATAACTGACGAAATCAGTTATTGTAGAATTAGGACCTTCCACAACAAAACTATCAATTATTCCCACTTGTGGTGTAAACCAATGTTTAAAATCTTCATCAGAAAATATAGGTGCCAAATCAAATTTTTTTAAGTAATCATTGAGTAATTTTACTACTGCTTCACAGTCTTGAATCTCCATTTTGCGGAAACCTGGTGTTTTTGGCATGTCTGGTAACTTAAAGAGTTTAAGCGTTCTTTGCATTGTCATATTACGTGACAAATGACTGAATTTTATGTCAATTAATTTCTTTGGATTAAGAGACCTATGCCAATAGCGACATGTGGCAATAGGCTTAGGCAACACAATTCCAGCTGTATACACANCTGCTTCACAGTCTTGAATCTCCATTTTGCGGAAACCTGGTGTTTTTGGCATGTCTGGTAACTTAAAGAGTTTAAGCGTTCTTTGCATTGTCATATTACGTGACAAATGACTGAATTTTATGTCAATTAATTTCTTTGGATTAAGAGACCTATGCCAATAGCGACATGTGGCAATAGGCTTAGGCAACACAATTCCAGCTGTATACACACCCTGGAATATACCAGTTAAGTTAACTCTTCTTGTTATTTCCCTTATTAAGACAGGAGCTACTCGCTTAGAACGCAATTTTTTGTGCACACAAAGAAAATTTATTTCAACAACAGTTTGAACATGGTTATATATTCTTAAATCAGCAGGAGTTGCTGAAATGAAACCAACAAGCCGTCCAGATTTCACCACACGAACACCACAATGCCATTCCATTTTCCAACCAGGTGGTTGTAGAGCCCATTTCAAAAAATCAGTTTGGTAATCAAAACGAAACATACAATCATCATCTTCCACATAATTTTCATTAAGTAAAGTGTACAGTTCTTTCAATACTAAAGGTTCGTTCAAATTCAAAGTATCCCATTGGAATCCGTCAGGTAAAGTATAGGGTTCTGCCCTTATTTCTTCCGGTGATTTTGGTAGTTCTATAGGCTCGTTGGCAATAATTTTTTCATCCATTTTTGGCACCGGTTGGGTTGACCAGAATTGGTATGCTTTATGCAATGCCTCCTCTGTAGTTTTTGCAGGCTTTTGCTGTAAATTTAGTACCTCCATTGCCATTTTTAAGTCTTTTAATGAAATGTTTTGATGACCTTCAGTTGGATCTGGCATTGATGACGAACTCTCATTTGCCGTAGATATACCATGATCTCCGTCTCCACCACGTTTTTTCTTGTTTTTATTTTTCTTTTTCTGAGGTTTCTCATCGTTTTCTTTACTAAAATCACAAGATACGCCCGTTTTCGTTTCTTCCATTTCGAACGATTCAGAAAACCTGAGGTTAGTTTTTTAGGTAGGTTTTTAATATTTATACGGCTACTGGCCATTTCACCTTTTAGCCAATCATGGTTATTTTATGGTAATATTCAATGACTATTATTCTATGGATTTTTATTAGAACTTGAGAAAAAATATGTGTGTAGCGTTCTTTCACAGATACTAAGAATATACTGCAGCCACAATTTGTACAAGTTACAGAACAATCGCATTATTTTGAAGCTATGTGAATTATTTTATTATTTTTTCGTGTAGATAGCAGTGACTTTAAGTGTGTAAAAAAGTGAAAAAAATATATGTGTCGGTTTGTGAAGTAAAACAAAATAACGAAACTGTAATTTCGATGAAAAATTCTAAAACATCCACGTAATTTATTCTAATTTATAAAAGTGTGTTAGTATATTATTTCGCACTCTGCGACTTAAAGATTGGACTTTGCTACCCAAGAACTTTAAATTATATCAATTTCTTACAAATACAAAACTGTAATAAACGAATTTACATACACAACTAAATAAAATTTTAAATCAATATGTGTATACACTATAGATCATTCAGGCTCTTCAGTATTTCAAGTATTTTTTGCCTTTTTAAAACGAAGGTATCTAATGTAATTTGTGTTTTCCTTTTACTCTTTGTAAGGATAAGGCATCCTGGGTAATATCCCAACCGTCTCGGCTGAACCCATGCTCACCCACTTCTAAGCTAAAAAATACTGTATGGGATGTAATCCGTTTGCCTTTCCAATGGACGAACAAAGTCGAACTTAGCCATCTATGCTCGAATCACAATAATTTATTGGGATACCTGCTTCAAACCTGTTGAAATTTTGTACCCAACAAACTTAAATGTTGTAGTTGTTGATGTAAGGGAAATAAACTGATTTGTCTGAGTATTTGTGTCTGCTTATTGGAATAATTTTAGTAAGTAATATCGTAATAAATCATTAAGTATCATAATCACCAAATATCGGAATGAATTAGATCGAAGAAAACGATATTGTAAAAAGAAATAGAAAGTCCTCAAGTTATATGTATGTTAGTGAATTGGTTTCTGTTGCTGATGTTGTACACGTCGCTTACGCGTCACTAGCTGTTTCATGTAACATTTCACAGATTTCAGTACTTTCATGGAATGTTTCATGTTAATAAAAGTTACTTTTATGGTTTTATATTAAATCTGATCATCATTAAATCATTAAACCTATATTTACATTTTCATTTATTAANTCCTCAAGTTATATGTATGTTAGTGAATTGGTTTCTGTTGCTGATGTTGTACACGTCGCTTACGCGTCACTAGCTGTTTCATGTAACATTTCACAGATTTCAGTACTTTCATGGAATGTTTCATGTTAATAAAAGTTACTTTTATGGTTTTATATTAAATCTGATCATCATTAAATCATTAAACCTATATTTACATTTTCATTTATTAATCGTTTTATATTTATTAAGCGTTGTTTATTAAATTGAACAAAATAATAAATCAAAATAAAATGTTGTGTGTAAACTATTAAATTTCTTCAAACGAGGCTTTAGGAGGGTTCTTAGCAGTAGGCAGCAGTTTGGCTGTGCCTCTGGCATTACTAATGTCCATAAGCGATGGTGAATACTTACCGTCTGTTAGGCTGTGTTACTCATCTGGCTACAAAGGAATAAAAAAAGTTATTTAAATGATATAAAGATGTATAACATTGTGTAATTTTCTGTTTCAGGGTTGTTTGTATATTTTTATTATTAATGCAGTGACAAAATGGCGGAAAAAGAACAAGTAATTCAAGCCCTACGTGCAACATTACTATCAGTCAAAGGTGCACTAACTCTGAAACAGTGTAATCGTAAGTACCATGATTTTATTTTTAAAAAAGTAAATTAATTTACCATTTAAGCAGTTACCACTGTTATAAATTTGAAATATCTCAAACTTTCCAGAGAAAATAGGGCTTACAGTTACCATTTGTGAAGCTAAAAGGGGAATAATATATAGCAAAAACAAAAACTATGTTTATTTCTTACAAAATTTGGCTTCAGAAACTGCAATTATTTTCCTATCCACTGAATGCTGATTATATAAAGCTATAGTTTTTAATTATTTATAAAAACAGATTACTGAAATCTGAATATACTTACAATACTGAAGTTAAGGACAACTATCAAGCTTTTATTGTAGCTTTTCTCTATTACTTCTGAAGGCAGATGAGCTTACAACCCAACCAATGGTAGAGAAAAATTACAAAATAAGATCGTTAATATGTTTAGTAAATTGTTAATTTTAATTTCATTAAAATGTTTCCTCCTTTCATTGTTTTACAAATAATTAGCAGGACTTGAAATAGACAGAAATGTCTCAAAATCCCTAGAACACATTAGCTGGAAATAATTTCTAATCAAGAGGGTAGCTATTGGTATTTTTAATGTCCATTTTTTTTTAATGTAAAATATTGGTGACAGTAGAGCAGCATATTATGAGCCTCAGATGCCCTATCCACTATTTTTTGGATGAAGCAGTTATCTCTTTGAAGTTTGAAGTTGACAGTTTAAAGAAAATTACATTGTGATGTTGATAAGCCCTGGTAACCATTATGACAAGTTGGACTGTAAGCTTATTTGCCCATAGATAGTATCTGTAAAGCAGATCATCGGTGTGTGAGTTTTTTAATGTTCTTGATAGCATAAAAGTGAACTCAAATTTGTATTTTGAACTTGTTATGGTCATTGTGGTGGAAAGGATAAGACTTCTGGTGTGTTCATATCTACCGATGAACCATGTTCAAATCCCGCAGGCAGATACCAATTTTTTTAATGAAATACGTTCTTGTCAAATGTTCACGATTGACTGCCACACATAAGGAATAACATCGTGTAATAAAAATCAAACCCACAAAATTATAATTTGCGTAAATACTGATGGTAGGACGTCTTGTAAGTCCGCGCGGGTCTGTCCCACCACCCTGCCTATTTTTGCCGTGACGCAGTAATACGTTTTGGTTTGAAGGGTGGGGCAGCCGTTGTAACTATCCTAGGACTTAGAACTTCTAACTTATCAAGGTGGGTGGCGCATTTACGTTGTGGATGTCCATGGGCTCTAGTAACCACTTAACACGAGGTGGGCTGTGAGCTCGTCCACCCATCTAAGCAAAAAAAATAAATAAATAAAAGCGGTGCGCCTTTGCTGGTGTTCAAATAAGCGGTAATGCGTTTCGGTGGGTAGAGTTGGAAAGCTGTTTATAATTGAGTCTTGGTTGGTCGTACTCATGTTGCGATACCTATGAGCTATGATAACCACCTAATACCAAGTAGGCCTGAAGCTCGTTCGACCACGCTATAAATTAAAGAAAATCTCTTCCTTATATGAAAAAGTTCATCAATAAAAATAATTTTCCGTATTTAGTATTTTTCCTAAATGCAATAAACCCAATTAATTTATATTTCAGGTGATTATAAAGAACTACAAGGAGAATGGATACCATTCAAAAAATTGGGCTATCCGTCATTAGAAAAGCTTTTTTTGGATGTGTCAGGTTTTAAAGTATCCCAAGTTAACGGGGAATGGTATGTAGATGCAATAGCTAGTCAAGAGACCCAACATATTGCTGCTATGGTAGCTCGTCAAAAACCAAGCAAAAAGTCAGGCTCTAAAGTAAATTACTTGGTAAGTCTTACTAGGATTAATTTGATTTTTTTTTAAACATTGGGTTTGAAATTTTGAAAACTAGGATAGAGAATGCTGCTTCATATTTTCCAGGAACTTTAGCTATCTTACATTAAACACTCGGTTTGGGAAATATTCAGGACAGTTGCATGAATATACATACATATACTACCCGACAAACCTTCAGAACGAGGTACACGCAATCAGGCCATAAAAAATAATTGTTTGGACTTTAACTTTGGAACAACAAACGACATCTTCCCGTTCATTTGCATTTTATTTTGTCATTTCAATGACAAGGTTATGTTCAAATAAATTGTTAGGTACAAAAAATTCTTCTGTTTGTGTAAGAAAATGATTTGGTCTTGCTTAATCGACCAATGAAATGAAAGAAAACCTATCCTATACCAAATATTTTATTGTTGTTGAGTTGTTGTTGATGAGTACAGTGGTTCTAGTTGATTCTGAACGCCCGCCCAACTACCGTTTGTTTAATGGTAGACAATAAATGATGTATCCATTAAGAAAAAAATATCAATATCAGAGCGCACCTAAGGAATATCGAGATAAAACAGAGAGCCAAACTTGTGACCTTTCAATGAATTCCTTAGAATAAACCCGAACACCAATAATTATAAAATAAAATTGTTACAACTTCTACATTGTGGAAGTGTTCTATTTCCTGTCACATTACATAACTTTATCAATGAGATTTTCTATAGAACCTGACAATATGTGAAATTGATATTGCAACTAAAAAAACTTTAATTGAAATTTGAAATATTTTCAGAATCGATTACCAAAAAAGCAAGGAATATGGAGGAAGCCAGCTTCAAACAATACATTAAATTATGGAAGTCAGTATTCCAATCAGTACTATAGAGCAAAAAGTGGAGCACCACTTAATAACAACTCTTACAACAACTACAAGGTAAGTTCAACTAAATCATAAAATTATGTTTTTTATTGCATTAAACAGTAAGATCACGGTTCATCTGGTGTGGAGCCGCCGCTGTGACCAGAAATGAAAGTCTTAATTGTATTTCATAACGGTTATCCTATCGTTTAAACCCACTTCGCAGTAGGATTTGGGTGGTAGTGCCTACCCGTGCGGGCCACTGTACTGCTTTGCCGCCAGTAGAAACGGAAAGGGGAATACCCATTTCAGGCCCAAAGCGGACAATAGATTAGAGAAAAAATACTTAGTGTATTAATTTTGTCATAAATAAATATACATTTACTTTCTTCCAAATGAGCGCCACTATAGCTTAAAAAAAGTAACTCTATTGAAAAAACAAGGTTTTTGATTTTTGCGGGAATAATATTGCCAGCATCAAAACCTTTTACGTATTAAGTAAACATTTTAAGTATATAAATAAAACATTTTAAGTATTATCATTAATCAATCGATTTTAATCGATTATAAGCACATAAAATAACATCAAAGGCATACCCTTTGGACTTTAACTTGTAGCTATACTTGAGACCTTAGAACTTATATCTCAAGGTGGGTGGCGCATTTACGTTGTGGATGTCTGTGGGCTCCAGTAACCACTTATCACCAGGTTGGCTGTGAGCTCGTCCACCTATCTAAGCAATGGTACCCACCTGCACGGACTCACAAGAGGTCCAACCACCAGTAAAAACTTGTGCTTACATTCAAAATGGATGTTTTTATTTTTCTTCGATTTATTTTACTGGCTTTGTTTTATGGATTTTAACCTCTCTTCAACGACGACTTTGGCTCAGGAGTTAAGGATCACAGCTGCATTCGATTATGGATACCGATCAATAACGTTTCACACTGCGGCTGAAAAACATTGTGTGAATTGTGGTTTTAACCTGACCGAGATTCAAAACCGTGTATATGCCCTCCTATGCTATTTTTAGATGATTTACTAATTGTGTATGAAGATAAGGAAAATATAGATATTTAAAGAAGCATGTGTGTTTTTTTATACCCTAATAACTACAATTGGATAAAAAAACATTAGGTACATTTCTCTTATCATATTTAATAAATTAAATATTAAGAAAAGTTCTTGAAGTATCTCACAATCCGACACTTATTTATATAGAAAATTTACCTCAAAACGAATTTTTACTTTTATTATTTTTTTATAATAGTGGCGTCAATTTCAATATATTTTTTAGATATCCAATACATTTAAGAATTTGAAACAGTCCATTTTTATAGTAATATTTGGTATCCATCTTGGGCCCAGCACACTATGGAGGGTGGGCATTCCCCTTTACAAATTATACTTAATACCATTATCGTCTTAACTTTGTAATAATTTTGAAAAGACGATTCTATTACATTAGTGTAATATTTTCACAAGCATTAAGGTAAATTAGGACCATTATTTTTTATTAATTTGTTTCAGAATGTCAAACATAACAACACACATAAAACGATCGAAACGAAAAATAATAGTACAATTCCGAAACAGCCAACGAAAACAGCAACGACTGAATACTCAGAAAATACCGCAACGAAAAGTTCTGCTCAGCTTCCACAATTACGAAGTCATAGCTCTGTTTCTGAAGAGGTATATTGTCCGACGCAAATATGATATGCACGAACATTGTGTGTGCACCACTACACCACTGTGTCTACAACTTCTTATAATATACGTATGGTTCTATATTTTTAGTTCCCAAGCAGGAACCTACACATATCATATCGTGCGATTGACAGTTCTAGTTTGAAGTAGCCATTGGCTTGGCTGCGCTTATGTGTAAAATAGGTAACGTTTTTAATTCAAATTTCAATGTGGTTGCAACCACGGTCCCTATTTGGTGTAGAAAAAAATTACAGTCCATTCTAAACTCGTTTTTCATTTCAATAGGCTAAAAATTATAATTCATTAATTACATTATGATTTAATTACTTTGATACTCAGTTTCGTAATTCGATTTATCTTACCTATGTTTGTCTTTCTTTTTAGGATTATATTGGTTTTATCATTATATAATTTGTTTTCTGAACTAAGAATAATACTCTAAGTTATCTAATTAATTAATGTATAATATGTAGATAACAAGATTATTGTTGCAAGTTGCCTTAAATCTAAATATTTCATAAAACGCCAACTCGTACGGATCAAAATGCATTGGTAGTTTGCTTAGCACTGCTATAGCATTGCTATAGCACCCGCTAGCTTATTTCGTATATTTTGATAGGCAACACAGTGGATGACATTTTGATTGAAATACTAACTTGACTTCTCGTGCAAATGATAACGCTATTAATGACCGTTACTGTGAATTATCCGGTCACCGTTCTCGTCGAACCCGACGCTTGCGTCGAAGGGCTCGACGAGTAAATTAACTCTCAGACACAGCCCACTGAGTTTCTCGCCGGATCTTCTCAGTGGGTCGCGTTTCCGATCCGGTGGTAGATTCTGCGAAGCACGACTCTTGCTAGGGTTCGTGTTAGCAACATCGTCAGGTTTGAGCCCCGTGAGCTCACCTACTANAGCCCACTGAGTTTCTCGCCGGATCTTCTCAGTGGGTCGCGTTTCCGATCCGGTGGTAGATTCTGCGAAGCACGACTCTTGCTAGGGTTCGTGTTAGCAACATCGTCAGGTTTGAGCCCCGTGAGCTCACCTACTAAAGTTAGGGTTACGCTGACATAGCCTCTCAAGGCTCTCAGCTTAGGTAGGAAAAAAAAAAAAAAAGTGAATTATAAATTATAATATTACAGTAATTTTTTAGTAACTATTTATATGAAAAGCGATGTCGAACGAGGTGTGTGAAATAATAATTCATTCATATACGGATTACAACATAGTGAAACTGTAAACTTACGGCCTAGTTTCAACAGATGTTTGATGAATCGTTATGTTTCAGCATAAACAATCTGCACGAACAGGCAAAGACATTGAAAATAAAAGTAGCGGAAAAGTTTCTGCGTCACAGAGGCTCTCGAATTTACGGGATCGTCTTAGCACTGTTGATCTGATACCTCTACAATTGCCAGCAGCTAATAATGAAATTGTTGTGAGTATAACAGTAACAACAATATTGTGTATAGTTTTATATGATTTGTGGACCATCGGTCTACCGAGCAATCTGGTCTAGGGAGACCAGCGGTCGGGGAACCGGAATAAATTACCCCAAATGGGGTAAAATGAAATTTTGGGGGGTAAAAATGAAACTTGTGAGTAAAAAGTATACCTAGTCAGGTCATAAGTATTGTCACACAGTAAAAACTTTTCTTTTAGAATGCTGGCCACAAAAAAGTTTATTGAATTCGAATTTCGAATTGTTCATCGAAATAAAAATGTATACTTTTAGAATTTTACTCATTTTTAAATATGGAGTGGACGCTTAAAGAAGACCGTGTTGCAATTATTGCGTTCATCGTTGCGGTTACGCGCCAATTCAAATTGTTAACATACAACACTGTGAAAAAACAACATTGTGAAAATTTTGAATATAACCAAAAGATTCGTTTATCGTACCATCAAACGATACAATGAAGACTCTAGTGTAGATGACAGGTCAAGAAGTGGTCGCCCTCGGTCTGTTAGGACTCCAGCAGTGATAAAAGCTGTGAAGGCGCGAATTCAAAGAAATCCCAAACGTAAGCAGAAACTGTTGGCCCTTCAGATGGGGTTAAGCAGAACCACGGTGAAAAGGGTGTTAAATGAAGACTTAGGGCTTCGGGCATATCGAAGAAAAACAGGACATCGTTTGAATGCTCGTCTAATGGACCTGAGACTGAAGAGATGCCGCGCTTTGTTGAAGCGGTACGCGGGAAAAAAATATCGGGAAATTCTTTTTTCGGATGAAAAAATTTTTACCGTAGAAGAGAGCTACAACAAACAAAATGATAAGGTGTACGCACACAGTAGTGAAGAAGCGAGCAACCGTATTCCGCGTGTCCAACGAGGTCATTTTCCATCCTCGCTCATGGTATGGTTGGGAGTTTCTTATTGGGGCTTAACAGAGGTACATTTTTGTGAGAAAGGTGTAAAAACGAATGCAGTTGTGTATCAAAATACAGTCCTGACGAACCTTGTGGAACCTGTTTCTCATACCATGTTCAATAACAGGCACTGGGTATTCCAACAAGATTCGGCGCCAGCTCATAGAGCGAAGAGCACACAAGACTGGCTGGCGGCGCGTGAAATCGACTTCATCCGGCACGAAGACTGGCCCTCCTCCAGTCCAGATTTGAATCCGTTAGATTACAAGATATGGCAACACTTGGAGGAAAAGGCGTGCTCAAAGCCTCATCCCAATTTGGAGTCACTCAAGATATCCTTGATTAAGGCAGCCGCCGATATTGACATGGACCTCGTTCGTGCTGCGATAGACGACTGGCCGCGCGGATTGAAGGCCTGTATTCAAAATCACGGAGGTCATTTTGAATAAACTTTAGTGTCATAAGAATCTATGTTTTGTTAAGTTTATTTTGGTATATGAATGGTTACATAATGAATAAACTTGTTTCAATTATTTTACATTAAACATGTGACAGAATTTATGACCTGACTAGGTATATTGAAGTGAAACTTCTTTAGAATCGTTAAAATTTTAGTTATTGTTTTCTTTTTTTTTATTATCATGGGGGCTATAATATGAAAGATACTAAAAAGAAGCGATTTCGTTTTTTTTTGTTCTTCGCCATGGGGTAATATCAGCTTACACAAAAATATTTTGGGGTAATAATTAAAAAAGTTCCCCGACCGCTGCCCTAGACCATCAGATTAGGTAGTAAAAATAAATAAATAAAAAAAATTATAATAATTTGTGCATGTAATTGAAAGTATTGTATGTATTGATTATTACTGCAGCAAAACAACAGTGACCCGGTAACGAATGTGGTGCCGGCCCATAAATTGGAGGCTCCCCCAGACTGTACGTCCTCAGTAGCGAAACTTGAGTGGACATGTAGAAAGCTAGGCCTCCCGTCTCCCGTGTACAAAGTGCAGAATATTGGACCGAAACGGGGCCCTGCCAGCTACGACAGCACGGTGAAAGTTAGTACTGCTTTTAGAATTGATTGTTTTTATTTTAACTAGTGGTCCCCCGGTTGTCGCAATTCGACTATAATTATTTGAAATTATAAAGGCTTCGTCAAACAGAACGCGTACTTAGCGCTGCGTTCTAACATCGCGCNGTACTTAGCAGGAATTTAATTTAATGTGACCCGCTCCATACAAAAAAATCACAAAACACATTTTTCTGACCAAACTATAAAGTTTTTGTAATTTTTGCCCAAAACAATTATTATTGAGATTAACGAGCTCTATCTATCTACATAATTTTTTTTATAAAAAAACAAAGTTGGTCCCTAAGTCACTAAAATCACAGTATCGACCCACTGTGTGGCGCTCTGTTTGACAGTTTATTACCATAGTAGTACAAGCGCTAAAGCCTTGTTCGCACTAGGCGAGTATTTTAGTCGAGTACCGAGTAATTTAGTAGCTAAACTACTCGCTACTGCACAGAAATCGTTCGCACTACGGTCCAGTAGAGTACACAAGTGAGTGGTGATTTGCAATATGAACAGGCTGCAACGCAATAGAGTGAATAAACTGATTAAGCTAATCGTAATGGTTATTTTAGAAGAGATGGATGAGGAAATTTCTGAGATTACGAAAAATAAGTTATGGGTACGAAAATAGATCGATAGAAGAGATAAACTAGGAGCTACTAAATGTCTTCTGAAGGAATTAGCATTGGAAGAGATCCCATAGAACACTTCGATAATTTGAGAATGTCCGAAAGTTGTATAAATTTTCTGTTAACAAAAATACACTCTGAAATTCAGCGCAAAGATACCCATTTGAGAAGTGGCACTAATGAACTCTACTAATCAACAGGTTCGGACTTGTTTAATCAGTGAACCAGTGAGCAAGGACGCGTGGTGGGAGGCGCTACTCGCCCGTTCAAAATAGAACAAAATGGATTGGCTTGACTAAATTATTTACTAACCTACTCGACTAAATTTTTGGTGTTCAGACACATTTAGCTACTAAATTACTCGGTACTCGACTAAAATACTCGCCTAGTCCGAACAAGGCTTAAGTACGCGTTCTGTTTGACAAAGCCTTTAGTTTGGACATTATTATGGTTCTATTGTCAAAGACTATTATACTTTTATAATCACAGATTTCGCCATGACTACACTATAGACAAACAAGATAAACAATATTAACCTATTCTCAATTTGATCACAGAATATAAGCAATAAGAAAAGTTGGACCATAAACAAATAGTATGCACGCGTGTGTGTGTGTGTGTCAAATACATGGTAGTGTGTGTAATGTTTTTTTAATGATTTAATGTATTATGCACAATAAAAAAAAAGATTTAATTCAGACCATCTTAAGCCCATATGTTGTAAGTAGAGTAATACTTATAAATATGCTAGTAAAATTAAAATTAAAATAACATTCTGCACTCATTTTCTATATTCTCTATAAGTGTGAGAAATTTCATACTCCTCCGTCCGCGCAATTTTCGTAACAAGGGGTACAAAGTTTCAGCTTCACATATTAATATATAGATATTTTGTTTAGTTGCATTCATTTATAAAACCATTCGAAAGGTCGGCGCGTCATACGTCGCGATGTCTTATCCGAATTCTTCGCCTTCCGAAGAACTGGCAAAAGAAGTGGCAGCCGTAAAATTACTTGAACTATTGGAAAGTTCTGAAACTGAAGGAGTACCCACTTCGTCACCAACCAAAGCTATGTCATCCCTCGTTGACCTTGTGTCGGAACATGAAGCTGGACTTTGGGCTAGTACTGTACCTTTTCTTTACAGGTAAGAAAAAATGTTGGTTGACATATAGCCTTAAAAAAGGTTTTTTTTTAAATTACCTTTACGCCTTTTAATCTCTTACATTTTGTTAAAAGTATCGAGTATGTTAGTTCGACTGATGACCGATTTTTACATATTTATTAATCCGTTTTTTCGTTTGGGTATCACGAAAATATCACTGAACCGATGTCTACGAAACTTTAATAGAAGCCTTATTTATTAGAGTTCTTTGGACGGACAGTTTGCTGCAACAGCGAATGAAAGAGAAAATACGGAGACCTTAAAGCAATATAGTTTGTTTCAGAACTGAGTGGCTTCTCGAATACAATCGTTTTATTTATTCTCAATTTATAATGAGTTAAAATAACAGAACATTTAATAAAAGCAATTTTTTCAGAAAAAAATATGGCGAAAATTTGCCTACTGACTGGCAAGATCTTGTGGAAAATTGTCCTTTCATCGTGATAGATAGGGTTGCTAACGGACTCTCAGTTCTTCTTCTCGCCAAAGAGGTATGTTTAAATGTAAAATGTTTTACATATATTTATGGTTTTCATTTAAGATTTAAACTAAGTTAGCTTAGAGTTCATGTCAATAAAAAGCAATGAGAGAAGAGGTTGCTAATTTTAGCAATGTCTATTTAATCTTTCACCAGACTAACAAATATACTTTATGTCTAAACATTGGTAAAGACATTCACATTGTGATTTCCATGGGCTCCAGCGGAGAGAGAGAGAAAGCTGTTAGAAAATATCTTGTTGCAATTAACCATTTTATTGGCAATATATAGCAAATAGTTTTCAGATGGGTTTTTCCAATAGTTTTATTTTTGATTGCTTTAGTGGCATAATGAACTCATGGCCCACCTGGTGATGAGTATGCCTTATAAAACGGGCAGTACGGTGCTACCTATTTAGGCGAGCTCATAATACTGATGGTTATAGCATCAGTAAAACTAGTGTCATGGATTACCAACAACCGAGAACTCACCTCATGTAAACATATATTATTTATTACATATATTAAATATTTTATACATACATTTTACATTGACTGTATTCTTATAATTTGAAGTCTGTCTATTTTTATCCGGTAACAAGACATTAAACCTATTTGACGAATCCATTACATGCTCTTTTTATGTGTATTTTATATTCAGTATAGTTTTTCAAATACAGGGATCATTACCATTACCCGTGGACACGAGTGTGTTCGATGAAGCCATCGAAAGTGACCTGCCACCGTTACAATTTCCCGAGGACGATTTTTGGAACGTTTTCATCACGGTCGCTAATTCTACGTTAGAAATTTGGTTACGAATAATAGGACCTCAATATAGTGTAAGTGGACTTTAAACAAACACTAATATATGTNTTTTTCAAACACAGGGATCATTACCATTACCCGTGGACACGAGTGTGTTCGATGAAGCCATCGAAAGTGACCTGCCACCGTTACAATTTCCCGAGGACGATTTTTGGAACGTTTTCATCACGGTCGCTAATTCTACGTTAGAAATTTGGTTACGAATAATAGGACCTCAATATAGTGTAAGTGGACTTTAAACAAACACTAATATATGTATGTAAATTTTGTGTAAACTATAAATGTTTTCGACCTGTAGGAAGTATAGGACAAAGGGAATCTTCCACCGAGCGGGTGAGATTGCTTGGAAGACCGAGAGTCCAAATGTTGTTTGTTCGGAACTTTTAAGACATATATATAAAAGTTTATCTTGAAAATGTCGTAAGCGAGATTCAGGCATCTGTCAAATATCTTCTGTTCTGTGATGGCTACCGCCACAGGCTAAATAAAATTTTAGAGCGCTTGCTCCAATTTAACAAACAAATTAGCGGCGAACCATTCTCTTAACGGGATATCGAGCGGTCGGGCCACAATAACTGTCATAATTTGCATCAAATCAATTAATATGTCAATAAAAAATAGGCGATGCGATAGAGCTTGAATGTTGACAGATGTTGACAGATGAATGCTGACAATTGACAGATGGTTGTATCCACCATTTAATGGAAAGTGGAAAACGAATACGGCACTAATTTTGATAGAAATTACGCGCGAATCGATTTCAAGAAGTCTTTTTTTTATTGCGTAGATGGGTGGTCGAGCTCACAGTCCACCTGGTGTTAAGTGGTTGGTTACTGGAGCCCATAGACATCTACAACCTAAATGGGCCACCCACCTTGAGACATGAGATCTAAGGTCTCAGTATAGTTACAACGACTGCCCCGCCCTTCCATCCGAAACGCATTACTGCTTCACGGCAGAAATAGGCAGGGTGGTGGTACCTACCCGTGCGGACTCACAAGAGGTCCTACACCCAGTAAATCATTATTGAAGAAGATATTAATCAATACTTTCCCAGCAGGCGTGCGTGATAGAGCGATAATTTCCATTCCATTGACGCACTAGAGCAGCGGTCGGGGAACTTTTTTAATTATTACCCCAAAATATTTTTGTGTAAGTTGATATTACCCCATAGCGAAGAACAAAAAAAAATGAAATCGCTTCTTTTTTGCATCTTTCATATTATAGCCCCATGATAATTTTTAAAAGAAAACAAAACTAATTTTTTTATTTAAACTTCATTTATTCAAAAATTATTAATTAATGTGTTCTATCTCATTCTCTCGCCGACTGAATCCTATACATATATATATGTGTTTGTCTCTATGGACCTACTTTTTCGTTTTGTTTCATTTCGTTTCATCGAGTTTGAAATCCAAAGATTCTAAAGAAGTTTCACTTCAATATATACTTTTTACTCACAAAAGTTTCATTTTTACCCCCCAAAATTTCATTATACCCCATTTGGAGTAATTTACCCCGGTTCCCCGACCGCTGCACTAGAGGGATATATATATGAATAGGAATTTGTAGAATGATCAAACATAATCACAGAGAACGGAAGAAAAACTAATAATATCACTTCTTTATAGGATGCTTTTGAAACACTCCTAGCAGATATGGCAAAATACTACGATAGCTCTGGCACTGCAGTTGACAAATCTATGATTATAAGAGACGCTTGGTAAGAATAATTCTATTTAAATTATAATTGGTTAAATTTCTTATTTCCGTAATATAATAAATACAAGTTATTAAATTATTAGCTATAGTAGCATTATTTTGTCGGTGCAGTTTGGGTCATAAATCATAGCCCGGCTTGGGCGGTGAGCATGTTGCGCTGGCGCAACGTCATTATCGATAAAAACAAATGAGTCATCGAAGGCAGGTACACGGCGGCGGGGCGGTATACGAAGGGTGGTGAGACATTGTTATGTTATGAGTAGTTTGTTGTACTTACCTGCAAATTATAGTACATAGTCGAAGAGAAATTTGTTTTTATGCATTTGCTCTGTATTTCTTTAGTGACACAATGGCTACTCCTTTTTTTTGTACCAAAACGGCAGAATTTATTCAAAATAATATTTGCACGTGTTGTTATCAACAATGTGTTAAAAATTTTCACTGAAATGAAAATAGATCCCGAAAAGTTACAAAGTGTTAATTTCTGCCGTTCTCGTTAACTTGCTGCGGTGATATGTGGTGTAAATGTTCGATTAATGATTTTTACTTTCATTTTTATCACTAACTTACAAAATGACAAAACTAAAGACACTATCGATAACGCTTATCGAAAACAATAATGCGCATCACTATGTCCGTCTATAAGGCTCGTGAGTCGAAGAGAGAGCGAAATATTCGCTTCACCGCTCCTATTATTTATGACCCAAACTGCACGGACAAAATAATTCTACTATAGATCCGTCATTTGTGCGTTCACGACTCTTTAAGATGATTTAAAACTTGTAAGTATAGAGAGAAGCACAGCACGCTCAGTTACTACGCCCATATTTAATGTGTACCTTCCATGAAGATGACAATCGAAATGAGAATATATATGGTTAATTTTGACGTCATTGCAGGTATGCGGTCAATTTGGACGACGGCGGCTGGCAACGAGCCAAAATAATGGACTTCGATGAAGAAACAGCCTCCGTATTTTTAGGAGACCACGGAGACGACGACGTCGTGGCTTTAAATAAAATTAGAATTCTAGATTCTAAATTCAGGAAATTACCCCCGCAGGTATTTGATATATTATAACGATAGAAATAATGATTTAGTTAATTGTTGTCGGATGGAAATATAAACGATCTAATAGTCATTGAAAATGCAGTCGGAATTTACAACCGACAACCATGAGATAATGATAGGTTACAGAAATCATTCAGAAAATTGTAGACACTTGAGCTGTATAGTTCACGTTGAGATAGTACGCGTGCCGGTGGACGTCGTCAGAGTCTTACAATCAATTTGTATTTTAAATTTGTTTAAGAATTCAGTATTATAGACGACGACGTCACTAGCGTAACCTGTGTCTGTGTAACGGAATCTTTGAATGTATTTTTCACTAACCTTAGAAATCCCATTAAGTTGAAATTTTTAACATGGCCAAGGGCTGATGATAATAGAATAATTATATTACTTTGGTCTGATGTCCTGCCCAATATCATCAGGATAATACTCTTGATTTTTTTTTTTTTTGCTCGCTATTTAAATGTACTGTTTTAGTTTTAAAATAACATTGACTTTTGTGGGATTATAATGCGTTCAGAATCAGTATACCGTAGATAACACCACAATGCATTCAAGGTTTGTCGGGTAGTATATGTATGTATATTCATGCAACTGTCCAGAATATTTCCCAAACCGAGTGTTTAATGTAAGATAGCTGTTCCTGCAAAATATGAAGCAGCATCCTCTATCCTAGTTTACAAAATTTCAAACCCAATGTTTAAAAAAAAATCAAATTAATCCTAGTGAGACTTACCAAGTAATTTACTTTGGAGCCTAACTTTTGCTTGGTTTTTGACGAGCTACCATAGCAGCAATATGTTGGGTCTCTTGACTAGCTATTGCATCTAAATACCATTCCCCGTTAACTTGGGATACTTTAAAACCTGACACATCCAAAAAAAAGCTTTTATAATGAAGGATAGCCCAATTTTTTTAATGGTATCCATTCTCTTTGTAGTTCTTTATAATCACCTGAAATATTAATTACGAGAGTGTAATATGTAAGAGTTTCGTGAGGGCAGGCGATCCTTTGCCGACTGGAAGGCGTGGAGGAGCTGGCGGCGAGCGCGGCGGCGGCGGAGCTGGTGCGGCGCCGACTGCCCGGGGAGGTGCTCGTGGCGGCGCCCGGCGCCCGCACCGACCCCACCGACCCCTCCATCGCGCTCGTGCTCTACGACACCTCCACGCAGCGCGACCTCAACCTCAACAAGGAGATCGTGCACGACTTCTGCATTTCCGGCGCCTTTTCAATCACGCAGGTGAGCTTGTGCGACGCGCGACCCTCGCTTTCACATTAGGTCTGGGTGGTCTCGCGATATGAATACTGTATAGTTAAGACCAATTTTCTCTAGGATTATAATACAAAAGAGTGCACAAAAAGGGCCGCGGTATGCGAGGAATCGTGACGTTTGGTGAAGCGCACCACCATCCAAAGTGATCATCACTACCACTCTGCCAAGAGTACATACGACTGAGAAGAATAATACAAAATTTCCCATCATATGCATCATATGCTTTAAAGGGGATTGCCCACTCTCCATAGTGTGCTAGGCCCAAGATGGACATCAAATATTACTATAAAAATGTACTGATTCAAATTCTTAAATGTATTGGATATCTAAAAAATATATTGAAATTGACGCCACTATTATAAAAAATATAATAAAAATAAAAACTCGTTTTGAGGTTAATTTTCTATATAAATAAGTGTCGNTCTATGTGGTCATGTGGAGAAAGTAGTTCCTTGAACTGAAACGCTTGGTACAGATGTTGTTGTTTCGATGCAACATTTGCTATCTTATTGATTGATCTTATAGTTACACTACTTTGTACTACTCAATGAATATGTCTGTATTAAAAATATTATTTCTATCCCTCTAATGCAAGTGTGCTGTTAGTAAAATATAAACGACTCGTCACGTTTTGCGCGGCGTGCGCATCTCGCATCTTTTTTTAATTTTATTTATTTATTGTTGCACAAAACAAATTACAGTAATTACAGTACATATTAGCTAAATCGTACAAGTAGTACCTAGATCTAATCTGGATTGCAATCTAAATAGTATGTGCACTCAGCAAAACCGTATTAATGTGCATAGCTTTGGCTATTGAAAACACAATTGTGTTTAGAGCAATTCTAAACATGAAGTTTGTATGACTGTTTTTCGAATTTTGAAACAGAATAATAATTTTGGCAACACAGTCATTGTAAGTCAATCAAAAGTTCAGGTCGTGCGCACATGTGTTGTAACTACATTAAAGTACCTAAAATAAAAATAACCTTCTCTCTGAATATATCTAATTATTGAAGCGACCAGGACAAATTACAGTCCACGCTCTACACAAATTGAAATTACAAATATTGATAACTAGCCATTGTTAAATAGGATATCCTTCACACATCTGACAAATCCCCTGAGTCTAGGTTGAAAGATCTTCCGTCTGACGCGCGGATGACGTTTTACCCGCAGAAGCCGTGCGAGGTGGAGGTGAAGTGCGTGACGGAGGAGGGGCGCGTGTGGGTGTCGGCGGCGGGCGGCGCGGACACGGTGCGGGCCGCGCTGGCGCTGCTCACGGCGGGCCCGTACCGCCGCCAGCTGCCCGCCGCGCCCTTCGCGCCCTCGCCCAACGCCGCCACGCTCTACATCGTGCGCACGCTCGCCGGCGACTGGTATGTCGACCTCTACATTTTCATACTTCTGATTTTCGTGTTTAGTCGTCTTGGGTTGTAATTAGAGATGAAACGGAGAGTGGTTTGGCCATATAACGGATACCGAATATTCGGCAAGCTGCGAGGCCGGAGCGCCGGATATTCGGCCCTTTCGGAAATATTCGTGCGAGTTCGGGTGTTGTCGCACGTGAGCGGAGATCGCGACGACTCGGGGGCGTTCAAGTGCTCGCGCGTGTCAGTTTGTTTTTGTTTATGTGTGTCGTTGTGGTTTTGAATGAAAGAAGATGAAACTGGATCTAACTTCACACGTGAAGCTCATGACACTTTTTGGGACTGTTTCAATGAAGTGGCAAAGGATAATAGTAGTGATTTTCGCGATCAAGTAAAACAAATACAAATACTGTTGCCGGATATCCGTTTCATCTCTAGTTGTAATATAATGTCTTTGCAAACACAAAAGGACATAAAGAAAGTTTTATTTAAGACGAACACAAAATATGAAAGAAGGAGAAAGTAACAAGAAATATATGATAGTCCAAGCAACACAAGTAGGTACACAAAACAAAAAGCAATAATTAGAAAAGGCGTAGCACAGGTAGGTGTATAATACGGGATGCGCGCTCGGAAGTCAGATTTCGACTGGTGGCGGTGGATCGGTAAAAATGCGACGACCGGTTCGTCTATGCACCGATGTACTAGCGAAATATTATCGCCGCCGCTATACTGCAGTTATCGCCTGACTTTGCTTGTGAAATAATTTTGTTTAGTGTAAATAAGGTTTAGTATGATTGTGTGATAAATGAATGTGATATAAAATAAAGTATGTATGTATTGTTGTGTAGTGTAATTATAATAAAATATTATAAAATAAATACATGTGAGTCACCCACACGTGCAACCGAATGACCTATTAATCGTATGCATGTTGTTATACCACCAGGGTTCGCTGCACTATTATAAGCGGCCTGGACGGCGAGGGCACAGTGCGAACGCAACTCGTCGACAGCGGCCTTATCCTGCGGGCTCCCCTGTCGTCGTTGGTTCCCTTGCAGACCTTTTCGCCGGCTCTCAACGCCTATCCATTTCAGGTAGAAGCGACGATGTCAATTATATTGATGTACATAAACACCCTCACAATATCTCCCCTTAATGCTCTTTTTTAGCATCAGTTTAAAAATAAAGATGTCGCTTTACTGTGTGTCCTTTTTAAGTTCATTTCATAAAGTGAGCATTGCACATAAAATTAATAGGTGATAAAATAAAACAATGGAAACATCTAGTCTGTTACGCGCCGGTCCGCAAAGCTATTATTTCTCTTGCATATGGTGTTGCCCTTTACTATAAAAAACATTAAAAATAGGCTAAGATCGACTCTTATCGTGATATCGAATGAATAATTGGATTGTTTTTAACAACAGTTACTTGTCTAAGAATCGTACTGAAAAACCTAGATTGTTTAGTTAAGTTTGTGCGCGATGTTGGCAGGCGATGTTGGTCCGCCTGGGCCACGCCGAGCGCGCGGCGGCCGCCATGGTGAGCCGGCTGCGCGAGCTGGTGCTGGACCAGCGCGTGCTGTGCCGAGCGCTCCCCGGCACGGGCGCCGCGTCGTCCGCGCCGCACGTCGAACTGTTCGTCCGCACGGAGCCGCAGAACATGCTCGCCTCCGTCAACAACGACATCTTTATGGAGCACGAGTACCTAAACCAGTCAGTGGTCTCGAATTCTAAAATAAAAAAAAACTAATATTTAAAAAAAAAACTCTAACACTACTACTACTACTATCCGTCCCTGTTCCTGTTATTGAGGGTAGGGTCTCCTCACTCTACGGCGCCAGGCTGATCTGTCCTGGGTTGTCGGTTTTGGCAATTGGGCTAAAAAAACTCTAATATAAAAAAAAAGACATGCCCGCTGAGTTTCTTGCCAGTTCTTCTCAGGACGGACGCTACTTTTTGTGAATTGGCGGTAGTTCTTTTTGGCGTTCAACAAGTATGTACTTTCATTTATGTCGAATAAAAAAAAGTTGCTTGGGCGGCTTGATTCGACTTCTTGGCATTGTTGGCTTTAAATATTGAAATGACCAACAGGGACAAGGTGAAAGAGCAGAAGAAGGACACCCCGAATCCCGTAGAGGCGTTAAATAAAAAGAAGGAGCGCTTATACCGGACCGCTAGTGGTGCGGACGAGCGGCCGGAGCGCGCCGCCCTGCCGCCCCCCACCCTGCCCTCCCCCGGACAGTGCTTTGACGTCTACGTGGCGATGGCCGCCAATCCCTGGAATTTTGTGGTAACTATTTTTATTTAATCCTTGCTCTAACCCATTCAGATATTTACAGTATTTTTGTTTATAACAACTATACAAAATACTATTATACATATTTTAGCAATTTCTGCGGTTCGATTTTCGCTGGTCGTAGATATAGTCAGGACCATGACGGACCATCGAAAACTATAAAGCATTCGAAATATCGGAAGTAACACAATGACAATAGAAAGCGCGAGCTTCTGTTCGAGATAACTATTATGAACGGAGTGGAGAAGCTTAATTTAAGTTCAATTAAAAACATCGAACCGTTGATGCTAATACCAAAAAACGCACCTTTAATTACAAAAATGTCTCATATTAAGTAATAGTATGTATTAAATGTATTAAAATTTCGATTAAACCAAATAGCTTTTCACTCCTCGATATGTACATCTATAAAATACCTAGTCAGGTCATAAATTCTGTCACATGTTTAATGTAAAATAATTGAAACAAGTTTATTCATTATGTAACCATTCATATACCAAAATGAACTTAACAAAACATAGATTCTTATGACACTAAAGTTTATTCAAAATGACCTCCGTGATTTTGAATACAGGCCTTCAATCTGCGTGGCCAGTCGTCTATCGCAACACGAACGAGGTCCATGTCAATATCGGCGGCTGCCTTAATCAAGGATGTATTGAGTTACTCCAAATTGGGATGAGGCTTTGAGCACGCCTTTTCCTCCAAGTGTTGCCATATCTTGTAATCTAACGGATTCAAATCTGGACTGGAGGAGGGCCAGTCTTCGTGCCGGATGAAGTCGATTTCACGCGCTGCCAGCCAGTCTTGTGTGCTATTCGCTCTATGAGCTGGCGCCGAATCTTGTTGGAATACCCAGTGCCTGTTATTGAACATGGTATGAGAAACAGGTTCCACAAGGTTCGTCAGGACTGTATTTTGATACACAACTGCATTCGTTTTTACACCTTTCTCACAAAAATGTACCTCTGTTAAGCCCCAATAAGAAACTCCCAACCATACCATGAGCGAGGATGGAAAATGACCTCGTTGGACACGCGGAATACGGTTGCTCGCTTCTTCACTACTGTGTGCGTACACCTTATCATTTTGTTTGTTGTAGCTCTCTTCTACGGTAAAAATTTTTTCATCCGAAAAAAGAATTTCCCGATATTTTTTTCCCGCGTACCGCTTCAACAAAGCGCGGCATCTCTTCAGTCTCAGGTCCATTAGACGAGCATTCAAACGATGTCCTGTTTTTCTTCGATATGCCCGAAGCCCTAAGTCTTCATTTAACACCCTTTTCACCGTGGTTCTGCTTAACCCCATCTGAAGGGCCAACAGTTTCTGCTTACGTTTGGGATTTCTTTGAATTCGCGCCTTCACAGCTTTTATCACTGCTGGAGTCCTAACAGACCGAGGGCGACCACTTCTTGACCTGTCATCTACACTAGAGTCTTCGTTGTATCGTTTGATGGTACGATAAACGAATCTTTTGGTTATATTCAAATTTTTCAGTATGTTAAAAATTTGAATTGGCGCGTAACCGCAACGATGCAACGCAATAACTGCAACACGGTCTTCTTTAAGCGTCCACTCCATATTTAAAAATGAGTAAAATTCTAAAAGTATACATTTTTATATTCATGAACAATTCGAAATTCGAATTCAATAAACTTTTTTGTGGCCAGCATTCTAAAAGAAAAGTTTTTACTGTGTGACAATACTTATGACCTGACTAGGTATATGTTTCATTAATTATTCCTTGCCAAGTAACAGTGATAAAAAAATGCTTTTACTAATTAAAGTAGGAAATATTTTTGTTGTAGGTATTTTGTTACGTACCGTAACGTGAGTCGCGTTCACGAACAGCTTTCTTCGAACGGCCAAGAGGCCTGGTCTTTATTGCATTATAATCTTTTGCTCATTTGTGAACGATGTGTTCAGGTTCAACCGAACAGTACGAGACACATGCTACAAACTATGATGTCTTCATTGCAAATTGAATGTCCGAAGCTATCGCAGACAGACGCGCCCCTTAAACCGGCCAATGGGGAGCTGTACACGGTGTATTATGCAAAAGATTTATCGTGGTACAGGTAATAACTTGGCATTTAACTTTTTATTACTAACAAAACATGTATGTGTTGTCTTTGCGCTGAATTGTTTGTATTTTATTTTAGTAATAGAACATAATTATTTCAACATTCAGAGTGACAGTGGCGGGATCTGTGTCGTCGGAGATAGTGTCAGTGTATTTTTGCGACTACGGCGACCTGGCGCTGTTCGAAATCCAAGCGCTGCGTCCGGTGCCTCCTACCGTGCCGCTAGCCCGCACGTTGCCCCCGCAGGCCATCAAGGCGCGTCTCTACGGTGAGTCGCACACACGCCCACACTACACACCGCACGTCCCGCGCCGCTAGCCCGCACGCTGCCCCCGCAGGCCATCAAGGCGCGTCTCTACGGTGAGTCGCACACACGCCCACACTACACACCGCACGTCCCGCGCCGCTAGCCCGCACGCTGCCCCCGCAGGCCATCAAGGCGCGTCTCTACGGTGAGTCGCACACACGCCCACACTACACACCGCACGTCCCGCGCCGCTAGCCCGCACGCTGCCCCCGCAGGCCATCAAGGCGCGTCTCTACGGTGAGTCGCACACACGCCCACACTACACACCGCACGTCCCGCGCCGCTAGCCCGCACGCTGCCCCCGCAGGCCATCAAGGCGCGTCTCTACGGTGAGTCGCACACACGCCCACACTACACACCGCACGTCCCGCGCCGCTAGCCCGCACGCTGCCCCCGCAGGCCATCAAGGCGCGTCTCTACGGTGAGTCGCACACACGCCCACACTACACACCGCACGTCCCGCGCCGCTAGCCCGCACGCTGCCCCCGCAGGCCATCAAGGCGCGTCTCTACGGTGAGTCGCACACACGCCCACACTACACACCGCACGTCCCGCGCCGCTAGCCCGCACGCTGCCCCCGCAGGCCATCAAGGCGCGTCTCTACGGTGAGTCGCACACACGCCCACACTACACACCGCACGTCCCGCGCCGCTAGCCCGCACGCTGCCCCCGCAGGCCATCAAGGCGCGTCTCTACGGTGAGTCGCACACACGCCCACACTACACACCGCACGTCCCGCGCCGCTAGCCCGCACGCTGCCCCCGCAGGCCATCAAGGCGCGTCTCTACGGTGAGTCGCACACACGCCCACACTACACACCGCACGTCCCGCGCCTCTAGCCCGCACGCTGCCTCCACAGGCCATCAAGGCGCGTCTCTACGGTGAGTCGCACACACGCCCACACTACACACCGCACGTCCCGCGTCGCTAGCCCGCACGCTGCCCCCGTGTGAGTCACCCTCTCTCTCTCTCTAAGATCAACCTTTAATGATCTATTTAGTTAACAACCAATTATTATGTTTTCAGACGTATTGCCACTACACCAAGACTGGGCAGTAGAAGATTGCATTAGATTTCAGGAACTGTGCGTAGATCAGCAATACGTAGGTATCTGCAAAGATGTAGGCAAAGATCCATTAAACACAAACGAGCCCTTGTTAACTTTAGAACTTATTGATACGTCCACTGATGAGGATGTTTATTTAAACAAACAATTAGTGTCCGAAGGAAGGGCTAGACTGGCGTCAGCAACCTAGTTGTGAATGTTCCTAGTGCTAATAACATTATTAACCGAAAATTTCAGAATGTAACTTTCAGTCAATTGCATGATTTGAACGTACTTAACAAGTATTAAAAACAAACTTTCTTTTGCACAAAAATTATATTAAAATAACCATAGTTTTGCACAATTCATCAATCCTGTTACATTCTGTTATAAAAATGGTTGTTGTGTTGTTTATTGCTGTTGTGTTTTATATAAACGAAAGACTTTGTGATATAATCTGATATTTAATATTTTTTAATAATTTTGTACATGACATTGATCTTTATTTAAAACGAGACAATTGCATTCATGCTGTACTGAGTTAACAACATTATAAAAAATTTAATTTTGTCGACCCCAAAATTTCAATATTGTACTCGTAGTCTAGAACAGACGTAAAGGCGATATATCAAGATTGTTTTTGCTCAAATATAAAATGTGGATACAGATGAATCTGATGTCGAAATTGAATACAATATTTTCAACAGATTTTATCGTAGATGTAGATATATTTGTTACATTCGTTTGATTACATTCCGTGATTAAGATAATGCCATTAATAATGAAGTATCATCTCGGTTGGTATTTTTTAACTACGATAAAACTGTTTAGAGAATTGTATTAACTGCCTTTTATATAAGCAATACTTAGTTGTAGGGATTTTCAATTGAGAGCATTTTTGTTATATGTTACCAAAAACTGCTGATAAAGTGGGATTAAAAATATTATCTATCTTAATCGTCAAATTTTAATCAAAACATAATTTTTCAGTACTTTTAATATTATAGCTACATATAAGGCAACATACTCGCCCATAATAACCATTAAAAACTTGTCTTTTGTTAGGGAAATTTTATCATAAACAATATCTTGTCGGACTTCTTCCAAAAAAGGTAAACGGGTACCTTTTTTGAAAGATGACGTCTGTTAATGATTTTCATAAGTCAAAGATTATAAGCGAGTTATTAAAGTAGAAAACAAACTGTTATAAGTACTGGCACGGATCTTGGGTGAAAGTGAAGGTCGATTGGCGCATCGTGCCTCCATCGAAATAAATTGTTAACTATCTATTTAATTATTATTATTTTGGAGATCGTTTTACTAACTTTGTTTGTAAATAATGTTTGACGAAAATAACGTCGACCTTAGGATTTCAAACTTTAAATCAGATAGCAGTCAACATATTTTGTTTAAAATAAAGTTAATTACTTAAAATTAATCTGATGAATAATAACTCTAAACGATATCATTGTACGAATTATTGTTATCATTGTACGAAAAGGTTGATTGCTACTCATTATTGAGTGACATGTAGTGGATAGGTTTCGGCCGAGTTAAGTGATGATCTAATCAAGCATCTTTATCCAAAGCGCAATCTCTTAACCCTTGCATCATATCTTATTGCTACAGAAATGTAAAAATGGGTTCTGTGCAGATGAAGTCGACGTTCAAGATCCGTGCTGTTCATTATAAATATGTGGTCAGTCCGAGCATATTTAATGGGGTTAACAATTGATAATGTGGCACATATCTTGTTCCCTAAAACATTATGATTTAAATATAAAAAAAATAATATATAAAGCATATGCCATAATTTTATCTGATTTAAAGATTAAAAGGATGAGCTATAAACAAGGGTCATAACAGTTCAGATTTCACTTGCCAACCCCATTAGATTTCTTTAAGAGGAAGCGCGGGTGCCGAAAAATTTTAATAGGTTTAAATATTTACATATCGTCGTTGTCAAACGAAAATCTCCTATGTGCACTTTTTGACCTTTTCGTATAGTTCACAGCCCTATCTACCGTATAAAAAAAAAAAACTGTTATATTTGTATGTATTGTGTATAGGTAGCTTTAATATTTATCTATAGCTTTCATTTGATATAGTTCTTGAAAATTTACTTTCATATAAAATTTTATACGAAAATGTGTTTACTCGTTAATTCAAAATAGAGTTTTTGCACATAGCAGATTTTGGTTTGACAGCTACGATATATTACTTTCATTGACCGCGAATAGAGCAACTGCAGCTCAGACTGAAAATACCTATGCGCGACGTGTGATATTTATTCTACAGTTCCCTCCTCTAAAATTGTTACAATATGATATTTTTTCAAAAAATATTTTGTTTACTGGGTGTTTTACTTATGTGTAGTTTAACTGGAAAAACTTGCGGATATCTGGAATGGGTCATGAGTGTTAGAAATATAGAGAATATGATATATTATATAATATTGGATTTTGTGTCATAATAAGGGAGGGAGCTGGGAATACGTTTGTATGGACTAAACAAAACCCCGTTTTCTTTTAAAACTGCTGACGGCCTCTACCTTTGTGCAAAAAGATTGTTTAATTTGAAATTTCAATCATTCCAACATGCACATTATCTTTAACAAAATATGTGTTGATATGCTAGATCTTCTAAGCTACTAAGATGCTATTCAAGTTAGTGGATATATACATACATCTGAATAGGCTGTTTCAATCGTTTATTTATAAAAAGCTGAAAAATAAAGTATACTCCTGCACTTTTAGACGTTTTAGTACTTTTATTATTGAAAAACTAATACACACAAGCTCACGATCCCCCTTTTATTGCTATAAATGAACAAACTACACACCTTTCGGCCTAATACATTTTAAGTGGTCATCAAAGCCTATAGACGGTAACATATATGTATATCGCTACTCACCTCATTACATGAGGTCAGTTTCAATTGGATAGGGGTTAAAGTATGAAATTGCAGTTTTATTGTAATAGGTATTTCGAATTGACATAGAACCTTAATGGTTTGAGATTTTTGAGTGAAACTTTTTTCAAGTGTAACCTATGAGGTTCTTATTTAAAAAAATATGCAACCTTCGACTATCGACTTTCTGATTTTTTTATATATTCAGCTATAGTAGAATTAAGCGCCTTATTCACGTTCCATCGTGGCCATGCACGATACACGATGCATTTAGCGCTTTATTCACGATCCATCACGGCTGTACGTCAGCTCAAGGCCGCGGTGCTGGATGTATCAAGCGCGAACAGAATAAATCGAACGAATTAAATGAGAGGGTTTTAATTTATTTAAAATGCCAGCTGTTTTATCAAAACGCCAAAAATGGGAGCCCTTCTGATGTTGTCAGCAGCAGCAGAAGAGAGGCAAAAAATAGCAAGAGGTTTTGGATGATTTTTTTAACGTGCAGAGTATACTCAAATAATTAATATTATTTTTTACGCACGCTATCTTGCAGCTTTCCCTAAACTGGGCCTAAAAAATTGTAATACGTTTATTATTTTTTGTTTATTCATATAGTCTGCGCTTGAGACATTCCACAAACATGTGGAACTTATATCTTTCAATAAATCTTGAAAGTGTTTCACGATCCATTTTGACGTGCAGTCTCCTCTCGAAGCAAGCTCTAAATGTTAAATTTGCTGTACAGCAAGTCTACACACGATCAAGCACGCACGACGCAGGACCGCTCTGACGTACGTCAGCGTTATTCACTGTCTATCTGCACGACTGCGGTGGTGGGGGCACTCGCTGGACGCAAAATCGGTCGTGCAAATCCAGCAAACAATTAATAATAATTATCGACGTACGTCAAGCCTATTCAAGATCCTTTTGCATCGTGCATCGTGCATGGCCTTGGCGGGACGTACAGCAAGATGGATCGTGAATAAGGCGCCTAAGACGTCCGATGCATTTGTGTTGAGCGATGCGCCGGTGTTCGAATCTCAGGCGGCTACCAATTTTTCTAATGAAATACGTACTCAACAAATGTTCATGATTGACTTCCACGGTGAAGGAATAACATCGTGTAATAAAAATGAAACCCGCAAAATTATAATTTGCGTAATTACTGGTGGTAGGACCTCTCGTGAGTCCGCGCGGGTGGGTACCACCACCCTGCCTATTTCTGCCGTGAAGCAGTAATGCGTTTCGGTTTGAAGGGTGGGGCAGCCGTTGTAACTATACTTGAGACCTTATAACTTATATATCAAGGTGGGTGGCGCATTTACGTCGTAAATGCCATGGGCTCCAGTAACCACTTAACACCAGGTGGGCTGTGAGCTCGTCCACTCATCTAGCAATAAAAAAAATTTAAAAAGATGAATACTTCGAAAATTCGAGTGATTTTTGAATACGAGTTCCGACACTGAGCTAACGCTGGAGAAACAGCTCGCAATATCAATGTTACGTTTGGAGAGGGGACTGTTAATGAACGCACCGTGCGATTTTGGTTTAAACGCTTTCATGATGGAAATTTTGATTTGAAGAACGAACCACGTGGAAGACCGCCCACACATGTGAATAACAATGAATTGAAAGATATGTTGGAAGCCGATCCGAGCCAAACTACCCAGGAATTAGTGGCATAGTTTAATGTTACCTTACCAACCATGTTGACTCATTTGCGTCAAATCAATAAAATAAAAAAACGTGAAAAATGGGTGCTTCATGATTTGACTGATCTGCAGAAAGAAAGGCGTGTTGAAACTTGTGTTGCTTTGTTGAATCAATACAGAAATGAAGGAATATTTGATCGAATTGTGAACTGTGATGAAAAGTGGATTTTTTACGATAACAGTAAGCAAAAAATGCAATGGCTGATCCTAGATCAAACGCCGCAGCAGTGCCCTAAAGCACAACTTACCAATAAAAAGGTAATGGTAACTGTTTGGTGGTCTCAGCATGGTGTTATTCACTATAGCTTTCTCCGATCTGGTTAAGCAATAACAGCAGATGTCTACTGTGCCGAACTCCGAACAATGATAGCAAAACTTGCAGTGAAACAGGCCCGACTCATATATCGATCTTCACCATTATTGCTTCATGATAACGCGAGACCTCATACAGTACGAGAAACCGTTTGGACTCTACAGGAACTGAAATTAGAAAACATTCGTCACCGTCCGTATTCGCTAGACCTTGCTCCAACGGACCACCTTTTTTTTCGTGATTTGGACAATTTTCTACGTGATAAAAAGTTTTTTCCTAGGAGGCAGTACAAAATGCTTTCACACAGTTTGTAGAATCTAGATCACCAGAGCTCTATTGTAAAGGCATAAATGACCTATCCTATTATATGGCAGCAACGTATAGATAATAATGATATTTATTTGATTAAATAAATGAAAAAATTTTCAATGACAAAAAAAATTTCAACTTTTCAGTACAAATCGGCAATTTCATTTTACTAATAATAGGCCTGCCCAATCCTGTAAAATTTTATTCTTTTTCCTACCTGTTTGCTGATAGCCTAATGGGCTATTCCAGCTTCGCGCGGACGGGTAAGTGAGATTACGGGCCTAACTTGAGAGAATTTGCCAACAGCCCTAACAAGAGCAGTGCTTCGTGGAATCTATTCACTGAGAAGATCAGGCGAAAAACTCGATGGGCTGTCTTTTGGTTAGTTCACTCGTTGTAATCGACGACTTGGACGAGGACGGTGACCGGTGCTTGAAGTGCCTAAAAGCACCGAGAGTAGATCCGAAGGATCCGACAAGAAATGTTTCGGACAACGACGGATTTGCTTTGCTCCGTCGACCTAGGTCGGTACATATGTAATGCGCGGCGGCCACGATAATAGGGTTATTGTATCGTGCCGCTTTGTCGAAGTAGCATTCTGACGCTACTTTACCACTTACGTACCGATTCTAAATTTATATCGTCGTGAAGGTCGAGATTCCTCACGTACCATGACGCTGCGATAGCTATCCTGCAGAAATAGGATTGGATGACCTGGAGGGTTTATATACAAGCAAGTCGCGTGATGTAAGTCGCATAGTGTATCCTTGTTACGATAGGACAATTTACTTCGTTACAGATCATGGGGTAGAATCGACCGTGTAAGAACGCAGCCTAGTCGCGTACTGACTTAATGTAGAGACTGAATATCATCCCTCTGAGGATGATGCCTAGTGTAAGGAAGAACGTGACTCTCGCGCAGAAAGGACAGAAAGGTCCAACCAGTAATACGCAAGTTAATAAATTCTACAGGATTTATTTCGATTAGAATTAAAAACTAAATCAAAAAATTATGGTTTTTATCGTGGAAGACATTACGAAAGCGCGTTGGTACATTATTATTTAATGATAAGATTTTTATAGGTTCTCTGGCTTAAAATCTACACAGCTATACTAATCAAATAATTAAAAACAATTGTACTTAAAAAAACCTTATATTTTATAGTTTATCATTTACGCAGATCTTCACTAGATATTCCGTATTTCTTTTTCAATGTATCAATTTCTTCTTGTTTCTTATCAATATCAATACCTTTAAAGGCTTTGTTGGATCTATAGTAGAGTACAACTAGATACCTGTTACAAACATTAAAACCAGATAGATGGTCACAGGCATTTTTTGCATCAAATATATCTTCATAAACAACAAATGCTGTGCCTCTTGTTTCTGGAGTGTTCCCTCTGAAATTGAAAATCAAATGATTGCTTTAAAAACATTTTTCTTATTAGGTTAATATAAAGTAAATCAAATGTCAATTTTATGACCAAATGCTCAAATTTGACACACATACACCAAATAAGGTAGTAGAAAGAAATCATATCATTAATTAACATAATCACACTTCATTACTATGACTTACTTATTCTTAATTTAAATAGCCAGACAAATTTAACTATGATATTTTTGGTCATTTAATAGAAATTATTGATAAAAGAGTTCCAGTCTTTCACAACTAAATATTTTAAATCTCATTAGCTATTGCTTGGATTTTAAAATGAGCTCAGAATCCACCTGGTGGAAAATGGTTAACAACACAGCTCAAAGTTAACAATATCACAATGCTGCTACACACCAGACAGACATAAGCTTGAAAAGTTAGTCGTATTGTTAAAACTAGCAATTTTATCACTCAAAGTACAATCTGTTGCAGAAAAATATGCAGGATGCTTTCTGCCTGTTAAGGCTTACAATACCACCAGTAATTATTAATATTTATAAATTTTGCAGGTTTCCTTTTTATATACAATGTTATTCTTTCATCATTGAATTTATTTCATTAACAAGTATGAAATATGTATTTCCTTACAAAAAGTAGTAAGTGTCTGCAGTATTCAAAGACCAATTTGAATGCTTCACTCGATAGAAGGTACATCATATGCTTTATCAATAGAGAGGGTTCAATAATAGTGTATTTCATAAAATGAGTTTTCATAGCTTTACAAAAAATTCTAGCAATTTGTCTAAGTATAATTACATAGAGTCTATGCTCACAAATAAATTTCACAATTCACTATTAGCATACTGTGATAAAAGAAAATCAGAAAATAAAATAAATGTTTTATTGCTGTGAGCTCTCACAAGTAGAAACTACCAATGGCATCTGAATTTAAACATCAGATAATTATACATTCTGATTGTATACAACAGAATTGAGTATTCGACTCGACAAACTTCGACAAATGGGGGAATTTTCTTTAGTGCTATCAATGTAAATCTATTGTGTGTTGTGTTATGCATCTGTATGGTTATATACGACTATTTCCTGTCCATTTCTGCATCAAATCACTCATAAAATATGTTTAGAAAAGTATCACAGATTACTCCAGTTCTACAGGGACCTTGACCTAAGACCTACGGTGTTAAAGGAATGCCCTGTGAGTAGAGGAGCTTCATTAACCGCTTGATATCCTGTCGTCAGTGGACTTGTTTAGTTACGTAGGATCTACGTTAAACAATTAGTAAAGACAAACTTACACTCTTATTTGTCTTATTGCGCCATATTTGCCGAAGATATCATACATTTCTTCAGCGGATATTTTGTAGGGCAAGTTCCTGATGTATAGGATTCTGTTGACTTCTGGAGGTAATCGTACCTGAAATATACTTAACATGTAACTTTCCAATATTTACTGTGATCTACCTAACCAAAACATTTGTCAAAGCGTTGTCTTCAATTAACTTTTCAATACTTACATTTGCTCTCCTTTGAAGTGCTAATGCCATTTTGGTGTGGATGAATTATTTTTACAGTTTGTTAAACATGAAAATAGATAGTTGTATGATTTTTTAGGTATGTTTAACAAACTCAAACACAAATGTAAATACCTACCTACTATGTTTATAAATTTTTTTAAAGGTTTTTGTGACCTGGTAACAAGGACCTTTAGGTCATGTCTTATTTTAATATATATTCCATATTTTTTTATGAAAAATGAAAATATGAACTGAAATGAAATGAAGTTGATTAATATGAAACATGGCATGAAATGAAGTGGACTGGAACGAGATGAGATGATAAGGTATGAAATATAATTGTGGCGGGTAGCCATCATACAACGCAAGATAATTGACAGATGCCTGAATCTCGCTTACGATATTTTCAAGATAAAGCGCATATATACAAGTTCCGAACAACAACATTCGGACCGTCGGTCTACCGAGCAATATCACCCGCTCGGTGGAAGATCTTCCCTTTGTCGTATATCTCTACAAACTGGTGACCCCGACGTGATCGGTCTACCGAGCAATATCACCCGCTCGGTGGAAGATCTTCCTTTCGTCGTTTAAGCTTCCTACAACTGGTGACCTGCGACGGAACAATCGCAACCTTCTCATTCATCATCAGCGCATCAAGAACTTCGGTTACCACAATCCCCGCATTCTCGCAGATAAAAGCAAGTCATCTACAGTCGTCCCACAGCAAGCCAGCATCGCAGCCTCAACAGGACCATCGCAGCCGACTCACCACGCTTCCTGGCCCTACGGCACGCACCTACACTGCCTCATCGCGCAGCATTTTCAAGCTCAGTCTCGACTCACCGCAGACTTCGAGCAGCACTGGCGACAATCACGCAGCATTCAAGCTCAGTTTCGACTCACCGCAAACTTCGAGCAGCACTGGCACTTGCAAGCTAATCTCAGCACGGACAACGATAACTAAATATGACACGATCTCCAGTCTCGGAGGGGAGTGATGTGGCGGGTAGCCATCATACAACGCAAGATAATTGACCGATGCCTGAATCTCGCTTACGATATTTTCAAGATAAAGCGCATATATACAAGTTCCGAACAACAACATTCGAACCGTCGGTCTACCGATCAATATCACCCGCTCGGTGGAAGATCTTCCCTTTGTCGTATATCTCTACATAATCTCAGTAAAATGGTGGTCATTTACTGAGACTTTTTCAGTGGATTTTTTGGAAGATCCCGAGAAGTTACCTTCAGCGGCTTTATTTGATTTTTCCACATTTGTGCACTTTCACAGACACTAAACAGTAAATAAACCACCCTTATTACGCATGTAAGCCTGAAGAAACACTAATAGAAAAAATAAAACAAATCACACAAGTTTACTCCTCGCGTTCCCGCCAAAAAGTCATACTTATATTTTATTAAGAGATTTTATGACCTGGTAACTAAGACCTTTAAGTCATGTCTTATTTTAATTCTATTTTTTATTTTTATGAACAATGTTAATATGGAATGAAATGATATTAAATGAAATGAGATGATATGGGGTGAAATATAATCTCAGTAAAATGGTGGTCATTTACTGAGATTTTTTCAGTGGACTTTTGGAGGATCCCGAGAAGTTACGTCCAGCGGCTTTGTTTAATTTTCACATTATACATTATAATAGAATATAATGTATAATTTATTTCATATTACATTATAATAGATGTAAAAGGCGTAAAATTAAATAACGTTTAAGCAAAATTATAGGAATTCACTAAGATTTCAATGGACTTTTTGGAACAACCCATGAATTCAAGTCTATCGACTTGTTCCACTTTATAGCACAAGTTTCACGAATATACACTTTCACAATACACACTTTTACGAATACTTAATAGATGATTAGCAAATTTCTGAAAACCTGCCTTTCAAACTTCTTCGTTATTACTATTTACTTTTATCCAAAACATTGTGTTGCTGTCCCATATACTTAGTCTGGCCATAAATACTGTTACAATTAAAAATAAAAATTCTATTGCATTTACTACTTTTACAGTGTGTTAGTTTAATACATAAATAGAAAACAATTTAAAGTATAAAAAGCTTATTCGAAGTGGTCTCCATTGGCTGCAATACAGTCCTTTAAACGTTGAGGCCAGCTATCAATAGAAGCACGCACTCTTTCCATGGGAAAAATTTTCACTGCCAATCGTACGGATTGTTTTAGGGACTCCAAATTATCATGGCGTTTAGAGCAAGCCGTACTCACTAAAACTGACCATAAATCATAATCCAGCGGATTAAGATCGGGACTAGACGACGGCCAGTCTTCGGCTCTGATGACAAAATTTATAATTTTTAAAACTAGATTAAGTCGAACTATTTTATTTTGTATTACACCATTTAGCAAAAGCGGTATTTATGACAAGTGTTTTTACTATAGGCAAATCAATTATCAATATAATTGATCTATGTATTTTCTTCTTTTTTTTTATTGCCCTTGTAGACAGACGAGCATACGGCCCACCTGATGGTGTGTGGTTACCGTTACCCATGGACTTCAGCTATGCCAGGGGCAGAGCCAAGCCCCTGCCTACCGCTTAATACTCTCCACAAGCCTGGTTTGAAGAAGGACATGTCATAGCGCTCGGGAAACACCGTGGAGGAGAGCTCATTCCATAGCCGTGTACGTGTATAGTACGTGGCAAGAAAGACCTCTGGAAACGCACTGTCGATGAACGCAGCGGTTTCAGATAATATGGATGAACTCTGGTCCGATGGCGGGAGGTGCGATGATAAAAAGGTGATGAGGGGATCATCTCAAGCAATTTTGTTTTGTCAACATTGCATTTTTTCATAATTTAGTTTATTCCCTTAATTTTTAAAACTATCCGATTTTAGTGTCGCAATATATTCCAAAAAATTAATCTAGTAACTGCTACTTTAATTTTAAAGAACTCATACGCAGTTCGCGGTATATAGTATAGGTACTGTATGCCGCAAACTGCAAAATTATACTGTATACTACACTTAACTAGGCAGTTACTCTTTGCCTTTATTTTTATTGCCTTTGTAGATAGACGAGCATACGGTCCACCTGTAATTCCAGGGGCAGAGACAAGCCGATTCTATTTGCGGTCATATTGATAGACGGACGTGGAATGTTGTAGCTATATACTACATTAACACACGCTACGAAAAGAAAAAAGAAAGGAAGTGGTACTGGGCGCATCTTTATTTGCAAACTCGAGATCCGGGCAACCATTTCGAAACACTTTTCAAAGAACTAAAAAAGTATGAAGATAAGATTTTCGGATTCACTAAAATTTGAAGAATTAATGAACATTTTACATTCCCGATCCTGCGGAAAGAATGGAAAGCAGTCGACGTCGCCCAAAACACGTCATTTCGGATCCTCCCGATCCACTAACGGTGCTTCTAGGTACTTCAAGCACCGGTCACCGTTCTCGTCGAACCCGTCGCTTGCGACGAAGGGCTCGACGAGCAAATTAACCCTCAGACACAGCCTACTGAGTTTCTCGCCGGATCTTCTCAGTGGGTCGCGTTTCCGATCCGGTGGTAGATTCTGCGAAGCACGGCTCTTGTTAGGGTTCGTGTTAGCAACGTCGTCAGGTTTAAGCCCCGTGAGCTCACCTACTAGTTAAGGCTATGCTGGAATAGCCTCTCAAGGCTACCAGCTTAGGTAGGAAAAAAAAAGAACATTTTAAAAACATTTTTATTGAAGAAAGATGTTTCTACTTCAAATTTAGCCGTACAGTGCGAATAACTACCGCCAGGCTTGGCGAAATTCGGATCGAAGTCCTCCGACCGACCGACCGGACATTGCGGGTAATCGCATAATACATCGAATAATAACAATAAAAATAGTCTCATATCGCATTAATTTTATTTTTATAATATCTAGATAAGCTAAGAATTAAGTGTTTCATCGGAAACTGAATAACGACGGGAATGTTGCCTGCGCAAAAGTATAGCGCTTACACTTAGTAGAAGAAGTAGAAACACAGCCACTCCGCACATTGCAAGCACACCACCCCGTAACCGGCTTTCTTCTAAAACAAACAAAAGAAAAATGTAAGATATCAGTTTTTTTTTTTTTCCTACCTAAGCTGATAGTCCTAGGGGCTATTTCAGCGTAACCCTAACTTTAGTAGGTGAACCTGAAGACGTTGCTAACACGAACCCTAGCAAGAGCCGTGCTTCGCAGAATCTACCACCGGATCGGAAACGCGACCCACTGAGAAGATCCGGCGAGAAACTCAGTGGGCTGTGTCTGAGAGTTAATTTACTCGTCGAGCCCTTCGTCGCAAGCGACGGGTTCGACGAGAACGGTGACCGGTGCTTGAAGTACCTAAAAGCACCGTTAGTGGATCGGGAGGATCCGAGATGACGTGTTTTGGGCGACGTCGACTGCTTTCCATTCTGTCCGCAGGATCGGGAATGTAGTTACCGGCGGCCACGATGAGAGGGTTCTCGTGTCGTGCCGCTTTATCGAAGTGGATCATCAGTAATTTTTCCATATTAATATACCTAGTCAGGTCATAAATTCTGTCACATGTTTAATATAAAATAATTGAAACATGTTTATTCATTATGTAACCATTCATATACCAAAATGAACTTAACAAAACATAGATTCTTATGACACTAAAGTTTATTCAAAATGAACTCCGTGATTTTGAATACAGGCCTTCAATCTGCGCGGCCAGTCGTCTATCGCAGCACGAACGAGGTCCATGTAATATCGGCGGCTGCCTTAATCAAGAATGTCTTGAGTGACTCCAAATTGGGATGAGGCTTTGAGCACGCCTTTTCCTCCAAGTGTTGCCATATCTTGTAATCTAACGGATTCAAATCTGGACTGGAGGAGGGCCAGTCTTCGTGCCGGATGAAGTCGATTTCACGCGCCGCCAGCCAGTCTTGTGTGCTCTTCGCTCTATGAGCTGGCGCCGAATCTTGTTGGAATACCCAGTGCCTGTTATTGAACATGGTATGAGAAACAGGTTCCACAAGGTTCGTCAGGACTGTATTTTGATACACAACTGCATTCGTTTTTACACCTTTCTCACAAAAATGTACCTCTGTTAAGCCCCAATAAGAAACTCCCAACCATACCATGAGCGAGGATGGAAAATGACCTCGTTGGACACGCGGAATACGGTTGCTCGCTTCTTCACTACTGTGTGCGTACACCTTATCATTTTGTTTGTTGTAGCTCTCTTCTACGGTAAAAATTTTTTCATCCGAAAAAAGAATTTCCCGATATTTTTTTCCCGCGTACCGCTTCAACAAAGCGCGGCATCTCTTCAGTCTCAGGTCCATTAGACGAGCATTCAAACGATGTCCTGTTTTTCTTCGATATGCCCGAAGCCCTAAGTCTTCATTTAACACCCTTTTCACCGTGGTTCTGCTTAACCCCATCTGAAGGGCCAACAGTTTCTGCTTACGTTTGGGATTTCTTTGAATTCGCGCCTTCACAGCTTTTATCACTGCTGGAGTCCTAACAGACCGAGGGCGACCACTTCTTGACCTGTCATCTACACTAGAGTCTTCATTGTATCGTTTGATGGTACGATAAACGAATCTTTTGGTTATATTCAAATATTTTCAGTATGTTAAAAATTTGAATTGGCGCGTAACCGCAACGATGCAACGCAATAACTGCAACACGGTCTTCTTTAAGCGTCCACTCCATATTTAAAAATGAGTAAAATTCTAAAAGTATACATTTTTAGTTTCATGAACAATTCGAAATTCGAATTCAATAAACTTTTTTGTGGCCAGCATTCTAAAAGAAAAGTTTTTACTGTGTGACAATACTTATGACCTGACTAGGTACTTAGCTTATAGGCAAAATATATAAAATGAAATTATTCTATAATAATCGACATCTCATAATCGGCTCATCTGCCTATATTAACTTAATTTATCAAATAGCGAAAATTGTTGTGCCTGTGACTCTGAAATAAACATTATTTTTCAAGATCAAGAAAGAAATATTCATGAAATCGATTGAGTTGGTCATTTACCATACATTTTATTTCATCAAACGTCTAAACTATGGAGAGTAGAAGTAAGGAAGACCAACTCAGTGCATTATAAAGTGTTCCGTGAAAGGGAGACATTTAGGCAAAAAAAAAGGCCGCCATAGTAACCAGTGGAAAGATTTTAAAAACTGCGCCATGAACTATTAAAATCCGATACCAAATTATGAAGGAATTAAAAACATTTCCTACGTAACTGTATAGATTGTTGAGATTTTATATAGTGCATATTACATTTCAAACGACGTAAGTCACGAAAAATATTATATTTTTCAATCCAGCATTTTTTAAGCTTAAGCGACCGAATCATGAAATTCCGTAACGAAAAAACCTAACACCCCTCACTCCGCCTACCATGTAGCTCGCGTTCAACACATTCACACGTTGCGCTTGTGTAGTGTTTGTGAATAAGCGCGTGGCGTGACGTCACACTGCATGCACATCATGAAAAGTCTGCCCATCTCTCTATCGCGCGGTCTAGCTTATGAGTGGGAAGGGGACAGTTAATGTTTTGCTTTTATTAATGTTTAATATAGCGTGGTCTTATTTTATTATTGTTTTAATATTAAATTATCATTGTCTAATTATAATTGCATAAGTTGATAAAAAATGCTATAGCTTTACCGCGGCAGTTCCTGAGTGCCACCATTTTTTTTTTTATTACTTAGATGGGTGGACAAGCTCACAGCCCACCTGGTGTTAAGTGGTTACTGGAGCCCATATACATCTACAACGTAGACGCGCCAACCACCTTGAGATACAAGTTCTAACAGATACCTTGAGATACAAGTTACAACGGTTACCCCACCTATCAAACCGAAATGCATTACTGCTTCACGGCAGAAATAGGCAGGGCGGTGGTACCTTCAACCATTCCAAAGGTTCCAAATTCAGTGTCCCTATTTGTTGTTATCTATAAGCTGACATATTAGTTTAAGACATGAACAAGTACACTTAGAAGCCGAATCTCAAATAAACATACAGATGTAACTTCAAATCAAGGCCGGACCCCATGTGAGAGAAATCAGCATCACTCAACTAACGAGACATTCAAAGAAATTGAATTCGATTTCTCCCTATTTACAACAGCAATTGAAAATTAAAATCATAGCAAATAGTTGTTTACCTTGTTCTAAGGCGAGCTGTTCTGTTTGATCAGGTTTAGAAATTAAGTTTGACAATTCCGGCAGATATTTCAACCAAAATTCGACATCGTTGTTATAGCTTTTGTAGTACTTTCCATTAGATATAATATAAATATGAGCATCGCCCACCATATATTGTCGCCATTTACCGTCTTCGACGGGGTATCTGGAATTTACGTGGCCTTTCAAGCATACAAATGGTTTTTTTTTTTGCTTATATAGGTGAACGATCTCACGGCCCACTAGGTGTTAAGTGGTTACCGTAGCCCATAGACATGCACAACGTTAATGTCGCCACTTAACTTGAGACATGAGTTCTAAATCTCGGTTTATTACAGCACATCGGCTGCGTCACCTTCCAAGCCGAAACGCATTACTGCTTCACGACAGAAATTGGCAGGGTGGTGGTACCTACCCGTGCGGGCTGACTAGACACCCTACCGCCAGTGATTACGTAAATTGTATGTTCTGCAGGTTTGATTTTTATTACACAATGAAATTCCTTCAGCGTGGAAGCCAATCGAGGTAGTCAGTCAATAATTAATTTGAAAAATTGGTACCGGTCCTGAAATCCTTTATACAAATGTCTTTCTATATTTCAGTACTTTGCCACGACCAATGCGTGTCTCATTATAAAATTTATAAAACCTGGTTCTCGCTGCAACACAATAACGACTAGTACTATCGCTTGTAGAGAAAAACCTAACGGACATACGCATACTTTCGAGTGGTATTTAATTTAAATTATTTATTTACAGACAAAACATTTATATTGACAATACGAACCCGTGTTTGATGAAATTGATAATTATTTTTCTAAATAGAGATGAAATCTGTTTTTCATCTGCTGTTGCGAGTCGACGGGCTATTTGCATTATCATAGGGTTTCCTAGTAATGATACTAGATTCGTTCCGTGCGTTGCCCCTGAAATTAACGATATGCGAGTAAGTTTTGGCCTCATTTAATTTTAACTAAATTTATATTTTCTACTCCTAACCACAATGGTTCCGAAGTTTGGAATATCGCGCCTAAGCGATTCATGACGTCTGAAATGAAGATCGCCTGTCTTCTTTACCTAGTCCTGTGCAATTTGAAGTCATTTTACTCCTCTACTCACTCAACAAACATACCACTGTCTCAATAAAAGTACCCAAACGACGACAGACAGGACGTTTATTTTCACGAATTCTGCCTTTCAATCATTGTTTTCACCCACGTGCAAATTTTAAGGTACAGTTAATGTTATACGTTAATGTTATAATACAGTGTTAACAACACGATTGGTACAACCGGAACCTAGTTATATCGTTACGGCTGCAGAATTTATATTTCTGCTGCTGCTTCTTATTTATTTAAAATAAATCAATGTTACTGGATATTTCTTATTGCTTGGATGGGTGGACGATCTCACAGCCCACCTGGTGTTAAGTGGTTACTGGAGCCCATAGATATCTACAACGTAAATGCGCCAACCACCTTGAGATAAAAGTTCTAAGATTCTGATCTCAGTATAGTTACAACGACTGCCCCACCTTCAAACCGAAACGTATTACTGCTTCACGGCAGATATAGGCAGGGCGGTGGTACCTACTCGTGCGGACTCACAAGAGGTCCTACCAGCAGTAATAAATAATATATAACAACTTTAAATACCTACCGCTAAAATTCATGTATCGCCCGTAAAGATCGACTCCTCCTGGCTGAGAATACCGGTACACATATAGTCGAGCCGCGATGCGGGCTATTCTAGCGGCCAGGAGCGCACCGCCGGCGTCCCATTTAGCCGACGTTTCTAGTTTTGCAACTTTTTCTATAGCTTCGTTTATATTCGTCAGCCTCTGAGGTACATCATTCCAGTATTCCCAACGGATGGCCTTTACGAGCTAAAATTGAATTTATTGTCACCGTCTCCGTTTAAAATATTTTTTTGCATGATGGGTGGACGGTCCCACAGCCCACCATGTGTTAGGTGGTTACCGGAGCCCATAGACATATATAACGTAAATGCCGCCTGCCGAGTTCTAAGGTCTCAGTATAGTTACAACGGCTACCTCACCCTTCAAACCGAAATGCATTACTGCTTCACGGCTGAAATAGGAAGGTCGATGGTACCTACCCGTGCGCACTCACAAGAGGTCCCAGTTCCCACCATCAGTACACAAGAGGTACACCTTGAATAAATCTAGATATAAATAGGCAATTATAAAGAAACAGTTATGTGCTATATTTCTAGTCTATTTGCCAATCTTTTATTTGTTTGGTAGTTATTGATGAGCTTTTTTTATTAATGAAAGAACATGGAAAGTGTTTCTTTCTCTTTAAAAATATTAAAATTAAATTTCTAAGACATTTTCATTTTGTCTTTATTCTTTTAAATGTAATTTTGTTGGTATGATCATTGCATTGTTCTAGACGAGCTCACAGTTATTAGTGACTACTTGAAATAAAACATCACATTAAAATATTTAAAAAAAATCTCAATTCTATTGTACAAGGACGTATTCCATGAAGAGATTTTGGATCGAATGTGTATCGTGATAGTGTATTTTCTACTTTAATTCAAGCGAAAAACGTAATTACTGAACCCAAATTAAATATCAAAACAATGCTCTAAATCCAAGTTCACTAAAACTGACATTTCATACCAAAATTAGTTTGATGTTTGAAGTAATAAAAAATTACCACGGGAAAATCTTCAGCTGCTCCCAACGACAACATTTGAAGTAATTTAGGTATGATTCGAGAATCTGCAATCTTAGAAATGTGTAGAGGACTAAGATTGTTTAACTCTGCGTATGTTTCATCTGCAGAAAAAAAACCATAATGACTTTTAGTCAATATTACAAAAATGCAATAAGAATCAATGCATCAGGTGTTTATAGCAAAACGATTCGAACAAACCATTGTAGTTAAGGGCATCAATGTCGTTTGTACCCAACAGTAGATCAATCGGCTTCTGTTTTCGTTTCGCCTGCGATAATGCTGTTACTAATGAAACGGGCAAGAACTGTTCGGAATCTGGCAGGAAGTCGTCCGGGATCGGGTGCAAATATTTACTCCAGGTTTTGTTCTAAAAGCACCGATATTGGTTTACAACACACTGGTAATTAGCCCTTTGAATGCCATATAGGTCACCGGTGCCCTTATGTGGCGCCTCTTCAGGCCTCTTCATACCTGTTCCGTGACTTTTATTTATATATTTTTTAATGCAAAGATGGGTGGACGAGCTCACAGCCCACCGGGTGTTAGGTGGTTACCGGAGCCCATAGACGTCTACAACGTAAATGCGCCGTCCACCTTGAGATATAAGTTCTAAGGTCTCAGTATAGTTGACTAAGTTGCCGAAATATCTAGTAGACTCTGAGAAAGACGAATCCGAATATACTGAGAATGAAACAATTTCTAGGAGACCTTAAAACACTAAAACATAAATTGAATACAATAGAAGGAAAAAGTTAGGCAATCTAGGGGGTTAGTAACAGAAATCATAACTTGAGTGCGCCACGTAGGGCAGCGGTGACCTACACGGCGCTCAATGTGTTAAGAATTTACAATGATGCTACTAATTAACAATGTAATATCTACATTTTTTTATTTGCTAAAATCGTATTGTTTATTGTCTTGTTAATATATGAGCTTGACGAAGCTATGACGAATATATAAAACAAAAGAACAGTCTTGCTAGTTCCTGTTGTATTTGTGTTAAGATTTAATAAATACTATCAAACAAAGAATATTCGATGGTGCGCGATTTATTACAGCGATAAACGTCATATATTTAGCGATAATATATATAATAAAAGCAAAACGAATCACTAGTAGACAATACCTTTGTTATCTATATTAGGTATTCTAATAATATGTATATAACATTACCGGATAGAGAGCTATTATATCAGAGAGCGGGCGAGTTTGCAGGCAGTTAATAATATCACTTTCCCCGTTGTCATTACATCCGAGTACCCTTACTATCTCCTGAGAAATTCTATAGGTCTGATTGTTGGTCGATTTCTCATCGATTGCTTGCCAAATATACTGAGGAGACATTAAAATCGCTCTATGAAATAAACCTGAAAGAATTTGTATTATTAAATTGTTATCACAAGTTAGGCCTGTAATTCGGGTGTTCGTTCACAAAGTTCTTTCGGGGATGGGCACTCCTCTTCTTAAATCACAGTGTTGCTACGACGACCGGCATTTGGTTTGCAAATTTGACATGAACGCAGTAGTTAAAGTTGCCGTCTAGATATGGCAATGTTGAAAGACATTGGAAGCTTTTCAGTCATCGCAAGGTGTCTGTCTATTCGACCTTATAAACCCACTGGCCACCCTATGACACTAGTTCTCTACCGGCGTAAAATGTTTTTGTTGAATGTCTGGTGTGTGCTTAATTTTTTTATTGCTGTATTTTCATAGACGAGGTCATTGCCCAGCTAGAGCTACATAATTATATACGTAATCGGAGCCATTTTAAAACAAGATTGAGGTCTGAATTGCTATGGTAAAACGGCTATCCTACGCTGCGAAGTCGCCGAGTGCACATAAGCTGATGCTTAATAAAGAAATAGAAGTCAAATGAGTACTGATTTCATGTTAATCTTTGTTACATTTTGAAGCGTATATTTTGAGTAAAAACTTAAAGGCAAGCATCAAACATGATATAACGGCTGCTGTGGTTTAACATTTTTCTTCGATTAAGATTTCTTACTTACATAGTTACTGAAAAAATATACGATATAATAGTGAAAGACGTAGAAGTACCTGTTGATCGAGGTGACACCAAGTGGTACAATATGCTGTCGGCACCCGCAGAATGTCCTAATAATGTAATCGTTGCGGGATTACCCCCAAACGCCGCTATGTTATCACGTATCCACACAAGAGCGAGGTATTGGTCCAGTAGAGCAAGATTGCCACGTGCCGATTTAGATTTCAGTGTGAAAAATGCTAAAAGATGTAAACGATAGGACATTGTGACCACTACGACACCTTCGCCAGCTAATTCTTGGCAAGGCAACGTTGTTCCACCGCGAGTCCATGATTCACTGTACAGCAAAACAACGACTGGTAACGCGACACCTTCGGTGGGCTATCTGAAAGAATATTATTCATAGACATCTGGGCATAATAATATATTATATTTTATTATTTATAATTTCTTCACCCAGACTAAGTAGGTACACGTTATTTTAAGTTCTGGAGGATTGAGTACGTACCCGCGGAGTCCACACGTTTAAAAATAGACAATCTTCACTTGCATTGTCATTATCGGGATCTTCTTCACAAGGGCAATGTGGGGGTATACGACGGGCAAAAAATGTACGTTCCCATCCAGTGTGTCTTACCGGTGCCTTTGAAATTAAGTACAATGTTAAATCGTCACATTACTTACACAAAATAAAACAAAAATTAGTAGTTAGAAGAAATGGTGAAAGCATCTGGACGCAAGCATTTTATGTATTTCCTATTTATCTTTTATAAATTATAATCACTTTTTGTTTGTTTGTTGTTGTTCTGTTCTTCATGGTGCTGCGCATGGACAACATTCACGAAGACATACTGTTTAATAAACCATAAATACTTACTTTAATTAATAAACCCAGTGTTTTTACTATTTAACTAATTTCTTACCAAAAATCTATGTCGTCCAATAGGCGGAATAGCGTATGGTATACCATAATAAACTTCGATAGGTGTAAGAGTGCTTTCAGTAAAAACTTTAATCTGTAATATAAGAGACAAGAATTTTGACAGATCGGTCCTTAGTGTTAAAAATTACCATTCTTTTAATTTCTATCGACATTTAGAACATCCACAAACATAGACAGTGCAAATACATAATAATATTATATTTTCCTCAGAAAGATGAAATTAACCGGTTTTGTAATAAAAAAATATGTTTTTCATTATGATGTTCCAATCTATTAAGTTAGGACCTTAAACCAATAGGATCGGGTTTCAATGCAGAACTCAAACTTTGCCGGCACATGTCGAAAAGTTCTGAGTCTGCTGTGTGTGTTTGGTCGGTGAATAACGAATGTTTTATTTTATTCGCAGGTAGACTAAAAGTAGGTTCGAGGCTGATTACTGGTACTCTTTTACAAGGGAAATACCAATGGCTTATAGGTAGGAATGGAAATTAAGCTTTTTTTTTTAACCGCGAACCAATTGCGAGGGAAATGGGAATGTGCCCTAAAATTTAATTTACTAAAAATTGTTACCCGACATTAATGAACCGAGAGTCTGAACGTATTAGTTAAAATATTTATTATGGACTTACCCCGATGATACGACCTTGACGTAAATTTGCCACCGGATCTTGTGCACACGAAAACGATAACATTAAATAGTAGAAAAGAAAAATGTAAAACATTTTAAATCCTTAAACTATGTACTTTTAAATATAATTTACTCACGTTAATAATTAACTAACATTTAATTTTACGTTATAACGTGTGCAGTGTGTTACAAAACTGATATTTTGCCATTCTGTCTATCGACAAATGGAAATTAGATCACACAATGGCTGGTCCTCAGTCCATGACGAGGGCACCGTGACGTTGGCTGACCACCTTTTGTTCCAAAATCAGTTCAATCTTTTGTTTACACTATTGTATATAAATATCAAAATCTAGCTACATTGCGGTGACGAAATTGCGGTAGATATAAAATATTTTAAAATCAATTTTATTGGTAAATTTTAAAATAACAAGTAAACACAGAAAAGTTGTAAAATAATGATTAGAAAGTGAATACATAATTATTGTAAAAACTATGAATTAAGCACGTGAGGTAATCCAATCCAGTTAATGAATCAAAGGCATCCAATTCCAAGTCCATGATTCTATTGTACTTTTATACCCTAGTACTAGCTAGAGCCATGTCAATTTTTTTAAACAAAATTTTGTAGTAATATTGTATTGGTTGATTGTTGGCAAAGCCAATGGTAGCCAATAACAACCCGTAACCGAGAAGAATCGATAGCAATTTGTGACGTGCTAGCCAATGACGAAAACCACCTGAAATATATTCAAAAATAAAATAATAATAATCGGAAAACAAATGATAATTTAGTCACAGGAACCAATTAAACTTTTTTAATTTAAAACCAGGTTGAGCATTTTAATGTACCTACTAACAAGAATAGGGACACGTGCGAACTTGATGTATAATAAATACAGTTTAAAAACAAACAAAAAAACACATAAACATCAAACCAAAAAACACTTAATTTTATTTTATCCTGTTGATACCTTATGAGGACATTATAGCGAATATATAAAGTAGTATTATCACTGGTCCATGCTACACGTGCAAATTTTCAGTTTACGACTTCTTGAAATCAATGAAAATGACATTCAAAGATACATACAAACACACAGTACATATCAGGATGATAAAAACGTGTTAAAAATGTTTAACTTACGGAACCTACCATTTCTATTCGAATTCCTTGCGTGAAATCTCAAAGATGCGGGTTGTTTCGCGTAAACCAACAGATAACGGATTCTCACTAAGTCACAATTAGTTACAATATATTGGGTAACTTGTGTTTCGCCATTTACTCGCATATGATCAGTCTTTCCATCTTTATAAAGTCCATCACCTTAAATTTTAATAGACATTTTTAATCAAAATATGTACATGATTTTGTTGTCACGTGAATACAACATAATATAGTAAAAGTGTACATACGTAGACTTAGATTTAATGTTGTGATTGTTAGCTAGCTTTGACATTTAAATATATGAGTCAAACATTTAAAAAAAATATTACATTTAAATGCTCCATCTTTGGGATTTTGGACTTAGACGCCATAAATCGGACGTTCTTTTGCGTTAGAATTAGATGTACATATTTATCACCCTTTAAGTTTTATTAATACATTCGCGAACATATTGTGTGTAATTATCTTTAAGTATAAATCTTTTATTCAATATTATTGTTCATAGTAAAGAAATCGTTAATTTCTTTGCTTAAATGATTCTTGTCAGGCCGATGATTGTCTAGAAGAAATCGCTCTTAGCCATAAGAACGCTCATTGTACCTACTTATTTATAAAAGGTTTGTACCTGTGATTATTATACTTAGTCTGGCCATAAATACTGTTACAATTAAAAATAAACAAAATATTAAACTAAAACAATCCTTACGATTGGCAGTGAAAAAATTTCCCATGGAAAGAGTGCGTGCTTCTATTGATAATTGGCCTCAACGTTTAAAGGACTGTATTGCAGCCAATGGAGACCACTTCGAATAAGCTTTTTATATTTTAAATTGTTTTATATTTATGTATTAAACTAACACACGGTAAAAGTAATAAATGTTATTTGCAATAGATTTTTTTTTTCCTTTGTCTCAGTTTTTATTGCAAGACTAGGTATATTGAAATACAACAAAAAACATATTATACGCTACTCTACTCGAAAATCGGATGGTGCAAAAAAAAACTTTAATTTTATTTTATTAAAAAATAAAGATTTTTGTAATTTTCCATTCATATTATTAATTCGAAAGTAACTATATCTGTCTATTACGTTTTCACGCTATGAAACGATTTTGACGAAATTAAATATGATAATAATATGTAGTTTGAATTTTGAGACAGAACATAGGCTGCCCTTCGTCTCATTAGTGAGCATGGGTCTCCGCTAACGTAATTTAAGTGTCACGTGATCAAACGAGCGAAGTCATCAATAAATTGCAGATTTGACCGTGAACGGACGGATGTTCGCTTTCCGTCCGATAGACGAATTGTTTGGCTTCTTTTTAATAGAGGTGGGGATTTGTAGATTTACAACTGGTATTAAGTAGTGAGCGAAGCCCAGAGACGACACATCGTAAGGTCTTGTCTGTACCTCTGGAATGTGCCTTTGAAATTGCAGATATCCTTGACCGCAAATGACCAAATATCAAGTGATGGCCCACATGCACATCTTATATAGAAGGCCATAAAAACAAGTGCTTCGCAAGTATCCACAGAAAAAATACTTAAAAAACTAACTTACTGACTATTCTCTGTTCTAAACTAACCTTCATTGGAGACTGGCTTTTGGTAATTGATCCCTTCGGGTGCATCAACCACTTCGCACAAGGCTACACAAGATAAGTGACCTCCGATACAACTCGCCCCCCATCCGAAGCCTCCATGACTGTGAGGTATTGTCGCACTTAGTTCTGGCGACAGGTATACTCCATTACCCAGCGAAGTATTCTACGAATTCATTTGACGGGCCCATTAATTATTTTTACATGCTATACTTTTTTAATTGCACTAGTGGGGTAGATAAGATCAGAGCCTATCTGGTGTTAAGTGGTTATCGGAGTTCATAGATATCATAACGTGAACACTGCCATTCACCTTGAGACATAAGTTCTAAGATTCAATTTTATTGTGTAAAGGCTGTTTTAGCTGTATAAAGGTGTGTTTTATTTCTTTAAACCAAATAAATGGCAAATTAACGGGATTGTTTTTTGTTATACGATGTTATTTACCGTGAAAGTCTTACACGAACAAGTGTTACTTATAAAGGTATTTCCTTAGAAAAAATGCAACGACTTTTATGATTTAAATAAACGCGCTTTAATGAAATACGTTCTTGTCAAATGTTCACGATTGATTGCCACACAAAAGGAATAACATCGTGTAATAAAAATCAAACCCACAAAATTATAATTTGCGTAAATACTGGTGTTAGGACCTCTTGTGAGTCCGCGCGGGTAGGTACCTACCTAGCACCACCCTGCCTATTTCTGCCGTGAAGCAGTAATGCGTTTCGGTTTGGAGGGTGGGGCAGCCGTTGTAACTATCGGCACTTGAGACCTTAGAACTTATATCTCAAGATGGGTGGCGCATTTACGTTGTAGATGTCTATGGGTTCCAGTAACCACTTAACACCGGGTGGGCTGTGAGCTCGTCCACCCATCTAAGCAATAAAAAATAAATAAATAAAAAGTTTAGTTTATACGTTGTTACTTTATACGTAGTTATTTAGTTTATACGTCACGCCAACTTCCAATTCAACTAAGAAATAATTAAGTAACTTTATATATCAACCTTGTTCAAATGCTGTTGTAAACCAAAATTGAGAATCGTATAAAAGTTCTCCAAACGATTTCCGTGATACGCATAAAATACATTATGATTTTTGGACAGTTCTTTCCACTTTAGTTCGACAGTAGATTTGTTAGAACTGATAACTTGAAAAATGTGTTGCGGTTTCGATGGTGTCGTCATAGTATTTGCCATCGCTAAGATTTGTTCGTGCTGAAAGTATAATATTATAACTATAGATAATACACATAAATTAGTTAATTATAACCAAGTGAAAACTTATAGTGGTTAATAAAATTCTGTAATTTTATGCTACATTAATAGGTAGGGGGAGGGATACATTACCACATCCGTTGGTACTGTTTTTAATGTTGGTTCTTTAAGTCGCACAAGGACGTAAAACAATAAGTCGATGATATCACTGATATTTGGCAACGCTTCCAAATTATCCAATTGTTGTAGCACCAAATCCAAAGCTGGCACGTCAGTGATTACACTAAGCTGAAACAAGCGTTTAGAGATATCTTGTGAAATGTTACATAACATTTATTTAAAGTGTATTCGATCGTAACTTAAAGGTTACTGGTGGTAGGACTTCTTGTGAGTCCGCGCGGGTAGGTACCACCGCCCTGCCTATTTCTGCCGTGAAGCAGTAATGCGTTTCGGTTTGAAGGGTGGGGCAGCCGTTGTAACTATACTTGAGACCTTGGAACTTATATCTCAAGGTGGGTGGCACATTTACGTTGTAGATGTCTATGGGCTCCAGTAACCACTTAACACCAGGTGGGCTGTGAGCTCGTCCACCCATCTAAGCAATAAAAAAAAGAAAAAAAAAGGTTAAATTCGAAACTGAGTATTCAGAAACATCGCTTCATACAATCACAAAAAAATTGAACCGCTATCTATCATAGAAATGAAGTTTTGCATTAAGGCTTCATTACAAGATGGAAAAAACCTTGGGCGCCATAATGATCTAATCCTATCAAATGCGGTCAAGAACGGGTACGAATTTTTTTTTGCTCAAAAACTATATTTTAACTAATATTTATATTTCAAAAAAAAATATATCGCGTATTTTGTTTTATTTATCTTGAAAATTTTAAGACTCTGCGAACATGTCTCAAGGCGGTAGATAGGTACGTTTTGTGGTATTTAAGGGTGATATAACTAAAAAAAAGGGTGCTATCCACACAGCCGAGGACAGGCAGGAATGGCGCAAAATAATACAGGAGAAAGTTAATTAGAGGAGGCCACGACCCTCAGCACTGAGGATTATCGACGCAAGGAGGAGGAACTAAAATATAAAAGGTAAACAATCGGATGGTAAGCTCTTTACCCCGCCATACAAATAAAAACAATGCCGACCGACGGTAACCTTTCGGTAATATTCTGTGCTGGATGGATTTCTGTGCTGGACGGATTTCACGTTTAAACGAAAAATAAATAATATTTTACAAATCTAGATACCAATTCGTCCATGTCTTTGATGCCACTTTTCATAAAAGCCGGAGGAAAAGGTCGTAGACAACTTTCATAACGAAAACTAAAAGCGGCTGCTACGAATAAACTCCATTTCAAATCAGCGGCTTTGAAGTCTTTTTCCAAAACAAGTCTGAAAAACGGTTAAAACTTGTAAAATCATTACAAGACCTAAATCTGTGAATGTTTCTACCGCAAATCAAGCAGCATTTAAGTTTGAAGGGCACGAAGTGTGTTGTTATTCGTTCTAATATTAAATTAAATCAGTAGTTATGAGTAGATATGAGTCGTTTCAACAAATGGATGTTGTTTCATCAAATTCCTTTTATCTAGCGTTTTTCGCAAATTAGTCAACAATAAATACGCGGCTGCGACCCCATGTCTCGTAATGAGTGACCCTTTCTCTTTTTTGGGCTCAGATAATCAATCATCAACAGGTTGATATCTCGACATTCCTTCGAGAGTAATATAAATCAGAATAAAGCTTTAGTGTTATTGCTATGATTTGTGTTTTTTTTAAACATATTTTTTATCAAAAACATTACAATGAAACGTGAAGCCGGTTTTTCGATATTTTTTTCAGTTTAATCAGTTTACAGATTATTGATCTGGGTCCTTGAATTATAATATATAGGTGTCCAAAATCCAGATGGTTTTAACAATTCGTTTTTGATTTTGAATTTTACTATTACATAATTGTCTTATGTTCTGTTTAAACAGCTTTTCATTAAACTACTTAGATGCTTGAATAAAATAAAATCAATTATTGCTACAGAACCTCAGATGAACAGCCTTTTTTTCCAAAGTGTCCAATTTGGTTTGATTGATATCCGACATTGTCTCTGATACCGAGGCTATATTACAATTGGTACCCGTTTCTGATAACACCTCGTGCTCTCTCTCCATTTTATGAATAAACAAACATTGCCTTCAGTTTGTAGTTTTAAATTTGTATGGATTTATAATTGACAATTTTGAATAGTAAAAAAAATAATAGATTAGTGTAATTATATAATAAAAAATTTAAGACATTTCACTGCCTCTTAAATTACTTTGACACGGTAGCTCAACCACTACCTGCCAGTTTTTAATTTAATAAAAAGTTTTAATGGTGAACGCTTGTTAAAAAGTCTAGTGAAACCTAAAATTCTGATAGCTGGAAGCTTTGATTATTTTACAAAAATACTTAAAATAAGCCCCAATTCGAGTTTGTCTGTGCTATATTAATTTAATATAGTAACCGGCAAACTTCTTGAGCAAATGACCCTTGCTTGCACTTTGCATGAGGAAGAGATTTTTGACGTTGATGGAAATTCTAAATTGTCGCAACATTTTCTAGTTAAGCTTAAGTCACATCGTATTCATAAGATAGCCGTTAAAATAATATGTATTTAGATATATTATTGTCATAAAATGTTTGAAATCCTGTAAAACTAAACAAATAAGAATTATGTATCAGAATCAACTTCCAAACTACTAGAAAATCCACTAACCACTAAATTTTGATAACTAAGACAGGGGTCCAAATCACAAGATTTTGTGGAAGATCCACTAAGCTAGCAACACTGCTTTTTGTTTGTAATATGTGCGAGAGGGACACCACCACTTAATAATCATTCTCTTTTCAGACCGTTTTTCCTTCTTTTGATATTTAAAAATAAACTTTAAGCCACAGAGATAAAGTATATTTTTAGTTTTTATGTCAAACNATTTTGATAACTAAGACAGGGGTCCAAATCACAAGATTTTGTGGAAGATCCACTAAGCTAGCAACACTGCTTTTTGTTTGTAATATGTGCGAGAGGGACACCACCACTTAATAATCATTCTCTTTTCAGACCGTTTTTCCTTCTTTTGATATTTAAAAATAAACTTTAAGCCACAGAGATAAAGTATATTTTTAGTTTTTATGTCAAACGAAGTAAGCACTCCAGTTAAAATACTAACTCTATGGGCCGTAGTCACAGCCATAGTACATTTCGCCACAGATTAATATAATAAATAAGTACCTAGTAACATTTCGGCAACTTTACACTACTATTTACAAATTATAAAGTACCATAATTAATACACATAATAGTAGTAACTATAGTAATTCAAATTGAGTTTTTGTTTGTAAAAAAGTTGGAATACTGGCAAAAGTGTATTCCTCTGCAAACAAATTTATTGCTCAATACCTAATCACCATCAGATTTTTGGTTCTATTTGTTTTTTGTTCGCTTTTTTCAGTATGGCAATCATTTTCTCGGAATGGCATTATTACCAGAATATATTAAGTGTATAATCTATGATTACCAGCGTTGAGTTTAATAAAATCTCAATTTATTACTTTGAAACTTCAAAAGTGAAATAAAGTTGATACCTGTACTTGATATTACATAAAAAAAAATGTATGCATTACTTTTTAGGTAAAAGTTCCATGCGAAGAATATCATTATAGTTTGTGTGATTGAAAGCTCTGTGGTAGTGTTGTCATCGTAAATGTTTTCCAAGGAAATTGATGGTTTTTAAATTTTAAAATACAAAACTTAGTCGGTTGGTTTTTAACTTTAGAAATAAATAATCACTTTAATCTAGTTAAAATATAAAATAGTCTAGTTAAAATATAAATATAATTCTATATGAATATAGTCAACGTAATCCTTAAAAACTTGAATGAACTATGCTTTGCATCTCAAGCAATTTTCTAAACTTCTAGATGGAATATAGGGTATAAAACACAGATATAACCTAAGTCTCTCCATTAGTCCCGATGTTCCAAGTCAAATAACCCGTTAGAACGGGATTATCAATCGTCCGAATGGCCTTGTTGTGTAGGGAGTGAAACGGAAGTAGTTAATATTTAGAAGCATTATTCTATAATCATAATTTTTTGTCGTTTACGTTTTAACTTGTTATTACGACTATTTACGACAACAATGTAGGTTTCCTGTTACCAGGGCTGGTACCAGTACTGTATCATTTTTAAGCTTATTTTTTCAATTTCGGTTGATTTAGGGGAATGTAGTTAAAAATATATGACAATGTGTTTATCGTTTGCGCTCGTACATAATTGTGATAAACAAGTGCATTGAAATATACTTTATCCACATCTAAAATGTGACTCATAATAATATATAATAGAGGAACTCCTCAGATAGGTTCATTTTATGCTAATTTATCCTTTTTGAAGTGAAAACTTCTTTAGAATCTTTGTGATTTCAAACCAGATGCAACGGAAAAAACGACAGGTAAGAGACACAAATACAAAAATGTGTAGGATGAAGCCAGCAAAGAATGAGACAGAAATATACATACTATTTAATACAGCGCCATCTGTGAGATTTTTTAATACTAACGTGTGTATGAAAGCTCTTGTAGTGAATTTTAATTTAGGATTATACGTGAAATTNGAGATTTTTTAATACTAACGTGTGTATGAAAGCTCTTGTAGTGAATTTTAATTTAGGATTATACGTGAAATTAAAATATCAATTCACAGAGGGCGCTACCTTACAATTATTTACTAATGACAAAATTTTACATATACTTAAGACGCTTAGGATAATTGTATTTTAATTTTGGAAGGTTTCACTTCTACCACGTGTGAATTGCACACATGTAATTTTTTTTTATTTTTACTATTAAGCAGCTTTTCTAGATTGAAATGTGCAGCACATGGTCTAAGGATCAAAGGCCAAAGTTAGTGGTTACTTCAGAAAATTTATAGCAACACTACCTGTTTGACGGATTTTAAAAGTTGTTGGTTGTTGTAATGGAAAATGGCGTTTGTGTCGCGTGAAGTATTGTAAATATTTGTTTTATGTAATTGTTGGAAACATCTAAGAATTGTGAATGAAATATTTTATTATAATTAACCTTAAAGAAATTAAAACTTGAACTAATGGTAATGAGTCTGTTGACCGATGTCTGCCGTGGCTCCAACTATCCCCGGTTTGTACTGAAATTAAACATATTTTTAGCCATTGTTATGCATACGGAAATATTCTTATTTACTTCTTATATTTTGTTTATTAATTTCCGTTGTAATAACGCTTTAAATTAAACAGTATGTGATCGACCTATTTTTCAATTTGACAAGTCCGCGTGACGCGTTGTTTGAGAAACTTAGCAAATTCTCACAACCGTATACGTAGTATTTCTTCGTGAGCAAAAAATGAGGTTGAAATAAAATATAGATTTCTTTTAGGTTTTAATTCAGTTCAGTGGCTTTCGTATATAAATTAGTATTATTAATAAAATGAAAACTCAAAATATTCTAGGGAATTCATATAAAAATAAGCAAATAAAACTTTAAACACACTTCAGTTCATTCACTATTTGTGCTCAAATGCTTTTACTCTCTTGACCTTGATTTTAGTAATCATATTGTTGTTTCTTACATATTACAGTGTTGTTCAACATTCACTTGATGCTGTGTGATTAGATTAAGCACAATACTATTCCATAAAAGTAAAGGAAAAGTAGGGTTGAGGCTATACATACAACAAAAAATGTATTTAAATACATGCTTAATAGATGTTGTTATTATAGGGGCTGACCCAGCAAAGGATTTACAAAAACGCCGTGCTGGCAGTGTTGGGTGAGTTACAAATATATTATATATAATTACTTGTATTGTATCTTCACTGCAAACAATATAAGATTAAGAAAAATAAAATGTACATCTGTGGCCATTGAATAAAGATTTAAATATTTGAAACCATTTATGGCTGTCTTATTTTTTATGGTTACTATTTTTCAATACTTATTAATGACTTCAAAACTTATGAAATTTGTTAGTTAATTAAATATATCTTTTCGCATATATTTAATTTTATCACAAGGCGTAAGTTTTCCAATAGATTAATGATATCTATGCTACGGACATGACATTACCAAAATACTGAAATCATCCACAGAAAATAGATAATGAAAAATAAAAATACCTAGTTAGGACAAAAAATCACATCTGTTCTGGGCTCCCTAGTACTGCCTATTTTCATTTATCTGTTCATAAGAGAGGGCACTTCAGATTTTTAATACCTGGATAGCTTAAAGCCCCTGGATGTTTGTAATTTGTACTTTCTATCACCAAGCATGAATACCTAAGGCATGTTCACAAATGTCTTCTACAAGCATGTAATAACATATTATTATAATAAGCATAAAAAATAATTTGCAATTTTTTTGTTGACAATTGTCTATTGAGTAAGTGATACTGTGTAAGTGTGCACTGTCTAGGTACCACCACTCCATCTATTTCTGATGCAAAACAGTGATGCTTCCCAGTTTGGAGGCTAGGACAGCCATTATACAGTACAGACCGACCCTCATGTCTCAAGGTAGATGAGGCATTAATATGAGTTCTGGTAACCAGATCAAAAGCTGGTTCACTATATCTTTACATTAAAAAAAGTGTAAATTTAAACTGCTGTTATATATGTGAGATATTTAGTAGTCAAATTTATTACTGTGATAATATAAATTCAGTTCTTACAAAAAAGAACAAAAATTTAACAATCAAAAAATAAAATAAAACAAGAAGTGAATTCTTGGTTATCTTGATAAATATATTGATTCAAGCTACAATTCTAGTCTCATCAATCAGAAGTAATTGAAGATTGCCATAAAATAAAAAGTGTTTGAATTAACTAAATATAATTAGAAAATGTATTGCTGATGATAGAGTAAATTGAACTAGGTGATTTTCCAGTCCCAATAGTTTTGCTTGCCAATTTTCCTATTACCACACAATAATTTATTAAACAGGAACTAGTATTTTCGGGAACTTTTCTAACCCTACACTAAAGTTTAGATGAGGGTAAAGTTAATGATCTTATCGGAGTTCAGGCTTTCGAACTTTTCTTGCGTGTTCTCAACGACGACTATAAGAAAACGAAAACTCTGCTAACCTCACGCCTTTTACAAAAGAGTTTTTCCCCAGTACCATATTATCTTATGCTCTTACATTTTTTTTACTTTGGTTCTGATCTACACTAAGAGGATCTTACCAACGAATTACGAGGAACAACACATTAGACGTCCGTGACCACGAAACCTATTAAGTCGAAATGTCGGAATGAATAGTGAAATGAAAATAATAAACGCCCAGTTAAATCATCTTAACAGTAAATTTCGCCAACTGAGTGATGTTTTACAAAAAACGTCCTAATTATACGTTTTTAAGTCATTAATAATTCGTAAAATAATTTATAAGAAATTTGACTATTAAGAGCGGACGTAGGAAAAATACGTACTTTATTTTGATTAATTCTTCAGTATAGACTTTCTGACATTTTTGTGATGGGCTCGTCACAGTGACACAGCTTGTAAATAGTTCTGGCTTGTGACTTGGAAACGAAGGCGTACATTCTGGTAGTTCAGAGTGAGCACAAATAAAATCGTGATATACTCGCACTCGATAAATATTTATTTTAATTTAACTTATCATGTTCATTATTTTAACCCACGCTTTATCTTTAGATCAGATGAAGACGACGGAAGTGGTGGAAAATACACAAGGATGGAGGAGGACAATATTCAAGACAAGGAGCGTTTTGCAAGGTGACATATTGCTATGTATCTTTTAATAATAATAATAATAAATTTATTTACTACATATTTATACATACATATTTATTTACTACTTTGTACATATATGTGCGATTTTATTATACATAAAAATCATTACCTAATCAAAACTCAATGCTTCACCCAAGAATCCTCCAATCATACATTTATAGACATATAAAGAATGTTTGTGTTTGTTTGATGGTTTGTTAGTTTGTTTGAGGGTTCGTGTATTATTCATTCGAATGATTTAAAACTGTAGTTTTTTGCATTTACGAAAAAATATTTTAAACGCGTTAACTATCAATTGCCACTGTTGTCATTTAGCCAAAAATTACAATGGAACGTGGCAGTGTTTAACTTATACGAGATTAACAATAAGTGCGATTTACCGTGATCACAGCACAACATATCCATTATATAAAACGATTTGTGTAATCACGCCATTCATTGTCGAACTTATACCGAGAGGTGATTGAAAACGTGTCTTATCAACGATGATTTTTATTTAAAACAACTTCCACAAATGCAATCTTTGGCTGAGAATTTTTGTAATACTTTAATTTGGGCAATTTCGAAGGCCTTTTGTGCGAATAAAAATAGTCACTTCTTAATTCCATTACTAGTTTTCTCGTGGAAATACTCGTAATAAATATGGGAACTATATAAATATTCATTACAATTTTGGTAAAAAATAATATTTTGACATGTTAATGTAACTATAATATAATCTTAGAACTGTACGAATATGTGAAGTTCACCGTACGCCCAGCAAACATTAAACTCGCAACGTTTTGAGATCAACGATCATAAATCTCCACCAGCAACATCTTCAACACTATAAAATATATAAAATTTCCGACTACCGTACCACCGACCTACGTTACCACGATTCATGCTATCACGTCCTATGGTCCGTTTTTTGTGATGTCTCAATGTCACTATAATTATATAGTCCTACTATAATAATACACTATCACTACATAGTATAAAACAAAGTCGCTTTCTCTGTCCCTATGTATGCATAAATCTTTAAAACTACGCAACGGATTTTGATGCGGTTTTTTTAATATATAGAGTGATTGAAGAGGAAGGTTTATATGTATAATAACATCCATTAAACAGTGGAGAAATCAATAATAAATTACACTCTCCGAAGCGAAGCGAAGGCGGGTCGCTAGTACTATTATATTATTACAAAAAAAAGATCCGTTAATCTATACAAAATTATATCAACACAAGTAATATATACAGCATCTAAGCAATGGTAAATCAGTCGACGTGGATCGCTTCCCGAACATCATCGACATAAATATATATATTTTTTAATTTTAGTCGTGAAAATCATTGCGAGATTGAACGTCGCAGGAGGAACAAGATGACGGCGTATATCACGGAACTATCTGATATGGTTCCAACATGCTCCGCACTCGCCCGGAAGCCAGACAAGCTAACCATACTGCGTATGGCAGTAGCTCACATGAAAGCATTAAGAGGTATTATAATCACTTAAAATATTTGAATTTAAACTTCATCAAAACTATCTAACATAAGTCTTCAACTGCACAAAAATAATTTGCTCTAATACCATTGTTACAGGCACTGGCAATACTTCTACAGATGGAACATATAAACCATCGTTTTTAACTGATCAAGAATTGAAACATTTAATTTTAGAAGCCGCAGATGGTTTCTTGTTTGTAGTAAGCTGCGATACTGGTCGCATTATTTACGTTAGCGACAGTATAGCACCAGTTCTAAATTATTCACAGGTATGATGAACAAACTTAAACAATATTTGAAAGTAAATGTATTTCATTTGTTACATTATTTCTGATTGTCTTATAGGGTGAATGGTACTCGTCGTGTTTATACGACCAAGTGCATCCGGATGACGTCGAAAAAGTACGAGAGCAGTTAAGTACACAAGAACCTCAGAATACGGGTCGTATACTAGACTTGAAGACTGGAACCGTGAAAAAAGAAGGCCACCAATGTAACTACAGAGCTTTGATATGTTTTCCTAGAAACTAAAAACACTAAAACAGTTTAGTGCTAGTAAGGAGATAACGAATTATTACAAAATAGGGATTTTAGCTTTTTATTGCCCTGGGTAGGCAAGCGAGCACAAATGAGGCTGGTGTTTGTTAAGAGGTTACTGGACTCCATAAAAATCAACATGATTGTCGGCGCTCAACCTGATAAATGGGGTCTAAGTCTTTAGTGATATCCCTTAAACTGCTATCCTAGACATCAAACCAGAACGCATGATTTATTTGCGACAGAAATACTCGAGACGGTGGTGTCTACCCCGGGCTCGCAATTCGTTCAAAAACTTTAATATATTATACATTTTTCGAATAGGTTTTCATCACACCATGTTATTTGTTCATTGTGAGAATCGTACGTGAACTTATTCACTTGAACACTTGTGTTCGTACGAGTCTCCTAAAAAAAAAAGAACCGCGTGCAACTTGGTGCACGTGAATGAACTGAAACTTCTTTTTCGATTTGTAGTATTATGGTTTTCTTCATTTTTCATCCTTAAATCAGATTGCTCTTGTAATAGGGAATGCTGTGTATACGAGATGCGACATCCTGAACATTTATATTATATATCTTTTAAATTATGGATATAAAATAAATTTATATATTATTTTAAATACTTCATTATAGTATTGGACGCTACTTGTTGCTAACGCTCGCACTGGCCTGTAATAGGTATAATACGCGCATGCGTTCGAGTGCCACGCATTCACTCTCGCTCTGTCTCTTTCTATTCCATGGTAGCGTTAAACGTTTAACGCAACCTTGTTGGGAGTCGCATTAGAAGTTTCACTTCAAAAATGTGTACCTTACTGCATCGATTTAATTATAAAATGTTATCGTTATAGCTTCAATGCGGCAAGTAATGGGTTCACGTCGTGGATTCATCTGTCGGATGCGAGTCGGCGGCACCGCGGAGGGGGCGCACCTCGGCCGGCTGCGAGCGCGCAACTCGCTCGGCGCATCGCACGACGGTCACAACTACGCTGTCGTGCATTGTACAGGATATATTAAAAACTGGCCTCCGACAGGTAATATATGGTAACACGCATAAGTATATCGCACTTATTTTGTGTTATGTACTTAATATTGTGTAGATACAATTTTATGTTTTTTGGGACATAGATCTGTTTCCAGGTATGCAAATGGACAGGCCAGTTGAAGATGAACTCCATTCGTCACATTGTTGTCTTGTAGCTATTGGACGATTACAGGTTACCATAATATTTTTATGTCAATCACGTATCTTAACCACATAAATTTTTCTTAATCTTGGTTATTCTATGTAGGTAACTTCGACCCCAAATAATTCAGAAAACAGTTTATGCAATGGTGGAGTTGAATTCGTTTCCCGTCATTCTGTTGACGGCCGCTTCACATTCGCCGATCAGCGCGCAACTCAAGTAATAGGATATGCCCCTGCCGATCTTTTAGGAAAATTGTGTTACGAATTCTATCATCCCGAGGACCAACAACACATGAGAGACAACTTCGATCAAGGTATAGATCAAAGAAAATTAGTAACAAACATAAAATACTTTAAAAAATATGAAATATTATTTTTAATTTGATTTAAAATAATCACATGTTTCATTTTATTACAGTATTGAAACTAAAAGGCCAAATAATATCGTTGATGTACCGGTTTCGAACGAAGAGCAGAGAATGGGTTTGGCTGAGGACATCAGCGTTCGCTTTCTTAAATCCTTACAACGACGATGTCGAATATATAGTATGCACCAATACTTTAGCAAAGTTAGTAATTTTTTGAAACATCACATCACTTAGTAAATGAATATATCATATGGTTAATGTTAGTAATAAATAGGGTCTATGACTGCATTCTATCTGTTCTCATTACTATTTGAAGTTATTTTTGTTTAAAACTATTTTCTATAAAATAATACACAAATGGAGATCCTGTTAATAAGAATTTCAAACACTTTGAATAAATATCCGAAATCAAGGACAATGGTTGGAAACTTGAAATTTCAATAGATTTTTCAAAGAACCAAAGATGCCATGTCTAGGTATTTTGTTTTATTCTCCCACACTTGTGTGCACTTTCATAAACCCACAATTACATGGTTAAACCTGAAGAAACACTAAATTAAAAACAATTTAAATCGTTTCTCACCTTGCATTCCCACCAAGAAGCTTTACTATAATATATAATGTGATGAGGCCAATTGTACATAATACTATTTTGTTAGTCGGTCGCTGGCGAGTTCAGGCGGTGAGGCAACCCCGGAGGAGGGGTATGACTATCACCTGCGGCACCGTGACGTGTACCCCGCCGCGCCACCCGCTCCCCCTGCACCCCACGCGCCCGCTGCGCCATCCGCGCTGCACCAGCATCACCACGCGCCCGCCGGTAACTATCACACAGATTCTTGAAGTCTGCCAGCTCTGTCTATCTTGTAACTATATAATGATGATTTTTAACAAAATAGGCAATCATTACAATGATTTAATCACTACATAGACGTTGCAATGGGACCTTTCCCGAAGCCAAAACGATATCCGAATCGATAAAATTATTTTTATCACCAGGACTAAGCTAATACTTCCTTTTAGTAACTTAATATTATGCCAATCCAGAAGCTAAGACAAAGGCACCACCAAGGATGAGCTCTTTCTCACGGTTTCTCCAGACAGGCCACCATTGCCAACTGATTTAATTCTGAAAAATTATGTGCAATACAAAAAACTAAAATATACATTTAAATAGCATTCTTTTCACCTTCTCTCGGATTAGGAATCATCAATTTTGACCCTTTTTTGTCATTAAAAAATTTAAAGTTTTTAAATATCTTAATGTCACATTTTGCAATAATGCCTATAGGCTTTGCAAAGTAGGATTTGAAAGAAAACCATGTTAAATGTAAATCGTTTATTATTTCCATATTTTATCTGATTTTAATGTTACTTTCGTTAACCGCGCTATCGGTAATCGATTTGGTTTCAATACGCAAAGGACTACTTCTAATAGGCGACTTTCAAAAGGAAAAATACCTCAGAGTTAACAGATGACAAATTCTTATTAAAAATAGTATTGATCAAACTAATAATAAACCACGTATGATTTAAAAAAATGAAAGCAGACTCTTGATGTTATTGAGTTATTGATGAATCAGTCACATGAAAAAAACGTAATAAAAGCAATAGTAATAATTGTAAAATTAAATGTCCATTAAAATTAAATTTATTTCTGCTTCATATAAAACTGTCTATCAAAAACTCATTATGAATTATCTTGTAAGATCTCTTAAAAATATTTATAATAATTGTGTGTATATTTAGTAAAAACAAAAATATGAAGTATAGAATATTGTTCGATTGTAATGTTCAGCAGAAGTAAGTGGAGTGTATGTGTCAGGCGGGGGAGGGGGTGGGGGCTCGGGCGCGCGCTCCCCCGCGGACACCGGCGCATACCCGGCACACTACGCGCCCAACTACTCGCCGCACCGACCCGCCAACACGCCCCCGCACACCACTTGGACCACACTCCGACCGGTCAGTCTACTGTTTATATTCACTCAATTGCTAATGGTGATCGATGCCACTTTTCTTCTATTTTCATAAATTTTCATTGTGATAATACAATTATGAGGCTAATTCTTCACCGTACTGTACTCAAAATAATTATTTCATATTTAAAAGTGAAGCTCTGTAGACACCAAGTTACTCTATGGTCTGAGGTAGAGGCACGCCGCGATATTATAGTTGATGAACTCCCAATAAAATATGCTGAAACAATAATATTTCCGCTACCTTGACTACTTAATTATTTACTTTGTTTTAAAATAAAGTAAAGTATACATTAGTTTGGAAATATTTTTGCGCATTCATTAGTGAATACACACTGTAATTAAAGCCAGAATAAACCTGTGTGGGTTAACTACTACTTGCCACACACATTCTCATTAATTGATTATAAAATAGCGTTAGAACCATGATATAATATTGTTACTATTTTATTCATAATTATCATATAAAGATCACCTTCTATGGTAAAATATATGAAAAAAAAACTTCTATTATTATTACATATAATAATATTAGTAATTCATTTTTGTGAAAATATGACATTGAAGCTTTAACTATCATTAACGTTTTAATAGCTTAATAGTTCTGGTAGCTTTTCTGTCATAATCAGAGCACAAATATCAATATACACACGTTTCGCAAATAAAGTAAATATTATAATATAAAGAGCGTATTATAGTAATAATATTTCTCACCTGAAACGGCAGGATGCGATCATCCTGATTTAATTTTTGTTGTTGTGTCGGTCAGAGCGGCGGTGGCGGCGGCGGTGAGAGCTACGCCTACAGCGGCGAGACCACTGCCGGTGCGCCGCCTGACACCAGTCCAGGACGTTCGCCTCCTGCACCTCCCTATTTACCACCCGCACATTACCACCACAACCATCATCCTCATCCCACGCATGGTAAGTATTATAATATATTTTTAGGCAATGAAAATTAATAAGAAGACGACTCTTCTACAATGACTCTGAAGATAATAAGAAACAACTATATGTGTGGATTATGGTATCAATATAATCTACTTAAAATAAAGTTTATGAGTTCGACTCTTTTCAGAAGTGCCTTATATTGTTTTCTGTTGGTTTTTTTTGTTTTCCTTCCCCCAATATTAAGTAATATTGGAATGTTGTACGATCAAGAAAATTAGGACGTGTTTAATTATAAAATGAATCTTATTCTATAGGAATGTGGACATGGCAAGGCGGAGCGGCGGGGGGCGGGGCAGCGGCACCCGAAGGTACGCACGCGCCGCACGAACTCTCGGACATGTTACAGATCCTCGACCAAAGCGGGACTGCAACCTTTGAAGACCTCAACATAAACATGTTTAATTCGAACTTTGAGTAATTTGCTCTCCAATGCGTTGTGGTAATTTCAAACGACATTTCGAAGAATTGTTCGGCCATGCCGTCAGTTGAACCGCAATAGGCCGAGGAAGCCACCGATGGGAGATCTAAAAGACGGAGAGAAATTAATATTAAATTTTATTTTCAATTGCATTAGAATATTAGTCCTATGAGACTGGTTGCACTAGACTGCAATCTACACGTACCCGGGCGTTTTGCAACACTGACTCTTGCATGCCAGTTATTTTGAGATTTAATTTGGTTATGTTCTACTGAAATAAAATGTAACATTCCAATATGGCTTGAGTGTTCCCCAATAATGATAAGAAGGGCGTTGATCACGAAAATGAGCATTAATTTTTTTTCAATGCCAAATATGCTTGGAAAAATATTTTTGTTAACGAATGGCTTTTTTTTTTTCTTCTAGATTAACTGCAACTTTTCATGTGTATTGAACACCTCATATTAAAACTTAGTTTACTTTTTACCAAATGCGTTAAATTCTTTATAGTATAGATTCTTAAATGATGAATGTATAAAACTTAATAATAATTTGTGCAATGAATGCTCACCTTTATGAAAATTTTAATGCAACTATTTTAAGTATTCTGTCCTTTACTTTTACAATTTTTCCTAGGTACACATAGGATATCCTGGCCAGAGCCTTAATAAGTGTCCTTATAATGGAAAAAAAAACAAGGACTTAATCCTGATTAAAACTATAGGTTTGAAGGAAACAAAAGAAAAAAGTATTATCTCTAAAAATAGTTTTTAATGAATGTGTACCAATTAACATTTGGCTTCATTGCAGTGCAAAGTAGTTAAGCCGCGCTGTGCGAGTTTTTTTTATTGAATATTATGGGGCCATATATTTTTCTCCAATATGTCAGTTTATTAATGATTTTGATGCAGATTACGATGCCGATCAAATTTTTTGTCTTAGTATAATACTAATAAATTTGAATAGGGTAAACCATACTAATTATTGGCCAAGCATATGGTTTGGTAAGTGTTTTCCCAATGTACGAATGTATTGCGATGTAGTCCATCGAAATGATAAAAGTAGGAAATTATTGTTTGTTGTGAAATTTTCTATTATATTCAACCAAGATTTAACGTATGCTTGTGCCAGTTATCGTATCGCTTACCCTATAAAATTTTATCAATGGTTTCTATAGAGATGGTGGTGTAGAGGTGAAACATAAGTCTTGGAAGAAGACACTAATAAATTCAAGTATATTATGTAGACTGAAAGTAATCTAGTTATTATTATTTTTTGTTGCTGTTTAAGGCTTTGTCTAATAAAAAATGAGAAAAGCGTATTTCAGATTTCTGAGATCTACTTTACGAATCAAACATATCTAAGTGCAAACAAATACTTTAGCTAGAAAAGTGTAGTTAGGAAGAGAATTGATAATATGAACCAAATAAAATTTCGAAGTTTTTGATAATTTAAAAAGCAAATGTTACACTGTACAATAAATAGAGGCATCAGAGTCCAAATATTTTATTAATTTCAGAACTATAACTTTTTTAAGAATGACGTTCATACCCCCAACAAGACTTAACCATATTTTTGAATTTATTTGTACTTAAATTTAGTAATAAAATAAATAAATTAAAATCAATACCATTCCAGGTGCACTGTCAAATATATTATTATGCGATTTTCAACAATACGGACCGTTAAGCATGTGTTAAATTTATTTCCAATCGCGATTAGACCGCATCTGAATTGATAAATTATTAAAACACCTGCTACAGTTGACCACATCAAGTGGTTTTCGGACAGGAAGCAAAGTTAATAGACATAATAAACAATGACTACATTTAATCCATAAAAAAATTGCTCTTGTATCTATTGTTTAGCCTACATGAAAGAAAAAATACTTTGCTTCCTAATAATCTAACACTACTGTTTTTTGTGCTAGAGCCTGAGCTTCCTTTTAGATGTAAGTATTAAAAGTGATAGCTGTTACTGAGTTAGATTAAGGTTGTACCTTCTTAAGAATATTTGGCACGGTGATGATTCTGGTCGGGATATTAATGAAAATGTGTCTAAACAGTACATACAGGAAATAACTTATTTATTATTTTGCATTAGAAACATGAATATATCTGGAACGAACCTGTTGGTGTGAATATAATTTGCGATTTTTATTTCATTGAACCTTTCGTTTCTGTTTTTAATTTCTTAATATACATAACTGTCCTTATAAATAGTGTACTCAGTTGAAGTTGTTAAGAATTTAATTTTAGTTCATATTATTTTACAAAACAGTAAAAAATTGAATGATCAATGTTTTACGATTAGGAGATAAGTTACAAATAATACTTGTATTTTATTTTAATGAAATTGGTTGGTTAGATATTTTATTAAATGAATTTTGTAAAATGAATTTTTCATTAAACATAAAATTTGACCTTAACCTTGTTTGATTTAAATTTTTGCTTCAGGCTGCTTGTATATTTTGTATGATGATGTATGTTTTTATTGTATATTTTGTAAACTACAATATTATATACGTGTGGATATATATAATACGTATGTATTAGTTTACAAAATATANTTATAATTTGATGAATAATATAGATACAGCTACGGACCCAAAAACTTTTTTGTTCTATGATAAAATATCTTTCTAATTACGTATAAATCATAGAAATATATAATTTTGTTTAAATAATACACTAGTTTTAATTTATACTTACCTCATTTACATTCTGCTATCGATCAGTTTTCATTTATTTCTTAACTAATTATTTAAACAATTGAATTATGAAAAAAACTATTTTAAACAATTAAAACATATATTTAAGAAAAAAATTAAAAAAAAAAATCATTATTTCACCTATACAATAAGACGGTAAAATTTTTTTTTTAAAAAATCCCAAAATAGTTTATTTGTTTATAAACAATTTCTTAACAAATAGCGTAATTTTTTTTTTTTAATGTTAATTAATACCTATGGTAGATGCAAAAAACAGCAATATTAAGATATTACGGAAAAAAACTATTTTTCATAACATTTTTTAGAAATTAAATTTTTTGTTAATTAAAAAAAATTATAATTATCAAAATAATAAAGATTGAAAATTTTTTTTTGCATTTCTTTATTAAGTACTTAAATGATAAGAGCTCCACGAAGGGAAAAAATTATAGATGAATTATTGAAACTTTTATACCGTAATTTATAAAAACAGAGATTGGAAAAAAGTTAGTTAATTAACAATGGTGTAAATTTTTGAAAAATCGATATAAACTTTTTTTTTCACCGAGGTTTTTTTCGTTCAAGTGTTTAGATTACACCATAATTTATTCAAATTTTTAAATTGTTATTTAATACTATAAAAAAATTATTTTAGGTGATATACCGGCTTTTTAGACGGTGCGCCTATGCCGTAACGACCTCGCGGAGCGCTATTTTCAGCGTTAAAAAAAAATTATAAATAATAGAGATAGAATTCCGGAAGTTGGGACTTTTTTATCGGAAATTTCCTCCTCTTTCAGGATCTTTTTTCAAAATTCCTTAAATATAATTTTTTTAGAAATTCTTAAGGAAAAACCAAATTCCTTTTTTTTTAAATCTTATTTTGTTTATAACAATCGCAATTTTTTATGTGCTAATAAGCCCTTAAAAAACATTTTTGTAGACATCATTCCGCATCCAATGAGCTATCGTACATATTTTTAGGAGCTTTATGTCTATTTAACACGTTTTTGAACTTGTTGACTAGACTATTATATTAAGCGGCACGTAAGTTGGAAAGGTTTTGGCGTAGTGGGGGTAATGTCGCGCATAGTGCACATTGCAACAAAAAAATGGTCACTTTTATTGCCCGCATGCAATTTAATTTAATTTTATTTTTTATTTGCCATAATTTATTTTTAACATGTGCCTTTAGAAGAAAGTTAAAGAATAGACAGGAATTCGCGAAGTGTATTTAAAAAAATTACTTAATATTAAAAATTATGTGTCGCCGTCGTCACTATAATTTTGTAATAGTGCTACCCCTTGCATTAAATTTATGGTAGCACCTGAGCTGCTGGAAGGAGTTGGCTCCTCATCCTCGACGTAACTCTCGTCGCTGGAAGAGTCATCGTCATCACTGGCGTAAATAATAAAACGCTCAGTGACTGAATCGACCATATGGTCATTGGTATTTAGTCTTGGCATTGCAAACAAATTTAAAACAACACTTAACAAAACTAGATTTAAAATAATAATAACAACTCTTAACAAAAACTCAATATAAACAAAGGGTACCTACAACTAGAAGCAAGTGTAATCGAGAGCGAACGGAACATAAACATGGTGCGGGAGGCAAGGGTCGACTGACGCACCAATCGCGCGCTCGGAACGGTGCTACGTCTTTCCCTGCGTCCCGCTTGACAACCGAAGATACCTAAGAAACGTCTTGTGCGCATCTAACGTAAGTGATCTAACGACTCTTGCTGGAACGCGAGGTGTCAAGTTGTGCGATTTGTTTATTTTTTTTTATTACCCATGTAGGCAGACGAGCATACGGCCCACTTGATTGTGAGTGGTTACCATCGCCCATGGACTTCAGCAATGCCAGGGGCAGAGCCAAGCCGCTGGCTACCGGTTAATACTCTCCACAAGCCTCGTTTGAAGAAGGACATGTCATAGCACTCATAGGAACTCATAGCACACATAGGAAACACCGTGGAGGGGAGCTCATTCCATAGTCAGATGGTACGTGGCAAAAAATACCTCTGGGAACGCACTGTCGATGAACGCAGCGGTTCCAGATAATATGGATGAACTCTGCTCCGATGGCGTGAGTGAGGTGCAATGATAGAAAGGAGATGAGGGGATAATCTGAAACAATTCCTCAGAGCACTCCCACTGGAACATACGGTACCAAATACAGAGGGAACCGAAGTCCCTCCGCAGACCCGGAAGCTCCAAACGATCCGTAAGGATGGGATTATCGACAATCCGAACGGCCCTCTTCCGGAGTTCTCCACTGCAGATACAAGTTTTGATCGTCTCTCTTGCACCACGTTCCGAGAGAGACTCTGATGGCCGATATATCGCGCATCCTCCGTGCTGTCATCCGCATAGCAATGCATGCCATCAATAGACAGCATGTCATTGATATACAGGATGAAAAGCGTGGGGGAGAGCACCGAACCTTGTGGAACGCCAGCGTTAATGGTCATGGTATCAGAGCAGTCACCATCTAGAACGACCGTGATGCTCCGCCCATCCAAAAAGCTAGCGATTCACTTGCAAAGTCCCTCGGGGATTCCGTAAGATGGTAGCTTCGACAGAAGTGCCCTATGCCAGACCCTGTCGGAGGCCTTCGCGATATCAAGGCTCACAGCAAGAGCCTCGTCCTTGCTCTCCAAGGCTTCAGCCCACCTGTGAGTAAGGTATACAAGAAGATCGCCAGCTAAGCGACCGTGACGGAAACCGTACTGTCGGTCACTGATCAGCTGGTGATCTTAAAGATACTTCAGGAGTTGTGTATTTATTATTCGCTGCATAATCTTGGAAAGCAAGGAAGTTATCGCGATAGGCCTATAGCTCGATGGGTCCGACCGGTTACCCTTTTTGGGGATAGGGTGGACGTGGGCGGTCTTCCATGAAGACGGAACCCTGTTAGTGCAATAAGAGAGGCGATACAAACGCGTTAGCGTAGGTGTCAGCTCAGGGGCACACGTTTTCAGAACCACTGCGGGGATGCCTGCCGTCTGGCCCACTCGACTTATGGACGTCCAGGAGTCTGACGCCTGACTGCACACTGTGTGAAGCAGATCTCCGGCAGGGAGCTATCACACCGGGGGATTTTCGGTGGTGTGGCACCCTCGTCGTCCACGGTCGAGTTCTAGCCGAAGAGTTTGACCAGAAGGTCAGCCTTCTCTTTCGTACTGTGAGCCAGTATCAACGGACTTGCGCAACTGTGGGAGACTAGACCTGCAAAAGTTTCCTTCTGCAGCTTTGGCGAGCGACCAAAAAGCACGGCTCCTGGAGGGATAGCTGTTTAGTCGCTCGCCAACTCTAGCAACGTGCTCCGACTTCGCTCTGGCAATAACCTTCTTGTAGGACCTGGAAGCGGCGATAAATTTCCACCTTTCCCCCGAGATGTTAGGATCCCGACGTCTTCTAGCATCATCCCATGTCACGTATGCGGACCGCTGGAGGTGTGTAGCATCCCTGCTGGCATACTGAGATTATATTTCGTCCCATATCATCTCATATCATTTCATTTAATTTCATCCCAGTTGATTAATGTCTCAAATTCTTCATTTCATTTCACTCCATATTATCATTTATCATAAAAATATCCCATATCATATCATCTCATTTCAATTCATTTCATTTCATGCCATGCCATATTTCATATTAAATTAATCAGCTTCATTTCATTTCATATCATACTTCATAAAAAAAAGATCAGGCTGTATGGAGCGATATCCTTGCCTTTCTGTTTGGAAAAATAAAACTACTACTACATAGCATATTTACAAAATACAAAGAGATTTTTAATAACTTATTATTTATTTGAAAGTGTTTTCAAAATAACATGTACATATTCAGTTAACTGTACATATTTATATTAAGCTATACTTCATTTATTCAGCACCCGCATAAAAAAACATTATCAAAAATGGCTAGAACTGGAAAAACAGCCCAAGATTTTATTCAGAGTTCGTTTTCGCCTATAGTTGCAGTACTATGCAGTCAAAAGGTTGAAAATATTGTGTCGAAAAATAATGTAACGTTTCCTGAATTATTACAACCATTTTGCAATTTGGATTGGGAAGGTAAACAAATCTTGAATACCTTCAAGTAAAACAACATCAGAACTCTAGTCTTTATTATCTGCCAATAATCTATCTTTCATACAGCTGCTTAAAACGTGGGATACTTTAAGCAGGGATAAATTTTTTCATTATTTATTTTATATTTATAAAGAACACAACCATCACATGTAGAATTCAATTACATTACTTGAATAAAAATATTTCTGAAAATACTGAGCCAGCTTTTGGTTCCACACAAACCATGCCATTCTATTAGACTCTTTCGTATGAAATTGACTATCTCAATTTTGACTTTACTATATTTTATAAGATATTAAAGATATTTGATTTCTCCCCTCAAATGGTTCCCCACAAAAGAAAAATTAAAGTATTGCAGTATTGTAGTAATGGCATTCTAGTATAAAATTTAATGATGAAATTTGTTGGTACAATAGTCAAATGGTAAGTTAATATCGAAACAATATAATATGGAATAAATTTACCTTGAATAAATCATAAAATTTAATTAAGAAAAACTGCATTACTCTTGCTAAATAAATATTGTAAGTAGTGAAGAAATCAATCACACCTTTTATTTATATATACTAATATAATAGAATGGAGCATCGCCATTATAAAACATGATTTTTTTTTATTTGTTCAGGTCAGTTCCGTGAACCTGGTGGCAATACTTGTGTCATAAAAAATATGAAGCTAATTGTGAGAGATGTGAACTGGAAACCCCTACAGCCTACTGAGGCTAGAAGACAGCTCAATAATGCTGTTCTTTATAATTACAATGACAAAACTATATCTGTTGAATTAGGTGAGCATTTAAATGTGATTTTTTTTTTTAATGCTTAGATGTGTGGACAAGCTCACAGCCCACATGGTGTTAAGTGGTTACTGGAGTCCATATACATCTACAAGTTAAATGCGCCACACACCTTGAGATATAAGTTCTAAGGTCTCCGAATAGTTACAACGGCAGCCCCACCCTTTAAACCGAAACGCATTACTGCTTCACGGCAGAATAGGCAGGGTGGTGGTACCTACCCGTGCGGACTCACAAAACGAGCCAGCAAACTCTAAGCAGCTTCCTATCCTTTTGTTCTTTCCTTAAGTGATATGAATTCTGTATATAAAGCCAACATCCTTTCTGGTTTGAAGGGTAAATCACCCATTGCATCAATGCAGCAAGGACTGATTTTGAATGTCAAAAGGATAATTCACCTTGTGGAACTTACAAACCGTGGAAACTTCTAAACAGTAGTTAGTTTACCAAAAATAAATAAACCATGCAATTCTAAAAAATACCTACATATTTATGTGTATATAAGTATCAAAATGCAATTTAATTTTAAAAGCAATATTTTAAGTAGATTTTATAGTATTTGTCTATGGGTGATGAATTATGCTTAATTTAGCAATTGAAGAGTGTTTTGATTTTGTTGAAAAACATTAAAATAACAATGAAAAATAATATTTTTTTAACACATATTTTAGCTGGTCGAAGTTTTTTAATACCCCAATCAACACATTGGTTTGATGCTTGGAGGGAAACATACCTAGATGTGCAATTTCCATCTGACCATGAATTCACAAAACATTTCCTGTCATGTATTATTGTGGGAACAACTGATGATGAAAATGTTGTGGACACTTTCAATGGCCTGAATCAACAATATGCCCAACTACAGAATGTAATGCCACCAAAATTACCTAAATGGTTCAACAATTGTATTCTGAAAACATATTTACTACTTCATGATGTATCTGTTGTTTCAAAAGAAAGGTATGTTCTTTATTTCCGTCAATAATATAGATGGTCAGATGAGAGTGCGGNAACTGATGATGAAAATGTTGTGGACACTTTCAATGGCCTGAATCAACAATATGCCCAACTACAGAATGTAATGCCACCAAAATTACCTAAATGGTTCAACAATTGTATTCTGAAAACATATTTACTACTTCATGATGTATCTGTTGTTTCAAAAGAAAGGTATGTTCTTTATTTCCGTCAATAATATAGATGGTCAGATGAGAGTGCGGCTCAACTGATGTTAGGTTCTTACTGAAATCCACCACAATGTGAATTCCGCCGCTGGAATGTGACATAATATCGAAAATTATTTAAGTTAATGCCATTGTATTTTATTTATGTTAAAGGGCTGATGCTGTGTTTGACACGTTGAAACATGCTTTTGGACCTAATAGTTGTTTTATGCTTCCCATTAATTCTAAAAGTACGTCAGATGCTAATGTACCTGCAGATTTATGGAGCCAGTATATTAAGAGATCTCCAGATTCCACCGTATGTAAATTTTTCTATGACAGTATGAAACTAATTAAAATTTTTGGTAGGCAGTGACATGGGTCTTCCCCTGGGATTGCTAACGTCCATAAGCTAACCACTCACCATCAGATGGGCTGTCTGGCCGTTTGCCTACCAGGGCAATAAAAACATAATTAAATTACTATTTATCTAGATTAAAATAAAGTGTCCAAATAAATGAGAATTAGGTGTGACAAAATTATAATATTCAAAAAGAAACGTGGTAGACGCAAATATAAATTATAAATTTGAATTAAATGCAAAGACAATATAGCTTCTTAATACTATAACAAAAATATTTGAATAGTTTTCTTTATTTAATGTAACAAAACCAACCTAGCGTGAGCAAGGTGTCATCTTAAAAAGCCCAGTTTCACTTTTACGACAGTCTAGCATAATGTGCGCATAGTTTTCATCTTAGGTAAAGGAAAGTAGGGACGCACTGTGTCTGTATATTTCTGCATCGTAGAGGTACGATGCGTAACGCGTTACAAACAAACTGTTACGGCTTTATTCATTGCGTAGCTGAATGAAACAGCTCACAGCTCACGTGGTGTAAAGTGGTTATCCAAGGTTATCCGAAAGTGGTTATCCGAGGACATCAAAACGAGAATGCTATCACCCACCTTAAGATATGAAGTAGAAACGAAACATATGCAAAAAAAGGTTTATAGCTTCTGAACCGATTACCAGTATAATAGCGTTAATATAATTAATTTCATGGTAATTTGGTTAATTATGTATATTGCGTATACTTTACGTATTCGATTTCAGAGTGACGTAGCTTCTACCCTCTCGAATTTAGCAACAACGCCAGCAGAACAAGCCCCTATATTTCCATCTCAAAACATTATTGAAAGAGGTTAGTGTTGATTTTAAATTTTGAGCATATCACTACACAAAGATATAGTAATCATTACAAACAAGTTGTAAATTATATTTCCCAAATATTTCTTTGCGCAGCCAATCTTTAAATCGGTTGTTGTTGTCGTTGACGGCACGATTTTTAAAACTGTCCGATTTTTTGTTAAGGTTTATTTTAGGGTTATAAGTTTTTATGTCTAAGTTGTAGGTGTTCAAATCTACAAAACGTGACGCCGCGTGCTCTGTGTACTTAGTGCTAGTTTTTAACGTTCTCGATAGCGTAAAAGTTAACTCAAATATACAATGTATGGAGTTGGAACAGCGCCCCTAGCGGCAAACGTTAAAAAACTCGCACTAGGCACGCTCCTAAGTGTTTTAGTCACGTGACCTTAAGTAGCTTCAGTTTCGCTTATTTATATCTGGAAAATATTGAATAGGCTTAAATACAGTATTAGCTGAGCCTTTCGTGAGTCATAGACATAATTAGAGCCACCTCTACGGTTTAAACTCGCGTTTTTTATCGTCGTAAAATTATTTCTTACTTTTCCAGTTTTCGTAGTCACGGATGACGACTAAGCCAAAATAATCACAATTTTGTCATACCTATCACGAATATATTAATATAGTTTTTGGATTAAAATTAATTACCTATAGGAAACATAATTCTATTACAAAATACAGATAGTAGTTACGTTTGATTAACACGAAAAGTTTAAATTTGAAAAGATTGCTATGTCAATACACAATACTAACAGCTATTAATTAGATATCAAATTAATAGAAACAATTATGCTCTCCTTTTATTAAGGTGAAGACACATTAACAGGGTCAGTACAAGAGAGTGTGCACCCACTGACAAGCCCAGAAACAGATGTTTATGACAATGCCAACAGTTTGCAGGTAGGGGGAGATCCTAAAATGCAAAGTAAAATTCTTATCTATACTAATATTATAAAGAGGAAAGATTTGTTTGTTTGTTTGTTTCGAATAGGCTCCGAAACTACTGGACCGATTTGAAAAATTATTTTTCCATTAGAAGCCGACATTGTCCCTGATGAACATAGGCTACTTTTATTTTATTTTATTTTTTTGGTTTCATGTGTGTTTTAATGTTTCCGAAGCGAAGCGAGGGCGGGTCGCTAGTCCTTAAATAAAGTCAATATATTCAATGGACGGTTGACATGTTAAAAACAAAGTTATTATAATATTAATACTAGTAGAACCCAGTCACGCCCCGCCGTGACTATCGTTAAATTATTCACGCACCCCCTGTCGTACGTTAATGGAACTATGATATTCTATGACCTTCTTAGAACTACCGACAACTACTGTACTCAGGGCTGCATTTAAGGGAGGGTAACCGCGGTGAAAGTCCCGGGGCCTCCACAAACGGAGAGCCCCCACAATAGAGACTTTGGAAAAAATCTTTCAAATTCCGACAAGTAAACACTAGTAAACATCTTTTCTTTCTCCGTCGATATTCTTTTTTTCTTTGTTTAACTTAAAGTTAACAGTAAAATTTAATTTCAGATAACTCTTGTCTCCGTTTATATTTATGTATGTTTGTTAAACACTAATTTCACAATAAATTATTTATTGGAAAATTCGACTGAAAAAAATCGCTCATTTTGTTTGGAAAATAATGTGGGGCCCAAGGGGCCTCTGTTCCTCTGTTGCCCCGAGGTCTCCATTTCTCTAAATCCGGCCGTGACTGTACTAAGTTACACCACAATTAGATGAACGGTATAGGAACTCATAAAGACAAAAAATATACCCACTATTTATTTTATTTAAGTTTATAATATTAGGAAGTGCTTATCTTTTATAGAACTTTTTTTTTTATTGCTTAGATGTGTGGACGATCTCACAGCCCACCTGGTGTTAAGTGGTTACTGGAGCCCATAGACAACTACAACTTAAATGCGCCACCCACCTTGAGATATAAGTTCTAAGATTTCAGTACAGTTACAGCGGTTGCCCTACCCTTCAGACCGAAACGCAATATTGCTTCACGGCAGAAATAGGCAGGGCGGTGGTATCTACCCGCGCGGGCTCAGAAGAGCTCCTACCACCAGTAAAATTGTGTGGTGGAAATTTTATAAGATTATAATCATAATATGTTTAACTTATTTTACCTATGTCGAAATCAAAATGCCAACATATTTTGCACAATGTTTTTCAGATCCATAGCATAGTAAATTTCAAATAACATATTATTATATTACATTTACATTATTATAATGAATGATGAAATAATGTACTAAAACTTCAATTTTTTGCCTATTTATATATGTAGTTTTATTCAAAGGTTTATCTTTTTTTTTAATTTCTAACTAAATTGATTCATCGAAAATGTTTCAGACCCATTCGTTTTCTGGCAGTGTAGAGAGTGTTAGCGTCAGCGCAAAAGGAATTGATTTATCTACTGAAGTTCATGGGGCTGCTTTAAACAACAACGATATAGAGGCCATCAAAAAATTCCTTCAAGAATATGCATCAAAAGCCTTGTTGCCGTACATAGAAAAGCAAATCTCCCAGCTATCTGAATCAGTAGGTTCACAGTACTAACAATAATATTTTATCCTTAGTAATATTCTAGAAAAAAAATCTATCATTTATTGATCATGCAGGAAATTCTTGTAACATATTTTTATATATGCGAATGAAGGTAACCGTAGTTAAAGGTCGTTGGTGTTGATAATGGTATGGTTGGTCTATCATCTATTAAAGAACGAATTTCAAGCGAAATTTTATATTCGAATTTATTTGCAAGGATTCAAACTTATATCCCATAAATTACAAAGAAATTCAATTAACTTAAAAGCAGCTTTAGTAATACTCATTATATGAACATAGTAACTTTACACATAAGATGGGCAGACTTGCTTCTGGGGCCCACAGGCACCAGAACGTGAATGCCGTTTTAAACCTTGAGGCATGAGATTAAGATCTTAATTACATTGATGAAACGGCTGCCCTGCTCTTTAAACCGGTTCAAATTTATGGAAGTCCGAAAGTACTATAAACAATTAAGTAACAGTTGCCTAGTCAACAATCAAATCGACAAATGCTAAACAAATAGTTATATTAATTTAGGTAGCCAACAGAAAAGGAGTAAGTAGATCGCTTCTCTCTGCTACAAAAAGATGGTTCGGCACTGGTAAAGGTGGAAATGCTACCGGAAATAGTGCAGTTGTGTAAGTACTCGATTTTCTTTGAAGCTCATTTATTTTTGGTTTTTATTTTCACTGAATTTTTAAAAGTATTTATCATTAGGGGGCCTATATTTAGCAGTAGATGTCTGTGGACTGAAAAAAAGAAGAAAAAGATCAAAATATTTTAACTATTTATCACTTGTTTTTTTCTTTTTTAGATACACAAATGACTGTCCCGAACTACAGTTACGACGTTTGGGCGATCTTTGGTTTTTGTGCGGGCAATGGCAGCGGGCTTTCGATACCTACCACACTGCCAAAAGAGAGTTCTATGCGGACAGCGCGTGGCTCTGTTACGCGGGTGCACTCGAAATGGCCGCAATAAGTGCCTTTATGGCTGGTGATTCCAATCGTAAAACTCATGGATATTTAGAAGAAAGCATCGTTACGTATCTTAATACTTGCAGGTAAATTGAAACCGCCAGAAATTTAAATAATAAAACATTTTATTGAGTTATTACGAAGGTTATTTAGCAAACGACCGGTTCGACGACAAGGGTGACAGGTGTTTGGGGGACCCTAAAAGCACCGATAGTGGATCCGGAGGATCCGAAGTGGCGTGTATAGGGCGACGGTAACTGTTTACCGTTCGGTCCGCAGAATCGGGAATGCAGTTACCGGCGGCCACGACAGTTATCGTGCTGCAACGCTTTTTCGAAATGGTGTACTGATGCCGACTGAACTGAATACTTATTGATGGAACAAAGTTTCTGGTCGTCGTGAAGATTCATGTTCCGCACGAACCACGGTGCTTCGGCGCCTATCCTGCAAAAACGGGATTGAACAATTTGAAAGGGTTTTAAGTTAGTGCGGGCCGCCTGAGCGAACACTACTTGCATAGGCGGTCATGACCGGACTTATGTAAGTTTTGTAAAGAGTCACCTTCACCCTCATAGTCACGAAGGGACAATTTACTTCGCTTACAAATCAGCGGATAGTTAGCTAGTTACTATCTACTACAAATAACTGGTCGACACTCGGGCAGTCGTAGGCCGCAATCACTGACTTACATTTCTCTGGTAGTGTCTGACTCGATCTCCTAATTTAGAGTGGTACCGTCTTTCGTGTAGTTTGGTTTGAGGCCCTAAACACGTCATTACGGATCCTCCCGATCCATTAACGGTGCTTTTAGGTACCTCAAGCGCCGGTCACCGTCTTCGCCGCTTGCGACGAAGGGCTCGACGAGTAAATTAACCCATAGACACAGCCCACTGAGTTTCTCGCCGGATCTTCTCAGAGGGTCGCGTTTCCGATCCGGTGGTTGATTCTGCGAAGCACTGCTCTTGCTAGGGTCAGTGTTAGCAACACACCCGGTTTGAGCCCCGTGAGCTCACCTACATGTCAAGGAGAAGCTGAAATAGCCTCAAGGCTATCAGCATAGGTAGGAATAAAATAAAAAAAATAGTTTGAGTTCTACCTTTTGGATCACGAACGTTCTCGTTATTATACATTACCATTGTATATTACCGCCGCCAGACTTATGCATGGGTTGTGAAAGTCTGCCTACATCAGAAAGAGAAAGTGTTTGTCCCTTTCGTCTTAATATCAGACTGATCTGCCTCACGCTACTGCTCGGCGATTTTAGAGGCCGCGATGTGGATGCCAAAGCACGGCGCAACGTCGTGGATGCGGTCTGCCAGTTATGCCACTTCTTCCTATAACATTTTCGATTGCAAAGCGATTATCATTTGCGATCCGGATCTGTTGTATTCTCTTCTCACTGGATGCTAACAAGCTCTTCTATAATTCCACTGTTTTTTTTTTATTATTTTACTGTGTACTAAACATATTGTGTTCTTTCAGAATGGTACAGTATGCTGTTCGAGCGACGTTGCTGTCGGTGATTTGTTTGACTAGCAGCGGACTTCACGGTGAAGCCGCTAAACAATTGATACGCATGACATCAGAGGACAGCGACCTTCGTAGTGCTATGCTTTTGGAACAAGCTGCACTTTGTTTCCTATCGGGACCAGGCACGAAAGCCATGTGTAGAAAATACGCTTTTCATATGGTTTTGGCGGGGCACAGGTTTTCGAAAGCGGGCCAAAAGAAGCACGCCTATCGATGCTACAAACAAGCTCACCAGGTGAGGATGCCTATAAGATAACCTCAGTTTTCATCTGCCATGATTATAATAATGTGCTCTATGCTCTGAGGAATTGTTTGAGATGATCCCATCATCACGTTTTTTTTTAAATGCTTTGATTGTTTTTTTTTTATATAAAGAATTTGGCCTTTGGCATTGATTTTGCCAATGTCAAAGTATTTACAAACATGACCGGTACTTGCGCTTAGATGGTTGGACGATCTCATAGCCCACCTGGTGTTATGTGGTTACTGCAGCCCATATACATCTACAACGCAAATGCGCCACCAACCCTGAGATATCAGTTCTAAGATCTTAAGTATAATTTACCATCGCCCCGCCCGCCACCGCAGTAGAGTTCATCCATACTACCTGGAGCCATTGCGTTCATTCACAGTGCGTTTCCAGAGATCTTTTTTGCCACGTACCATTCGACTTTGGAATGAGCTCCCCTACACGTTGTTCCCCGAGCGCTATGACATGTCCTTCTTCAAACGATGCTTGTGGAGAGTACTTAACGGTATGCAGCAGCTTGGCTTTGCCCCTGGCATTGCTGAAGTCCACGGGCGACGGTAACCATTCACCATCAGGTGGGCCGTATGCTCATCTGCCTAAACCGGCAATAAAAATATAACATGGTTGTATTCGAACAGGTTTACAGCGGAAGCGGATGGCGGCTAGCGACGGACCATGTCCAGTTCGCGCTGGGCCGGCTCGCGGGCGCGCTGCGTCGGGCGCACGACGCCGTGCAGTGGCTGGCCGCGCCGCTCGCGCCTCACCCGCCGCAACCGCCTGCCCAGCAAGAAGCCTTCTTGAGAGAGTACATGCATGCACATCAGGTATTCTTCAACAACATTTAAATGTTTGATTTATTATTATATTTGTATGATTTGTATAAATATAAATATTTACTAACAATCACGCCACGTTAACTGGTCCCGTGCTAAGTTCGTAAAGAACTTGTGTTACAAGTACCAGATAACGGAAATAAATATAATATTTTTATTATACACATACATATATTTAATATACACCCATAACCCTGGAAAGACATTTATATTTATCATACAAATATTTTCCCTTGGCGGGATTCGAACCCGCGACCCCCTTGTGTAGTGACCATGTCACTTACCACTACACCAGACGGCCGTTTATTATTATTATTATTATTATTATTATATAAATATCGTTACTCCCTTGTTGCGGAAAGAAACGCACGCTCTGATACCGCTAATGTCTAAATGTATAGGAGACACGGTATTTATCGTTTATGAACCGGTAGTAGAGTATAGTTCTATATTGAGAAATGAGTGTGTAGACTGACCACATGTGAAATTAACTATTGACCAGTGATAAATGAGAGATTTCTCCGAATCAAGATCTCTTTACTGATAGATATTGGTAACACATAGAACACAATCTATAACATAGACATCTCAGAATAAGCAGAAAATGATAAAAATACGAATAGTGACATAATGGTAGGAAATAAATATGTTCAATATTATACTAACTACGATTGTGACGTGTGGTATGAAACAACACTCAAACACTAGAACGCTTATTCTAATATTTCAGTTTCCAACTTTAACATATGACTTATAAAGAACTAGCGACCCGCCCTCGCTTCGCTTCGGAAACTGTAATTTATTATTGATTTCTCCACTATTTAATGGATGTTATTATACATATAAACCTTCCACTTCAATCACTCTATATATTAAAAAAAACGTATCAAAATCCGTTGCGTAGTTTTAAAGATTTAAGTATACATAGGGATATAGGAACAGAGAAAGCGACTTTGTTTTTTACTATGTAGTGATGAACAATGAACTTATTAACGGACTTTCACGCAGCAATGGCAAGAGAGTAGCGAGGAGCGTCGGAGCAGGCTGGAGAAGTTGCCGCTGCCGGTGGCGGAGGTGAGCATGACGCGCGTGGCGTGCGCGGGCCCGGCGCCGCTGTCGTCGCCGCGGCGCTGCGGGGCGACCTCGCTGTGCGTGCACGCGCCGCGCCGCGACCCGCACGAGGAGCGCGTCTGGCGCACACTGGAGGAGATGCTGGTGCAGGTAGCGCGCGGCGCCGTGCCTATGATATTCAAGCCGACACTAGACCTTTACGATGACACCACGGACTGTCATCCGCTCGTGCCCCAAGGAGGTGAGTCCGCTCTTTTCAATTAGCGTAGATATAATAGTTTACGGTTAAAGGCGATTGCATGCGAATGTTGCGATGGATGTGTGGAGTAACGAGAATGGATAGAATACGGAATGAATATGTTAGAGGAAGTCTGAAAGTGGCACCTGTGACAGAGAAGCTGAGAAGTGCGCGTTTGGGATGGTATGGACATGTGATGAGACGAAATGAAAATGAGGTTGGTAAGAGAATGTTAACGATGAATGTAGAAGGATATAGAGGAAGAGGTAGACCTAAAAAGAAATGGATGGATTGCGTGAAAGACGATGTAGGCAAGAAGGGAGTGAGAGAAGCAATGGTATATGATAGAAGAGTATGGAAAGAGAAAACATGTTGCGCCGACCCCAGGTGACTGGGAGAAGGGCAGGATAATGATGATGATAATAGTTTACGGTTATTTCGCGCTTATTATTTTAAAGTATTTTTTTCCGATGTTTCGAACACTTAACAGTTTTCGTGGTCACGGACGATTGTTGTAGATGACAACTGATGAGCTGAGCTCTGGTATTCAGCGGTTACTAAATCTCAAACCACCGCTATGTTAGTGACGCGACCTACCCATGTAATGAAAAATGTTCTAATCTTCAAAAGCAGATATATGACTGCTTCGTTGCAGCCGGAGGTAGGACGGGTGTTGCAATTCGAGTGGGTTCAAAACATATCCTACTTACAGACACTTCAAAATATATATTCATTTTTTAAAGAACACTGTATTTGTTGTATTATGGTAGAAGAAACATATTATTTTTTTATTTATAACTGATAACATTAATTTGATAATAGTTTACGGAACAAAACAAGAAAAAGTATAATTGATCTACAAACAATGGAGAAAATGTTTTTCCTTCGCCTATTTTTGTATTGACAATTGGTCATAATTCTATTTATAATTGTATTCTTTCATCATAGAACCGATCCAGATATCTGTTACCTTATGGAATCCCTTGAAGATATCACTTATACTGAAAGACGTGGAGTTGCTATGGCGTTTTACACCGCTTAACGAGTCTGGTGACAGCGATGACAATAATAGTATCTACAATGAAATCGCTTTAGCACAAGGAGTGGAAGTAGCAAGTAACGTGATTGTTGGACAAAAACTACCTTCAGTCGTTTTGGAAGGGGATAGTAAAAAATCATTAATATTCTCCTTAACTCCTATGAAAGTTGGACAAGTTTACATTCAAGGATTAGCGTACAAGTAAGTTACGTTATTTTGTAACGAAATGTAATGAAGTTAACGGTTATGTTAAGATTAAGAAACGATAACAGTTTTCGTCAAATTATTATAAATCAAAAAGTTTTTTGTTTACAGATTAATAAATGCTGGAGAAGGCGCCTCTGAAAACAGTAGTACTGGTGTTTCAATACAAGGGAAAGTAGATTTAATGTCTGGAGTAAAAAGTATGGACAAGCGATTGGAAATTACTGTCATACCAGAAGCGCCGTGTTTGCAGGTGAACATATTGGATTAAATTTACAAAACATCGATTAATTTTTTTTATTGCCCTTGTAGGTATACGAGCATACGGCCCACCTGATGGTGAGTGGTTACCGTTGCCCATGGACTTCAGCAATGTCAGGGGCAGAGCCAAGCCGCTGTCTACCGAAGCTTACTACTTTACCTTTTATTAGCTACCTATTGAAGCTTACTAATAGGTAATAAAAAAAATTTTATTTGTTTCTAGATGACCTTCTCGGAGACTAATCCAGATATAATAAGTGGCGAAATAAGAACTGTAGACGTGGAACTGACCAATGTCGGACCCGTCGACATGAAGAACGTTTTCATCGCGGTCTCGCATCCCGAATGTGTCAGTGTGGTCACGCCGGATAATGTCGTTGATGATTTTAAAATTTTATACGATGAAAAGTTTCGAGAAATTACACCAAATTCAGGTAAATTTTATTAAAACAATAGTACATTATTTTTTTAATATCAAAGTCTAGTTAAGTTTCAGGTTTTATCGAAATGCACTATTTTGTTGTCTCGATGCGAAACTTAAATAAAAATAGAGCTACAGTATATTGGGGGGAATCGGGACGCTTTTCAATTCCAATAAAATTGAGAAGTCCTTTTCTATTCAACAAATTTAAATCTCACAAAAGCATTGTGACAACCAAGATTTGTCCCTATTCTACCCCTAGTCCCTATTCCCCCCCATTTTACGGTAATTAATGTAGGGATGTTTTTTTAATACAATTTGTATTGTAATGGATGCATGACGGCGTGCTGGCGAGCGCAGCTGCAGTAGAGAGGTCGTGTTACAGAGGAGCGCGGCAGGGGCGCGGAGGCGTGGCGGCGCGCGGCGGCGCGGCACGTGCGGGCGGCGCGCTGCGGGCCGGCCGTGCTGCTGCTGCGCCCGCACAGCGCCGCCGCGCGCCTGCACGTGCTCGCCTACTACGAGACCGGACTCGAGCGCCGCCCCTACAGACTGCTCAGACACGTCTTCCGATTCAATGTAGTGGTGCGTTTCTATTTGTTACATAACGACGACCATTTCGAGACGTAAATTCATACATTTTATTACGACCGGTAAGCTATGAAAGTATTTCCTGTAAAGTAAAACACATGATTATCACGTAGCAGAAAGAGGCCGACTAATAACGCTAGTCCTTATGACTCTACGACCTGCTTCACCATCAGGACTCTGCTTAGAAATCAGGATAATGTCAAATTTAATATCTACTGCCATTCAAAAATTCCAAATTTACAATGCTTTCATTATATGACGTTACCCTATTTGTATTCATAAGTATTAGTAAAAAGATATAAAATAGTCTTAGAATGGTTTTATGCCAGTAATCTTTTAATAATAACTTTATTAAGCAAATAATATTTTAATAATAACTATTGATTTTTTCTACCATTTAGAAATGTTGATAGTGTTCAGATTTTTATTTTCATTTTAAATAATTGTATTTTATGCAGGACGCTGTTGATATCACTATAAACCCGAGACGAAGCCTTAAAACCGTTAACGAAAGCGTTGCCGAGATTGTCAACTTATCTGTGGAAGTATCAAATATTTCCGAAAATAAAAGTGACCAAATAAATATTGAGCTTTTGGAAGCGGCGTTTTTGAGTCGACAATGGAAAATAACAAACCTTATCGCCGCCCGAGACAAGAATGACATTTTGGCGCCCCGCGAAAAACTTCATCTTGTATTTAAGGGTCACAGAATTCTCGAAGCAGTTCCCGAGGGACGAGTTGAAACTTCTTGTGTTAAAATTTCGGAAGGACATCCGGACTCTATTGCTGATATTACATCGCCGCCATATTCTAAATTTATGATTAACAAAAAATCTTCATTCATCGATTCAGCAGACAACACATTCAACCAAGACATAGAAAAAAGGTCTGGTTTACTCCAGTCTATGTTCGTTCTTCGATGGAAAGCACAAGATGAAACGACAGGGCGATCTGCAGTCGGCCAACATTGTTTATGGTTGGATTGTTTCAACAAGGTGCAATACGGGGAAAAAGTATTAGTTACTGACAACAATCCTCCCTTACCCCTCGATGAAAACGAGAGTAAGCTTGACGTTACTGAAAATAAAAAAAATATTAAAAAAGACAACGTTGTAATGTTCAAGATGGAGCATTCGAAACAGATAAATCACGATTTCAACGAAAGAAGACTTTGTATTATTCCAGTCACATTGAGTATTGTTAACTGTTATGGAGTCCCTGTAAGGGTGTTTATAAACATGAGCAAACAGAAAAACAGGTTAGTGGTTCATTATTCAATCATATCTATTTGAAAATAAGCTTTTGCGAGACTAATGTTATTAAACTTAATGGAGCTCAATGTAGGAAACCTTTACAACACAGTTTGTTTCGCCATCTCGATCTGGCTCCATTCGTAATGTCATGAAATTAAATTGTGGAAAAAATTGGAATCAAATAATGTAACTTTGAAATTTGCCATAGCTATGTCTGTGTCCATCGTTTTTTAAAGATCTTCTTGGGCAAATAAATTCACCAATAATCTGCTAACAAAATATGCACATAAAACATATGTATGTATATATTACGGCAATTTTAATATTATAATATGTACTCACTTAGGGACATGAGATTACAGTTTTAGATATATTCTAATTAAGCCTTGTTTAAAATATAAAATAAAACTCAAAACTCTCCCAAAAACTGCAGATAAAAAGCTCATTTCAGAAATTCAGAGTACTTGGGAGAGAAAACCGAATGAAATGCAATGCTGAAGAGGTTCAAATAAAACTGATTGACTCTGCCTTTGTAGTTCATAGTAAGTGTACTTACTTGGGAGTTCCGGTCACCGTCCTCGTCGAACCCGTCGCTGGCGACGAAGGGTTCGACGAGTGAATTAACCCATAGACACAGCCCACTGAGTTTCTCGCCGGATCTTCTCAGTGGGTCGCGATTCCGATCCGGTGGTAGATTCTGCGAAGCACTGCTCTTGCTAGGGCCAGTGTTAGCAACACTCCGGTTTGAGCCCCTTGAGCTCACCTACACACGTTAGGGTGAAGCTGTAATAGCCTCTCAAGGCTATCAGCATAGGTAGGTAAAAAAAAAACTTGGGAGAGAAAATACAGGAAATGTATTGCTTAAGTGGTTTCGGGTAAAACTGATCGACTCTACCTTTGTAGTTCAAAGTAAACGTTGGCGGCATATCTATATTTATCTGTGTTTTTCAGGGAAACTTCTGGAAGGGAGCTCGGGTGGACAGGGGCGCTGCACAACGGACCCGACGCGGACTCTAAAGAAATAGGCGTCAGTATTCATCTCAAGAAATTTGAAACGCGCCGCGTTCAAGTGCAGGGCGTCTGCGCGGCTCCCGGCACCTACCTCGTCGGATCGGCATTCACTGTTACGACACAAGGAACAGAACCGCACATGAATGTAACGGATGTCTCGAACAACACGTCCTTATTGGTTTTACAGCAAGCGTAATCGTTTATCATCAAAAATGATATCATATAAAAATGAAAAACCTACGGCAGTATGTATACATTTAACACTATTTAATTTTAAAAGAACTACCGTCATGCAAACAAAGTAAAAACGACTTTAAAAATATTTAGGAAGTTCGGTAAAAATAACAAGTAAAGGGACTCTTATTTATTTTAACATAATACTTATGATTATCCATATATGTATTCTGTGTTTAGTATTTCATAAGAGCGAAGGTATTCTTGTACTATTGAAATCATTGTTTTAAACATATCTTGACAGTTGATACTACCAAACAAGCCCTAACACATTCTGACATAGTGTCGTAGTAGTCGCTAGGCCGAGGGTCGTGAGTTAAACTGCCTCTCATCAGATTAATCGGTTGTTCAATACCTATATTTTTATATGTTTAAATGTATAAAAGTATGAATATGAATCTCTGGTTCCGATAGTACAAAGATTCGTAGTTTCTCTCTCGTCTAAAATCCCCAATTATTAATATTATTATTATTATTTGCAACTTTTGTTATTGGCAGCACGTAAATTTGATGTAATAGGCACTTTAGTTTGTTGCCGCAGGCTCGGAATTTGTTTTAACGAAATCAAATTTTAACACGAAAAGATTGAACAGAAAAGTATAACCATATTTTCAGAATCAATGCACCCATAGACAAATCATCGTTTTTTATTGTGGGTAGTACAGGTCAAATGTCGTACTTATTAGGTTAAAATACTGATATTAATGCATTAAGTGTTGGTTTTATTTAGCCTATGTTTATTTTATATTAATTTATTACAGTTACATAATAAATATGAAAAAAAATGGAAATAATGTATAACAAATGAAACTGTCGGCGTAAGAATAGCTTATGCTCGGAAAGTTCGACAGTGACAATTCTGTATTTTCTGAAAGTAATTTATAGCGACAATATTGAGACTTGATTAATTTTTCCCGTAATTCGTTCGAAATTGCAGACTAGCCTATATATTTAATTTTAAGGTAATACCAAAAACACCTATTCGTTTATTGAAGTGCTAGTTCTTATAAATTATTCTTATTTATGTGGCGATAACTATTTTCATATTACATAAATTCGTTTTTGCTAAAAACAATCCTAAAACCGAAACAGGCAGACTAGTGCATGGCCTGTCATTACCAGAACATGCCCTTAAAGTGAATGTAGCCACTCCAATAACAAGTGGAAATCTCGATTGTAATGTGATTGAAAGCTATACTTGTCTATCCTTCAAATTGATAATATGTATCAATTCGCAGCAGACGGCACGTTGGTGTTAGACGGTGGTATCTATCTACACGTTAGGCCTAAAACACACTTTGCACAATACGTAGATCATTTAAACTACTATCAAAGTGAACAATAATTATAACCGATTTAATCATAGTGGAACCAAATGTAACCCAGTCTCAAAAGTCACTTCTTGAAGCAAAAGTTTCACAATTAACACTTAAAATATTTTTTAACATCATCATTATTGACATCAAGGGGCGGTGGGACATCAGTCATTGTGATACTCGGATCTCTCGTGACGACTCCAGAACGATGTGTCTAAATCCGGCATAAACTGGGACACTCCTCTTGGACAAATATTCTTAACATTGTCGGGGCAGTGATCTTTTGCTGCCTAAGAGTCATACAATATGTAAAAAGGGATTCGTTCCTCTACCATATCTCCAGTCAATTGTAGTTGCGGAGCTTTTGCATGTACCTTTCCAACTTATAGCTTAGGGTCCTTGTTAGAATTCTTAGACTTAAGCGAAGCGAATTAGGATCATTTTGGGTGTACCGGTTATCGTATCCTTTAAGCAGGACGCCTGCATGCAGTTTTCCTGGTGTTCTTAGCTGTAGCGTTCTGCTTGCGATAGAAACCCAGTATTTTAATTAGCTCATTGTTTATTCTTCACTAGCGACCCGCCCTCGCTTCGGTTCGGAAACATTAAATTTTATTATTGATCGCTGAGTCCCGCGATGTTATGTCCCGTCGAAACGCGGGTGACGCCGTGGGGCGAAGCTAGTCTAAAAAAAGTAAAGCCTAAGTTGCTCCTCATATTATCAGCTACCTATCAGTGAAAGTCCCGTCAAAATCGGTCCAGCCGTTCCAGAGATTAGCCGGAACAAACAGACAGACAGGCAGACAAAAATTGTAAAAAATGCTATTTTGGTGTATGTATCGTATATATATTAATATGCATGTAGTAAAACTGTTATTTCAATATTACAAACAGACACTCCAATTTTATTTATATGTATAGATTAACCACCCCAGAAGCTTTCCAATGCGTTTAACTAATGTTCAATTAACAAGGTCAGTTCATTATTGCTGTCCGTGATTGCTTGCTTAGATTTTCATCAGATTATATTCGATAGTTGATAAGTTAGACTGAGATAGAGGAACCTGCATATTTCACTAACTATAAACAAAATAATAAAATTAATTTAGGACACATTATCATTGATTAAATCTATCTAAGGATACCTTGGGCTTACTTATGTGCGTTCGATATTTTATGACCGGTTAGATGTATACGAATGTTTTGAGTTTGAATGTACTATTTATTACGTAGCGGTTCATATCGAAGGTGAAAGGCTATTTGGTTTAAGCGACATTTTGTAATTAAAGGTCCGTTTTATTTGGTATTAGTATGAAAGTTTTTAATTGAACTTCAATTATATATAACCTATTCAAATAGCTGAAAAAGTTTTTTGTCATGATATTTTTTCCAAATTTTAAACTTTAAATGGCTCTTCTGTAAAGTCGCAAAAATGTCGCTTGAACCAAATAGTCTTTCACCCCTCGGTATAATGCACAAAACTTTTTATATTTATTGTCAGTTCATTAAATAAACCAACTTTCTAAATTACATTTATTCCGTGATAGTAGCCTGATGAAAAGAGCTATGACGCAGGAGTGTGCCACAGATCTAAATTGAACCCTTGTAGGGTTAATTTTTACTATTTGGCATGGAACCTAAATAACATAAAATGTTTTATTCGTGCAATATATAACAACATTATTTTCAGTTTATAGTTATTGTTATTGGATATAATAAAATTTTATTCACCAAAGTATAAGTTTTATTCTTCGAGTAAATCGTTCTCTGTGCAAAAAGAAAAAATTAAGAATGAGGCCGAAGTCTTGAAACACTAAGAAAATATGAAAATCGTGGAGATTAATGAGTTAATTTATTTAACATGTGGTAAGCCATCCTACTCTAGACACGATTAAATGCGGGCAATGTAAGTGCTACAATTAATCAGTAGCCACAATGAAAATATCATATTTTTCAAATTTGTTGGCATATACCTACCATGTTTAATGTAAAGCACGGTCCTTACAAATCTTAACTTAATTTGTTTTTTATACCAATCTAACAAACGCGGTTTAACGCTGAATCACGCATTGAATTTAATACTGTATTATTTACCTTACGATCTTTTTGAAACTAACCGTCACTATTGAAATGGCTGGAAGTTGATGATAACTAAAGCATGTTTAATAGTAAAAGGCCGCATTCTCAATCTGAGTGGAAATTTTGTAAACCTGTTATTGTATGAGTGAACACTAGATCTGCGTTATATTGTTTTATGTTGTATGTTCACCTATTTATATTTATGACAAAGGTAGTGCAACTACCAGAAAACAAATTATAGGTGACAGCCGTGTTATATAACTATGAATGCTTATGTAAAGGGATGGTTTTTTTAATCTAACAAGTATAACTAATTACATGTACTTTTTCATATTTCCCGAGGTATCGCAAAATCATTCAATACTAGCGGTACATCCGTTGATACACTACCCATGGTTGGCAAAAAATAAATAGATACACTTTACAGATTAGGTCTGAGTCCAGTACTTATTGCTGCTTACTGGCTCGTCATACAATTAAGAACGCTGAATAGTTTATATTCCAATAGTATATTATAGTATAGTATAGTATATTCCAATTTAAATAGAAAACACTGTGTTATTATTCATATAATTTTAGTGCTGTAAGTCTTTATCAGTGGTTGCGTCATATGAAAACTTCGCAAGAAGAACTGGTCAAATAAAAACATAGCCCGCCCTCTGCAGTGCTCAAAAACGATGGTTTTCCATGCTGCGAAGCATTTTGCCGCTTTTTTATTGCCCTTGTGGGCAGACGAGCGTACGGCCCACCTGATAGTGAGTGGTTACCGTCGCCCATGGACTTCAGCAATGGCAGAGCCAAGTCGCTGCTTACCGTTATGTACTCTCCACAAGCCTCTTTTGAAGAAGTATATGTCATAGTGCTCGGGAAATACCGTGGAGGGGAGTTCATTCCAAAGCCGGATGGTACGTGGAAAAAAGATCTCTGGAGACAACACTGTGTCGGTGGCGGGCGCCGGGCGGTGCGATGGTAAAAACGAGATATCTCAAACAATATAAATAAACCACACACTACGTCATATCAAACTACTCCAAAAGTTTCGCGTGTACCTAAACAAAGGAAATCATCTTATCGAGATGATGAAAATATTCGTTTGGCACAACAGAATGATCGAATGAGCCGACAAAATATTTTTTATTTTTTAATAATTTTTTATAATATTTTTTGGTGATAACAACCCTTTATCAATATCGGCACGCACTGTTCGAAGGTGTTTAGTAGAATATAAGTTGCACGGAAGGAAAAAAGTGCCCATCTTGAAACGAAGCCATAGGTGAGCCCGGCTTGCAATTGCAAGATGCTGTGGAAACTGGACTGTTAGACAGTGGGAAATGTTATTTTTTCTGAGGAGACAACAATAAAAAGGGTATGTTCTGATGGAAAACGGTATGTACGACTTCCTCCGAATAAAGCATTCAAACCAAGTACAGAAAATTTAAATTAAAACATGATTCCGGAAATGTGTTGGGGGTGCTTTTCTGGACATGATATTGGACCTGTTAAGCTAATGATGGAAACATGGATCAATTCCAATATAAAAATATAGTGGAAGAAACAACGTTACCTTATGCCGAAGACGTGTTTCCGGTTATTAGGATTTTCCAGCATAACAATGATCCAATGCATACTGCACGCACCGCTATGGAATTTCTCACATCGAAATTAGTTTCTGTGTTAGTTTGGTCAGTTAACAGCCCAAATCTAAACACAATAGAACATATTTCGTGCGAAGTCAAGAAAGAGGTCTTAAATCGACAGGCCACACTGTTGATTTGAGATTAAGAGAGCAGTGTTTTCCAACTCCATACAAATATGAGTTAACTTTTGCGCTATAGAGAACGTTAAAAAACTTCCACTAAGCATACTGTACGATGTTGTCTTATGGAACTCTATCTTTATTGCGAAATGTACAAAATTGATAGTGTCAACGTTTCACCTGTGTAAAGCATACAATTAAAAGCCCTGGACATGTTAATTTAATAACTATTAATTATAGTTTAAAATGTATTAGATAGCATTTCTTTACGCACTTCACATTAATTTGATTTATTTAATGTAAGTTTCATATAAAACTACTTTATTCATATAAAAAAAAACACAAAATTTGCAAAAAAACCTTAGCAATTTTATTCGATATTCCTAATCCTGTTTGCTCTATGGGTGTGGTTATTTCATAAATTATCTAGTTATTATTTAGATTAAAAAAAACTTAAACTTCAAATCGTTCATAATTCTAAGATCAACCGTACATGTCGCCTTCATTTTCAGTCTGCTTGTATCAATCTCATTCTAATAGGGTCCAGTTACCAATTCTCTTACATTCCCTGGGATTATTTGAAACTTCTGGTTCTACGATAGAAATTAGATTCTCTTTGTGCTTTATACCGATGCTTTGAAGCAGTGCTCTGAAGCATTAGTCGAGATGATCCCTATAACTCCATCTTACCATCGCGCCAGGCGCGTCCTTCATAGAGTTTATCTTTATAACTACATAGCTGAAACTACTGCTTTCATTCACACAGTGAATTCCCCGCCGTCAGCAAGCTTACTCTTTAAAAGTGCTGTCATCTGTTGTCATGTTACAAAATGGAGTACGAATGTTGTTTATGGCAATTGTTTTATTTCAACGAGAAACAATGCTAATTTGACTACCCATTAAATCTGCTCCGGAGGTTTTAAGCTTCATTTCACAGTCAATTTTAATACATCTTTCTACTCTATCGTATGCCCTAAGGTTTTAAGCTTTGTTTCTACTTTTCATACTATTCTCACAGTTTGATTTTATTGTAAGTTTGTGTCGCAGCCTTTGGTAACACGACCTCATAGTCGATTTTAGTTTTAAATAGGGAGATAACAATGTGCTATCCTTTTTAAAAAATGGCGGGAAATTACACGAAGTTCAACTAAGGCAACAAATAGTTTAGTATAATATAATAATAATAATAATATTATAAAGAGGAAAGATTTGTTTGTTTGTTTGTTTCGAATAGGCTCCGAAACTACTGGACCGATTTGAAAAATTCTTTTTCCATTAGAAGCCGACATTGTCCCTGATGAACATAGGCTACTTTTTTTTTTTTTTTTTTATTTTTTTTTTTTGGTTTCATGTGTGTTTTAATGTTTCCGAAGCGAAGCGAGGGCGGGTCGCTAGTAGTTTAGTAAAACTTAAGACATAGCCAAACTCTTAAAAATTTTGTTTAATCCAAATTTCCAATTTTCGTTGGAGTACAAAATCGTAGACACAAACTTGCGATAATTTACTTGATTAAAAAACACATGACTAAGAATCTGTCTAGAGCATACATTGAAAATAATATATATTTTTTGGTTTTAAAGAACGAACTCATGGCTCATCTGTTGTTTAGTGGTTACCGGATCCCATAGACATCATAACGAAAAGGCCATCCTGTCTGAGATATGTAGTCTAATTATTATCAATGTATAACGTCTGTACCACACATCAGACCGGGAAGCATTCTTGTTTCGCGTCAGAAATAGGTAGGGTGGCGATACCCTATCGTGTGACTACATAAGACATCCTTTCACCAATAGGTTAATTGAGTTACATAATTATGACCAAGAGAAAAGGGAAACGATGCCATCGTGGTCTGAATGTACGGACATGTGAAATCTAGGCTCGATTACTAAAGGCATCGCTGATAATACTAAGAGTTGAGCTTCTGAAAGACACAGCAAAATAGTAAATAGACTATCTTAAATGTGTTCATCAAAAAGCTTGCTTGTCCGGAAACCACTTATTGATTAAGTGGGCCCTGAACTTATTTGTCCTGCTACAGCAATAAAGAACAAGGCAAGTACATCTAAAAGTTTAGTCAATTTTTTTAATGAATATCTTAAATGACAATAATAAATATATTAATAATAAATAAATTAAGTTTTGTTTCATATTCTTAGTTTCTTTAGTATATATTACATAAAGTCCAGCGTTCAATATGATTTCTATAATTTAAGTACGGCCAAAAGCAAAATACGTAGGTAATTATTAAGCTATAAATACCACATTAATGAGCATCTGTACTGTTAGACAGACGGACGTTGGGCTGGCAGCACTGTCGCGTTCGTTTGTAGAGTAGAGTAGGCAGATGGATGGATAGGGATAGGTGGGCGTCCATCTTGAAGTTTTGCTGGGTTTGAGCCGGTTTCGTTGAAAAAAAAGTGAATTATTTAATTTAGTTTTAACTTTAATTATTAGTATCAAAAAAGTTCTATGGATTCTGAAACTGTTATATAGTGTAGAGTAGGAATAATCACAGTAATGTTTTAGGTATGGATGAAAAATGAACATAAGATCATTTGACAAGTAATGGCGTGCGTTTTTCTTACTGAAAGCACTTTCATATTTTATTTCATGGCGTCAGATACTATGAATAGAAATACCAAGTGCATGTGATTTGAAATTATGAGAATTTAAGAAATCCAGTAACTATGAACTTTTAAACGTGTCTGTTTTAGTGTTCAGTTATAGTGAGCTGGATGTCGTTTTTAGGTTATCCTTCACAATACTATAATTGAAAAGTGACTTGTAACCCAACTGCTCACGATACTGTTTGTAATATCGAAACAATTTAACACAGTGTAACTTTGTGCTTAGTGAAAAAAGTTATGATTTCTTTTCACAGTAACGCTACTCAAGACGTACGCGATTTCCGGAAAGACTATCGCAGATAAAACCTTTGGTTTACAAAGGCACAGTACGATGGCAGTACCTAGTAGAGCGAGGGTCTACGCTGATGTGAACTCACAACGTCCAAGGGAATATTGGGATTACGAAAGTTATGTAGTTGACTGGGGCAACCAAGAAGACTATCAGTTGGTTCGCAAGCTGGGTCGCGGGAAATACAGTGAAGTATTTGAAGCAATAAATATTACGAATAATGAAAAATGTGTAGTTAAAATATTAAAGGTAAGCACATTATAATTTTATTTTGGAAACCATTGCTTTTTTGCATATTTATACTTAAAAACTAATATGTAAGAACAAAGGTAAATACTAATTTTGTGATTATTAGCAGTTTCGGTCGATGGAGCATTTTAAACTTGTTTAGAAACCTTACTATTTCTCGTCAATTTCAACTGCAGTAGCAGATAGGGTATTTTCACTTTGTAATAATGCCTGGAACAAATTGTAATAGCGATCTAGAGATCAAGGTGAAATCAAACTGCAAGGTGAAGTTTAAATAGTAAATTAATGAGAAATTAAGTAACATATTTCATTAGCATAGATTATTTGTATCAAATACATTTTTAACATTTGAAAGTTGGATTTGATAACTAAACTATTTTTCTCTCTTTCCTACTTGACATATGGGTCTGCTTTTTTGAGTTCAATTCAACATTTTAATGTCTAGTCCCATTTAATTGAAAGGATTTTTCCATATAGTTATTTGGCAGGCTTGAGAGAGCAGACTAAGCGCAGTCACTTAAAATGTTAATTTACCTAACAGATTAAATTATATCAAATTGGGAGCATGTAAATTTTAGATTTATTAGTTTATTTGCATTGTAATTAACTTAATAATGAAATCCATTAATTATACTTTTTTTGTGAAGTAATTAAAATTCCACTGCAATAAAGATCTAGAGCTCATTTTTAAAAGTAGATTCAAGTAACTCTTTAACATCAGGGAGACCATGAGGTCTATCTGCTCATCTAAGCCAATCATAAAATTAATTACTCATGTCTCCATTGTTTCAGCCTGTAAAAAAGAAGAAAATTAAAAGAGAAATAAAAATTTTAGAAAACTTAAGAGGAGGCACTAATATAATATCTTTACAAGCTGTAGTCAAAGACCCTGTCTCGCGTACACCTGCACTTATATTTGAACATGTGAACAATACTGACTTTAAACAGCTATATTCGACATTGTCAGATTATGATATAAGGTTAGTTAATATGTAAAAAATTATATTGATTTTAATTATACTAATTTAAATATTAAAGGTTATTGAAACCTTTTGCACTGGGGTTATTATTTACCTATTATATAAGTATAAAATAAAAATAAATGCAGCTGAACCCATTATAAATTATCTCTTTATTCAACATTTAATAAAAAAGATCAGTTTTTATTCAAGTAGGCCTACACAGGCACTTATAAATTGTTGTGATTTTGTATCCAGTTTACAATACATTTTCACAATTGGAACATTAAAAACTACACGCACTCCAAAAATATGTATATTGCACATAAGATATTATTAAATTATCACATTTAATAAGGATTACTTGAAACTAGTAAAAACAGGTTTGCATTAATACTGTACCAGTATTCATCATTCAGTAGATTCAGCTCTTGTGTAAAATCAGGACTAGGTGTGAAATTGTTGAGATTTGTTGAATAATAATAAAAATAAAACAATATTGTTTTCATTGAAGATGGTGTATATGTGTTATAATTATAGATAATTAGGTTCAAAAATTAAGGGAATATCAGTCTAAATTGCAATACATTCTTTTTTAAATAGTTTTATTATCATTGTGTTTTTCAGTTTGTCAACTTTATACGCTAGAAGTGAGTCATTGAATACTGCTGGACATTTTATCACTCACTGATTTTAAATAGTTTTATATATAAACTAAAACCTTATGTTGTTCTAAATGTAATTGTTATAAATTTGCAGATACTACTTATATGAGCTTTTAAAGGCATTAGATTATTGCCATAGTATGGGGATAATGCATAGGGATGTGAAACCTCATAATGTGATGATTGACCATGAACATAGAATGTTACGCCTTATTGACTGGGGGTTAGCTGAGTTCTACCATCCGGGGCAAGATTATAATGTTCGTGTTGCTTCTAGATACTTTAAGGTAATGTTTTGATAAGTTCAACATACTATTTAAAACAAAGTGTTTTTAGTCTTGCTCAACATGAATAATTCAAATCTGTTTTACAGGGCCCTGAACTCTTGGTAGATTATCAAATGTATGATTATTCATTGGATATGTGGTCACTAGGATGTATGTTGGCATCCATGATTTTCCGTAAAGAGCCATTCTTTCATGGCCATGATAATTATGACCAGCTTGTACGTATTGCGAAAGTACTGGGTACAGAAGAATTGTTTGAGTACTTGGATAAATATCATATAGAACTGGATCCTCGGTTTAATGACATACTTGGCAGGTATGACACCATTTGTTTAATTTTGATACACTAGTTTTTACCCTATGACATATTGAAAAAAAAAACATTTCTTCACCTAAAGTAAGTTAAATTATAGGCAAAACATTGTTTTCAGACACTCACGTAAGAGATGGGAGCGATTTATACATTCAGAAAATCAACATCTTGTATCACCAGAGGCACTGGACTTTCTTGACCGTTTACTGCGTTATGATCATTATGAACGCTACACTGCTCGTGAAGCAATGGACCATCCATATTTTTGTAAGTTTTTTTTTTTTTTGTTGTTTAGATGGGTGGACGAGCCCACCTGGTGTTAAGTGGTTACTGGAGCCCATAGACATCTGCAACGTAAATGCGCCACCCACCTTGAGATATAAGTCCTAAGGTCTCAAGTATAGTTACAATGGCTGCCCCACCCTTCAAACCGAAACGCATTACTGCTTCACGGCAGAAATAGGCACGGTGGAGGTACCTACCCGCGCCGACTCACAAGAGGTCCTACCACCAGTAATTACGCAAATTATAATTTTGCGGGTTTGATTTTTATTACACGATCGCACATTATAGATATCAAATTTAAAGGTTGACGTCACCAATGTGTACTGGGATACTACTTTTACGAATACTGATTGTAATATTCGAAACATGCCTGAAGAAACTAACTTTCAGCCAATGATCATAATTCTACAATAAACACTGATAATTCAAAGTTTAAAATCATTTCATGTGTAACATTTTCTCTTTTCGCTGTTAGTTTATGAATTAAAAGAAACTGACTATTTAATTACAATTATATTATAACCCTAAGGCTCACTGATAGCTGCTAGCAAAATTCGTTTACAAACTGAGTAGAAAGTGTTTTTTTTTTTTCTGAAGAAAAAACCTATTTCCAAATTACAAACTACAGCTCAATTGCAACTAAAAAGTCGGTTGATGGCCAAAGAACATAGTACCTGTGTTGTTTTCGCTTATTTAGTTATAGATTCTATAGCTGCACATGATTATTAGGCGAAACGTTATGAGCTACCTAGCTGTGTCACTTTTTTTACAGTATTTAGGGACGACCAAAGCTTGAAATGCCTAGACTCCGTTTTAGTGAATGCAAGTGCACTATACTATTTATTAAAGTGAAGGATAATTTTAATTGTGCGCAAATTTTGCACCTGTTAAGAATTTTTTCTTATAGTGTTATTTGTAGATTGTGATTTCATTCATAGAGACAAGGTTAAAAAACTAGTCTAATATGTTTACAGATCCAATCGTAAAGGAGCAGGGTCGAATGGCAACTTCCAACTCACCTACTCCTAATGCACTGCAAGGACCAGTAAATTCTGCAGAGTAATCACAAGAGTCATTAACACTCTTATTAATACTATGTATTTATATATACTTGTACAAGATTCCAGAAGAGACATTGTAAAAAAAACATCAACAAGAGACCGCTGCTTTTGTAAATACACAGAGAAAAAGAGAGATATGCCTACTCTGTACAACTGACTATACAGATTGATGTGATTCCAATTAAATAAGTTTTGGAAAGACAATATAACTTAGTGTTTAAATAATTAGTAAAAACTGGTTTATTTGTTGTTAAAGTGTTTTATCTCTCCTATAAACTGCTGCTGAAACAGTTCTGTGGAAGTGTTCATGTATTTGAGTTGTCGAGTATCTTGTGGTGGGTGGGATTCAATATGTCCAAATTAAAAAACACGATTTTTTGTACGTGAAATTCGATATTAATTTTATTGAAACAAAATAATATAAATATTAAGAACATCGAGTTTCATTGCACTTGATCTTTTGCATTTATTAACCTATGGTATTTGAAAAATGTAATTACTTGTATAATATACTACTGAGAGCATTACATATGATTTGAAATGCTACTTTTAGCAGTTTTTTCGTTGGTACTTGTTTAAAATTTTGTATTTATGTAATAGTAGTAAAAATGTAGATATGTGTGATATAAATACAAAATTTTAATATTAACTCAATAGTTTTTCTTTTTATATTTTTTTTTATAAAAAGAGACCAGTACTACCTACATTTGACAGTGTCAGAATATTGTTTCTATTAGTATATTTTAANAAATGCTACTTTTAGCAGTTTTTTCGTTGGTACTTGTTTAAAATTTTGTATTTATGTAATAGTAGTAAAAATGTAGATATGTGTGATATAAATACAAAATTTTAATATTAACTCAATAGTTTTTCTTTTTATATTTTTTTTTATAAAAAGAGACCAGTACTACCTACATTTGACAGTGTCAGAATATTGTTTCTATTAGTATATTTTAATAAGTTAATTTAGCATCCTTATACATAATTATTATACATAGCTGAAATCAAGTCGTACCTTCGAGCGAGAAAGAGTGAGCCTCATTGAGTATAATTTATTTTATTGTGATAACTGCAAGTTGTTGCATAAAACTTTCTTAAATAAACAATACTAACTTTGCCTGTAAATGTTTCGATTATTTGTGTTTGAAGAACAAAAAATAAACCTATACTTTTTGTCTCATATTTTTTGGTAAGATAGTGATTGAACTGGATAACAAACATTTTCATACCACCAAGAACCTACTTCTAGATAATAATTCTTAACTTATTTACTTTTAAACGTAATTCAATTTTCGATAACTACAAATATATAGAAGATTAAATATTTTCTAAAGTTAATATATTACATGTTTATAATTTTTCTTATATATTATATAGTCTATATTCATGTTATATAAGCGAAAGTTTGAAATGAAATTTTGCATAAAGGTAGCATATAACCTGAACTAAGGCTGCGTTTTCAACGAAGATGTACGAGGCAGCTGGGTGGTGCGAAGCTGTGAAACGGTGTGTTTCCACCGGAGATGTGCTAGACTTCTGAACCGTGCGAGGTTTTTAGCGACGCTGTGAAACAGTGTGCGGATGAGCGGTGCGAGGATGTGTATCGGCTCATTTTTAATGCGAACATGCGTTTTGGTAGGCAGCGGCTTGGCTCTGCTCCTGTCATTGCTGAAGTCCATGGGCGACGGTAACCACTCACCATCAGGTGGGCCGTATGCTCGTCTGCCTACAAGGGCAATAAAAAAAAAAATACTGACAAACACCGTATAGTGACTGCTATTATTTCGCTCGTGTTCTTCCCTAGCACACATCCCTCTCAACACATTCGTAGCACGCAAAACCTAACTCCGCTGAGCCGTTTCCACTAGACCTGCGCCGAACGAGTCTAGTAAATTGATTCTATTGGTTTTTAACAAATATATGCCTTGATACCCATCCTCTCACATATTTGGTGAAAACGCAGCTTAACATTATCATGACATCGATATTACCGGGAAAACTCGAGTGTACCTATCTGATTTAATATACACAAGCGTTCGCCGCTTCGTGGATTTATATCTCATACATTTGCAAATTTACTGATAGTTGATGTACCAGAGAGGAGAAGAGCATATTTTTTAATTGCTCTAAATAGGGAGACGAGGTCACAGCCTACCGTGCACTCACGACTAATTTTACGAGTTTTATGAAATTATGTGCTTTTTCATTCACAATACAAAATTGAACTAATATGTTGGTAATAATCGTTTTTATCAATAGGGCCTAGACAATGTCGCATTCTACTAGCGTTAACGCTTGCAATAGTATGGAGGGTTGAGGTAAAGAGCAACATCTTGTATAGGGGACAAGTTGAAAAAGTGTCCATCTGTATACAGCAAGTTATCGTTGGAAGTCTCACCGAAATAGCGCTAGTGTAGGAAATTGAAATAATATGAATATAGCAGTTTTAAGCAGAGTGAAGTGTGCTGGCGCTGTTTTTTAAACCTTTCCACTTGCTAATGTGGCGGCACCTTAATGGACTAGTATTAAAAAGTGTCTGCTGAAAGGTTCAGCTGACATTTTGCAATAGACAGATGGTGTTCCTTACTTCTACTCTCCATACGTATAAAATAAATACGGAAAGATGTCCTACTGTGATTCCTCAACAGAGCGAAGCAGTACTTCACGCATAGACATTTTGCTGTACAAAATATTGCTCCGATCTTTGGTCTGGGAATCCCAAATATCTGCTACGTTTTGTATAATATGTTCCAAGAAGAATATTCTGCCGAATTATTTGAGATCGTCTCATCCCATTTTTTCCATGACACCATCCCCACCATAATTCGTCCAAACTATCTTGAATCACTACGTGGAATGGGTTGTTTTGAATGAACCTTTCTCCATAGGGGGTTCTGAGCTATTACACGCCTTTCGTCAAACGAGGTTTGAAGAGATCCCTTCGTGGTAGGCAGCAGTTTATCTGCGCCCCTAGCATTGCTGATGTGCATGAGTGATGGTGATGACTCACATTATGTGGAAAGTACGATCGTCTGCTTACAAGGCAAAAAAATTAACGTAAATAATATTTCATCAAGGATGGAGTGCCACCATTGTAACTGTGAGGAGGACACGGCAGAGCATACGCTCGCACCCTACTTCTGCTGGTAGAAGCGTTATGGCCTAGTTATGCAAATTGGCCGAAATTGGCAAGGTGTTCTTGGAGTGGTTCAATTGTTTGGTTCCAGCATTGACCGCGATCGCCTCGCCTATCTCTAGGTTCTGTCTTTTTTTTTATTGCTTACCTGGGTGGATGAGCTCACAGCCCACCTGGTGTTAAGTTGTTACTGGAGCCCATGGACATTACAACGTAAATGCGCCACCCACCTTGAGATATAAGTTCTAAGATCTCAGTATAGTTACAACGGCTGCCCCACCCTTCAAACCGAAACGCATTACTGCTTCACGGCAGAAATAGGCAGGGCGGTGGTACCCACCCGCGCGGACTCACAAGAGGTCCTACCACCAGTAATTACGCAAATTATAATTTTGCGGGTTTCACTTCTATTACACGATGTTATTCCTTCACCGTGGAAGTCAATCGTGAACATTTGTTGAGTACGTATTTCTTTAGAAAAATTGGTACCTGCCTGGGATTCGAACACCGGTGCATCGCTCGACACGAATGCACCGGACGTCTTATCCCTTAGGCCACGACGACTACAAAGTGAGACGAAGTTCAGACGTTCGGGCTATAGTGCAGGATCATCGTTTGGAGGGTGGCTTCGGCAGTCCGACAAAACGCGCGCCCTGTCGCGTCGAACCGAGGATCATGTGCGGAGGATCGACCAACAGGACAAAAAAAAAAGGATCTTAAATGAAAAAGAGACTAAGTATTTTGCACTTCTTTATTTTTGTGTTTCAATAATGTAACTAGGTATTTTGCTTTGTTTAATTTCTGCATAATTTCTACTGCAAGCATAACATAGACGATTATGAATATAAGGAAATATTGTTGAGTTAATAACATTTTTCTCCATGTCCACATCTATACCAGAGTCTGTATGTTTTCTCAATGAAACTATTTTGGAAATACTTGTTGCATCCAAAGCTGAGATTGCTTTCTCATCAGGTTTCAAGATGCTCTGAAACAAATCATCTTATCACTTTACATTACTGTATTTATAAAACCATAATATTTATAATTATCATGGTATCTATAGAGGAAGATATTATCTAGTCAATTTAGAGAAAAGATTTCCACATTGCTCTGAAATGACTAGCGTTTGGGCTGTGATATTTCTAAATGAAGTAGTATTTCAGTTTTAAGATGTTCAGTTCTCCAAAAAATTTGTGGAATATTGTTTTATGGAAACAATTTTTTTTGTTAATGAAATGCGGTAGGCAGCGGCTTGGCTCTGCCGTTGGCATTGCTGAAGTCCATGGGCGACGGTAACCACTCACCATCAGGTGGCCGTATGCTCGTCTGCCTACAAAGGCAATAAAAAAAAAAAAAAAATTGGCAGACAGTTTGGAACACTGTAACGAGTTTCTTAGGTACAATACAGTAAAAGCTCTTTATTTGCAGAGTATATGTTCCATAATGTGTATGTACTGATGAAATCCACAAATAAAGGAATTGAGTCGCATTTTTTTAATCTGTGAGTAATGAAAACGCAAATGAAGTAAGCGTGAATAAGGAGCTTTTACTGTAATTACATATAACCTAATACTTCTGTCCTGCAAAGAAAACTAAGTAAAGTGAGTTACATGCTCATAATTGAAGCTTAATGTTAGTGAAAATATACCCAGTAACTTTTAAAAACCATTTTCACCTATGCTTAAGAAGTAAAAAGTACTCCATGCTTCACAGTAACATATTTTTGTTGACACCAACATGCTATTCATAGGTTTAATTTTTTATTAACATCCATATAATTTTTAATCAATATCTAATAATACTTACTTGACAAATAACACACGTATTATGCCTTTCATTGTCACATTCATCTTGTAATCCAATTTTATCAGCAGTTTTACATATTGTTGAAATTGTGGAAGGAAAATTTTCTTGCAAATTGCTTACAAAAGTACTAATTACTGTTTGCAAGCTAGTGTGCTCATTCTCTTTGGATGTTTGTTTATCATTTACTTTAAGATTCTTAGAGTTGATATAAAGTTTTAATTCCTCTTCACTTATGTCTTTCATAGGTCTAATAATTTTGATTTCCATATCTCTACTGTCTAAAAATCCCTGAAAGTAGTAGTTATTAGTAAGTTAAGTAATAGTAGTTGGATTATTTTTTAATAACTAATATTCAGCTATTCAAATGCAGAGGACCCTCCAACCCAACTATGTTCATAAGTTCCATACCATTGTTCAAGAGTTGAATACCTCAGGAAAGCTAAAAAAATCCAAGGCACAGCAATCTAATTTCTCGTGTTACGTTACTACAGTTCTTGATTATATGCATAAATTGTTAACTTACCACATCACTTTGTACTTGAGAGCCACGTCCAATAGCTAAATTTACAAGTAATTTTGTGGCCAAAGTGGTTGTTGTTTCACCAGTGAAAATATATTTGCAATTCAAAAGCTTTGCATATCTAATATATAAAGTTCTCTTAATATTAGTTATGAAATCATCTTTAACTGTTGGTAACATGCTATTTTGCATGTTATTGTACTCTTCTATAAGTTCATTGTTTACAATAGGTAAAGAATTCACAATTGGTATATGAGATTTGGATTGAACATATTCTGATATATGTGGTGAATATAGGTCATAATTGTACTTTTGACATTGTTCTATTACATTCTTTATTGTTTCGTAGTTTTCACCTGAAACAATATGTTTAGTGATGGTATTGGGTGGAGAGCATATCAACGCTTGAAAGGCAAATGTGACTAAGCGACAATGCGTGAACTTTACAGTAGACTAATTTAAAGTTGAAATACCTGAAAAAAATCTATTTTAAGGAATCTAGCTGTAAGATTGAAATGATTTTAATAGACCTAGAAATAAATTTTTTTGCGCATTGAATATGGTTATTGCCTATCATTTATGTACAAAGCAGTTATTGTCGCTTAGTCACGTTTGCCTTTCAAGCGTCGATATCTATGTTTAAGGAATGACTACCAAAGTTGAACAAAAATGAGACCAAGACATCCTATACTCTTAAAACAAAGTTAATATGAAAATTAAAGAAAAATAACAATTTTAAAACAAAAAAGCACAAGTATTACAGATTGAGGTTAAACTATTACTCAACTTAATTTATTCATGAAAATGTGAATTGAATCAGCAATAACCTCAATGTTTTCAGTTTTATTTTAATTAAAATAAATAAATTTAATTCTATGATTATAAATGTTAAATAGACAGGAAGCATGTGAATATTTGCCTAAATTGCTTACTGAAGTATGGACTGAAAAGTGGTAGCTAATTCAGGCATTTTCAAACAAGTTATTAATGATCAATCAAGAGTCAACAGAATTATATTATTACATTACTGAGGTCAATTGTTTCAAAATGAGATTGTAAGTCAGTAGTAGGGACTTAGTAGAACTTAACTTCCTTGGTTGTGAAACTATTGGTAGGTATATTCTAAGATTTTGAATTTGTCATGACACAAATTATACTTTTTATAAAATGAAGTAAAAAAATAAAGACTGTTTTTCTTAAAAATACGTATACACCATTATATAAAATGGTAACTTTAACACTTTCCTAATTCGGGAACATGTTATTAAACTAAATTTGATTCAGAAATTTACTTACACAAGTGTAGAAAAATTGGAGTTATTCGTAGTTTCTTGTGGTTATCAAGGGATAACGCATTATTAATCAAATCTAATAAAACCGTTGAGCCTTCCTTCCCCGACAAACAGATCAAAACATTATCTGCCTTTCCTAATATTTTATTTTTTCCGATGCTAGAACGGAATTTATGAGTTACATTTGCTAGGAAGCACTCTCTGCAATACAAATCTTTTTTTCTTAAGATAATTAATGCAGAAGATGAATTGCATTTTTTACATTTCATGTTGCTAATGTTAATTTTGGTTTAGTTTTAGATTCCTATCATAGATTATACACTTAATATATTCGAGAATTCCTATAAAATTAATCTAAAAAACACCCAATAATATTTCTAATTTCTTTTTTTTTAATTGATTTTATGATCTGGTAACTAAGACCTTTAGGTCAAGTCTTATTTTAATTTTAATGACGTAACTTTTTTATATGAAAATGATATTAAGAAATGAAATGAAGTTCATTATTATGAAACATGGTATGAAGTGAAATGAAAACGAAATGAAATTACATAAGATGAGATGATATGGGATGAAGTATAATCTCAGTAAAATGGTGGTCATTTACTGAAATTTTTTTAGTGGACTTTTTGGAGGATCCCTAGAAGTTACATCCAGCAGTTTTGTTTCATTTTCCCACATTTGTGCAATTTTACAGATATTAAACAGTTAATAAACCATCGGTATTACACATTTAAACTTGAAGAAACACTAAATAGACAAATTAAAACAAATCGCACAACTTCACACCTCGCGTTCCCGCCAAAAACACTTTTTTTTGCTGTGCAAATGGGTTCAGTACTCAATTTGCGAACCCGTTTGCGCTTCCTCCTACACTTGTTTACGAATGTCTCACGAATTTCTCCTCCTTTTTAATTCGTCAATAGAACATTGAACAGAAAAAGAGTTTTGAATTATTTCCCGGGCATCATTAACAGCCATGCTGTTTTCATGGGATTTCTTTTGATGAAGATACGCTACACAGTAGACGTCACGATCTATGAAAATAGTGAAACGTCCGTTGCCTTCGCAATCCTGGGCGCAACTGGTCACACGAATGTGTGGGAGACTACGCGAAGGATCGGGGTTCGCGCGCTTTGATGTCTGTTAAAAAACCGACACAGCTTGGAAAACCACGAATACAGCGAAAACTTTGCATAATCATTTGCAAATGTCGTCCTACACTTGCGGGTTTGCGTATTCGTGCGAATGTGAGTAACCGGTATATGAGTAGTAGTAGTAGTAGAGTTTTTCTCGAAGAGAAAGGCAACGGAACTGAGACATACTGCCAATTCTTAACTCTATGATTTCTAATAAAAATGACTTTTTTGAAAAAAAAAATATGGCCCTATTAACGATACTTTTAGGTCAAGTCTTCGTATGTTCTGTTATTTTTGCTAAGGCATATTATCATTTTATGCGCTCTGTGGATTTTCCATCTGACACTACTGCTAGTAAGTATCTCGTCAGAAATTAGGTATGGTAACTCCATTCCCGCCATCAAAATCCTTGACCAACCCATACCGTGGGCTTGATAGAGGGATGAAATTCGGTCCCCACATTAAGTCAGTATGCGACTCTACCCTGGATCTGAAAGCAAAGTAAATTATCCCTTTGCAACAAGGTGACACTCTACGAAACTTGCATACGTTCCTACATGACCTCAAATGTAGACTTCGTCTCACGAAAGAAGTCCCACGGCGATAAATGGAACTAATATGACAGGTCGGCCATGTTTGTCGTTATCAGGTGCTGTCAAGTGTTGATGTGTTCGTTATCACTGCGTTTTTTATTCATTTGTCGTATTTAAACTATTATTTACGGTGCCTAAAGTTGTAAAAAGTGCTGGTCGAGAAATAATATTGAAGGTTAGGGAGTTTTGTGAAGTAGAACAGAAGAATCAGGGGGTTTTGATACCAATAAACAATGTTCGTAAGAGAGTAGGCGTCATGACAGGTACTTAGTTCGGGATACCAGCTATGTTATTTTTAACAATTTTATTTGGTTTCGTAGTTATTGTTAGATTAAAGTATTTTATTATTGTTTAAGATTTAAACATTTCATTAAAGTTTATCATTATACATAGAAAAGACCCGTGGTGTTCTTGGATGAAACCTATATCCGTTATACATATGGTGGTAGGACCTCTTGTGAGTCCGCGCGGGTAGGTACCACCACCCCGCCTATTTCTGCCGTGAAGCAGTAATGCGTTTCGGTTTGAAGGGTGGAGCAGCCGTTGTAACTATACTGAGATCTTAGAACTTATATCTCAAGGTGGGTGGTGCATTTACGTTGTACATGTCCATGGGCTCCAGTAACCACTTAACAACAGGTGGGCTGTGAGCTCGTCCACCCATCTAAGCAATAAAAAAAAAATATCATGCCAAAAGTTGTTGGCAAAGTGCAGAAGTGCCCGGGGCTATTCACTTCCGAGTCTGTTGGAAGTAGGTGGATAATTGCTTATGCTGGATCTGAAAATGATTTTGTTGAGAATGCTCTATTTATTTTTAAATCCCAGTCATAATCATCAGATTATTATAAAGATATGAGCTCCGGTTATTTTCTAAAGTGGATGACTGAAAAGGTAATCCCACATTTGCCTGAAAAGTCACTTGTGGTTATGGACAATGCACCATACCACTGCACACAGCTAAACAAAGCGCCAACAATGGCAAATTTAAAAAGTGAAATGCAACAGTGGTTGCATGAAAAAAATATGAATTTTGAATTGACCTTGACGGATGAAAGCCGTATTGTTTGAGTTAATGAAACAAAATAAAGGACAACCAACTTATGCCGTAGATGAACTTTTAAAAAGCTACAACCACGAAATTCTGAGACTAACACCATACCACTGCAATCTTAATCCAATTGAAAAAATATGGAGTCTTGTAAAAAGACGCGTGGCTGAGAAAAATGTTGACCAGGATCCGAAAAAAAATTTAAAATTGACGGAAGAAGCGTTTACTACGTGACTCCAGAATATTGATTTGTTCAGTGCAACCATGTGGAGCATTTAGAGGATGAATATTTTAGGAATGATGGGCTGATGGATGAAAGAATGGACCGGATTATTATATCAACAGCAAGTGATAGTGAAACAGAGTCGGATGACGAAAGTAATATGGATGACTATGATTCAGGCAGTTACTGTTGTATGTCTGGAATGAGTGACCATAATTATGTTGTTAAAATATAATTAAAATTATATTTATTGACTGCGTTTTATTTCTTTTATATATACATAAAATAGCGAATTGTTCAATTTTATTTACTACCTGCCACTAGCACTCCGTCCTCTAACTAGGGGATTTTTGGGAATTCAGTTGTAAACGCTGGCAGCATTTCGTCGCATGACAGCAGTGCCGCGTCTGCGAGACTTCTTTCGTGAGACGAAGTCTAGTGTTCGCTCGCACGGTCTGCGTACAGATAAACCTTCTCCAGGTCATTCATTCCCACAGGATAGTCGGTGCACCATGGTACGTGAAGAATATCGACCTTAACGATGATCTAAACCAAAATTAACATTAACAACATGAAACTTAAAGAATGCATTTCATCTTCTGCATTATTTATCTTAAGAAAAAAACATTTGTATTGTATTGTACTCTCTCCCCTCTCTTTTTTAATATCTACTCTGAATACATATTGCGGATAATTTTAAAAACAGACAAAGGTGTATCAATTGGAGGTCGACTGGTATCAATCCTTAGATATGCAGAGGATACTACTCATTTTGCAACGTCACAAGGCGACGTAGAACGGTTTCTTTCGCTTCTGGAAATACCCAGTAACGACTTTAGCCTCGCCATAAGCCGTGATAAAACTAAAATGATGGTAGTGGACCGTAAAAATAACAATCGACCTCATTTACATGAAATAGTAAATTGCGAAGTTGTCCAGAGTTACATCTACCTGAGATCCACAATCACAAATACTGGAAATTGTGAGGATGAAATAAAAAAACGTTGTGCCGTGGCACGATTAGCCGTGCAAAGCTCACAAAAATTTGGAAAGATCATCGCACAACTGAAAACACCAAGGTTCGCTTAATGAGGTGCTTAATATTTTCTATTTTCCTATATGGACGATCCATCAAAAGTGTCGTAAAAAGATTGACGCCCCATGAGATGTGTTGCTGGAGATGCTTGCTGAGGATGAAATGGACTGCTCATCGCATTAATGTTTCCATCCTGAAAGAGCTCCAAATCAAACAAAGGCTTTTGTCGATTGTGCGTAAGGAATTGCGAATCCTTGATAATTTTGGACATATCATCCGCAATGAAAGGTCTTTGGAACGATAAATGGTTCAAAGAAGAGTAGACAGTTAATGCTCTCGCGGCCGATCACCCACAAGGTGGACAGACTAGATTAAGTCATCTACTAAGTGTTCCCTTATTGAATGTAAACGTACCGCCACATATAGAGAGAGATGGAGAAGCTTCGAAAAAGCCGTAACAAGGCAATAAAACATTCATAAACACGACCACTCCGCCAGAAGTGTACGACTGAGAAGAAGAATCTTAAGACAGTATCAGAACGCTACTTCGACAGAGCGACACGACACAATAACCTTATTATCATGGCCGCCGCGCATTACATATCCGACTTAGGCGATGGGGCAACACAAGGTCGCCATTGTCCTAAACATTTCTTGTCAGATCCCTCAGAAGCACTCTCGGTTGTTTTAAGCCCCTCAAGCACCCTTACCATCTTCGTTGAACTGACCTACACATCCGGGCGTAGCTGGAATAGATCCTTAGATCGTTGAGGCGGTGCGCCAGGTTCTCCTGGACTGGGTGAACCGCGACTGAGATCGTCTCACTTTTCGGTTCATGGACGTGCTCACTGGCCATGGGTGTTTCGGACGGTACCTATGCCACGTTGCCCGAAGGGAACTAACAATGATGTTCCACTTCACAGAATTATGGCTGCGACCAGGATACGGTGGAGGATGTGCCCGAGTACTGCCCCCCGTGGCTGGGTCAGCGCGTGTCCTCGTAGCACAAATAGGACTGACATCGGCAGCGAATGCCGATTGTCAAGGCTACGATGCTCGGTACTACTCGGTAGCGACAAGTCCTGGAAGGCGATGCTCGACTTCTGTGTGTCCACCATTTTATAGAAGCAGGCGGTGGAACGAGAGAGACATAGCTCATCCCTCTTCGCACCGACCCGTTGTCGCCAAGCTGGGGACAGGGAAGAGCTTTCGCTGGACTTTAGTCCCCGGTCGTCTCCGGGGCGTGTAAGGAGGCAGTTTCCTCTCGGTAATGATCAGAAGCTGAGATGAGAGGGTTGACGCTACGCCACGTGCTACCGTCAGCCTAGTGCTAGGAGGAAGGGTCTAAGGACGGTGAAAGCGAACGCGTTGCAATCAGGAAGATAAATGACCTGGCAGTCTGGTTCTGACCCAGCAGGATATCTCGAAAGTCCAGCAAGTGCGCCAACTATCCGTGGATGCCAGCGTTCTTTGTTGTCGACGATTGCCTCGTTGACCCGTCAAGTCTAGTTGTAGTGTTAACTGCGAGAACCCCCTACTCCGCCGGGTTCTGATCTCGGTTGTCAGGTTAAGAGTGCGACGGTAGGCGTTTGGTGGGTGGCCGTAAAATTATCTTTGGGCCTGCGGTCTGCTTCTAACATCTGCAGACAGTCAAGACCTACATACCCCGCATAACCTCTAGATGAAAAAATGTCGCAAGCGGTTTGGTCATTGTTCCAAAAAGAAAAAAGCTTATCGTTTTGATATGGAGGAAAGAAATGAGATAAAATGAGATGAAGTTAGTGTATTTGAGATTTCAATTAATTGGGATGAAATTAAGTGAAGCTAGATAAGATGAGGTGAAACAAAGTCTCAGTAAAATGGTGGTTGCTTAGTGAGACTTTTTAGAGGACTTTTTGAAATAGCTCGAGATGCTAACTATGTCTATCTTTTTATATATTTTTCTACATTTGGGAACTTTCACAGGTGTAAAACAAAAAATAAGCCATCACTATTACACATAAGCTGAAGAAACACTGAATTAACAAAATAAATCAAATCACAAAACTTTCCCTCCTCGCGTTTCCGCCAAATGTATTTATATATTCTTTCATAATGTATATTCGTATATTTATGGTTGTAGTATTAAGTGTTTAGTAAGAGAAGGACATAGATCCAAACTACCACTTTTTTGTTTCTATCGACTTCTTTTGTGTCTTCTTTCACTTATCTAATGATATAACACAAACACAACCTGTTTTGTCCATTCTTATTACATTTAATGTAAATCTGTGCTATTAAGACTTGTGTCACACGTGATTGCTTCTCAAATCGTCTTTCATTTCTTGACTGGAAAACATTAACTCCAATACAAAAAAATGATAAGTTCGTTTTGCGGAACGAGATTCGGACAACAATTTCAGTAATGCGAATGATTTTTATGTTTGTACAGAAATGGCTTAATTTTTTTTTATAAAGGAGATGAATTACCGTTCTATGATCCTTTTGCCTCTCATTAAAAGAAACTATAGAACTTTCCTCCATAGACGAAACTAACAACACTGGACACATTTCAATTTTTAGCACTTGTCAATTGTTTTTGGTTGTCTTTTTCTTTTTAGTTTCCGTCATCATTTGAACGGCTGTTAGGTTTGCTCTATTAACTTTATTTACGTAAAAATTCAATTTAATTGTATGAACCAACTTTTTTATTGTATTTAAATACAATTCAAATCTAAATTTTGGAATAATCAGGTTGGTAAATATTTAAAATTATTAGATGACAAGAAACACGTAGGTAGGTAGTTTAGAGATAACCTAGCTTAGGTTTGAAACTTTTGCTACCGCCTTTATTTTCGCTCAATTTTTTACATAATATGGTGATTAATTAATCCACAATTAAATATCGTTTCACGTTCATCGAATAATTTTTCATCATCAATTTATACTTAAAAATGCTTAAATGAGTACTAAGTAGTTTCATTTTAATATTTTAGCATGGCTGCTTTATTACACGAGAAGGTTTGGTTAGACCGGAATGTTTACAATGATGCTGAAAAAGCTTATTATGAATCTTTGTCGAAGGTAAGTTTTTAATAAAAAAAAATATTCATACATTTTTTCATCTGAGTAATTCTATAAATTATACTTTAAAGAATGGAGTTTGTCGATAGTTAACGTAATTCAATGATGATTTTGTAGGTCCAAGCACCATTATCGTTAGCTCGATCATCATTGGCCAGTGAAGTCGCAAAGGCTAGACAGCATATTAAAAATTCTTTAGAATGTGTGAGTAGATGTTGTTTTATTATATTTCACACATTGCTTCACACAAATCTATTAGATTTGTCACAGTATTTATTTGTCAAATATCTGTGTGTAAGGTTATTGTTTCAATAAGCAAAGACAAAGTTTTAATTTCTCATTTTTTATGTTATAACACAAATAAAAATCAGCTTATATGCAAGGTACTCTGTGACACAGAGAACATGTCCACTAGCTGCTTTTGCTTTAGATTTCAGGTTTATCAAATATGAGTATATTAGTGACAAGGTACTCTAACGTCATTAGAAAGCTAATATAGTTTTCTGCTTGTGTTAAAATAATCCGTTCAATCCACTTTGTATTTGAGAATGGCTAGATTACATTTTGCATAAGATCTACATTGAACTAATAAAATAAAGTGAAATTGAAATAAGTAAAACAATAAAATTTTGGCTCAGTTCATTTCATATAAAATAAAGGCAATAGAGGCCATTTTCAGTAGCAATTTTTGGCTTGGCTTTTTTGTGCTATGAAATATTAGAGAATCATTCTTGTTTATTTTACTGTAGAAAATTAGTATTGTAAATTAGTATACAACATTTATTTAAATTTATTGTCGTATTTCAATATGCCTATATAAACATGCTAATTAATTAATAGATTTTCATGTCGAGTAGTGCAATAGAGAGTATAGTATTCACTTTTTTTTTCAGATGGATAGTGTAGCAACTTTGGCGGGTGTTCCTAATACAGAGCTCAGTACTAAAGTCATCAGCTTAGAAAACGAAAACAAGGATTTGAAAAAGGCTATAGATGATTTACGTAATTTAGTCATCAGCCTGCAAGTCCGTGTTGAAACCTTGGAATCATCCAGCAGTATCACCTCTGATTGTATTCAAGTAAGCATTGAATTTATAAGGGTAATAATAGATTTGGGACATTAGTATTACATTTTTTTTTATCGCTTAGATAGGTAGCTCTGCTGACGAGCTCACAGCCCACCTGGTGTTAAGTGGTTACTGGAGCCCATAGACATCCACAACGTAAATGCGCCACCTACCTTGAGATATGGTTTCAGTATACAGTCAAAATCTGTTATAACGACATCGAAGGGACTGCTCATATTCAGTCGTAAAAACCGATAGTCGTAACAACCGGTGATGTTTAATGTGTATCGTGCAAGTACAAACAAATCGATAGGGAATTATTGGAAAAATATATTTATTCAACTATGTACATTTTGTTTATTACACATAAGTTCAATGCATATTATTTTTCTGTGAGCATAAAATTTGTAATTTTGGTCGGTTTGGAACACTTTGTTGTGCATAGATATTTTGTAATTCACGTTGGATTTTAATTAACGTATTGTCATAATTGCCGTGGATGTGGAACTGTTCATTAAAAAGAACAATCTTTCTTAATACACTAACAGCATTGATACCATCATTCAAAGTTGGTACAGTAACTGCATGCACGCGTTTTGTTTCTAAGAATTAGAAAAAACCCTACACTAAACCAAATCCTATTGTTTTCTTTCCTGATTTTAATAGCCATTGAAGACAAATGTGGATACCTATTCAAATTGTTTACAATACAGTTTAGCCGGTCGTTCTAACAGATCTAATTCTCCAAAATATTAGTTAAATGTGGTCGTTTTATGAGGTATGTCGTTATTAGCAATGTCGTATAAAGCAATGTTTTTAATAAGGCGGTCATATAGCATTTAGCCGGGACCTTTGTTATAGGTTATTATAACCGGCATGTTGTTCTAAACGATGTCGCAGTAAACGGTTTTGACTGTAGTTACAACAGTCGCCCCACCCTTTAAACCGAAACGCATTACTGTTTCACGGCAGAAATAGGCAGTATGGTGGTACCTACCCGTGCTGACTCAAGAGGCCCTACCACCATAATTACGCAAGTTATAATTTTGCGGGTTTCATTTTTATTACACGATGTTACTCCTTCACTGTGGAAGTCAATCGTGAACATTTGTTAAGTACGTATTTCATTAGAAAAATTGGTACCCGCCTGCGGGATCCGAACACCGGTGCTTCGCTAGATACGAATGCACCGGACGTCATGGGAGCCAACAAACTCTTCAAATGCATTTTGTACTGCATCTGCATACTGGAAAAAGTCTCTTTGAAGCTAACATTGAAAGCTACTGCAACTTAGCAGTTGATTGAATATTTTCAGCTTCCACTATCACCTTTAACGCGTCGTTGCTTACTTTAGTTTTCAGCGACCACAGGGTTGATTTTTTATCCATATCAGAAGCATTCAAACTTACAACGAGTTTTACGTTCGTTTGTGGTGTTCACTCTGTACACGTCATTAATGCTGTGAGCTGTATGTGCGGCGTTCTTACTGTGACAGATTTCTTATACTCGAATTTTATCTTGTAGATATTGATGATGATTGACTAACAATAAATAAATGACTGAATTTGAAAATATAATTCAATATAATAAAATTTATTTGAGCTTAGAATTTATTACCAGCATACATAAATTACATTACAAATTGCCAGTGTTGTGAAATGGCAACTTCATGGATTTTCATTGTATGATAAGCTGACATGAAATATATACCCTGTATATTCTGTAAATAGGGTGATCTATTTCAAGATTTGGAAGACAATGGGAAAGATTATATGCCAAAACATATGTGTTGCCAAACCATTAATTCCAAAGTTAAGTCTTAAAGTTAATTCCACTGCAGAGTTTCCAGAGTCTTATCAGCAAAATTGGCAATTTCAGGCATTTAATATTGTCTATTCTTAAATGTAAAATGCAATAATTTTAAATGTACAAAATACCTATTGCATTACTAAATATATTTGTCATTTACCTTTCAGGTGCAGTCAGAAAAACCTGCAGCAGCTTCTACTGATAAGGATGACGAAGATGATGATGTTGATTTGTTTGGTTCAGATGATGAAGAGGAGAGTGCTGAAGCAGCTAAGATAAAGGAAGAGCGTCTTGCTGCATATAATGCAAAGAAAGCTAAAAGTAGGCTATAAACATAATTCTTGCTCCTCTGTGCATCTACTGTGCATCTCTGTGCTGATCTGTTTCTAAAGTGACAGATTGGATACTGCTGTGCCCTGAGCTCAGTCACTTTGTAGGCATAACATTCTACACTTTCTGGGGTGTGGTCTGCATTCCAAAACTATTACATACATAATATTTAACATACATACTGAATACATTCATAATACAATGCTTAGATAAGAATGATTGTCATTCAGGTTTTCAGGCCAAGTACCATAACATACAATATCCCTTCAAGTTTCCAGTGCTTGTTGGCTACTTAAGCTTTTCTATGAATCTCATCATTCTTGATTACGATAGTAACATGTAAATCATATTTATGACCTTTAAAATTACCATTTTGCTGATATTAAGAATTTCTAAAAAATAATTAGACCATATTATGATAAATAGTATAAAAATATAGTATTAATAACCAATCTAAAAATAATTATTTCACAGAGCCAGTGCTAATTGCAAAGTCGAATATTATTCTGGATGTAAAGCCATGGGATGATGAGACTGATATGGCAGCCTTGGAACAAGCTGTAAGGTCAATCAGCACTGATGGCCTCTTGTGGGGTGCCGCTAAACTAGTGCCTTTGGCTTATGGTATCCATAAGCTGCAAATTTCCTGTGTTGTTGAAGATGATAAGGTTTCTATTGATTGGCTTACAGAGGAAATCGAGAAAAATGAAGACTATGTAAGTGTTCAGTGTACTATGAAAAAATAGTAATAATAAGTAGATGGCAGCTAATATCAAATATTGAGGCTTAAGTATTCACTGTAGTGCCTGTTATGAACTTGTATAGGGCAAGAAAGCCCTTATATTAATGCAGTTGTAACTGTCAACATGCTAAAATGAGGGAGGGGCTTTCTTTCTGAGCTCCAGTAACTTCTCACTATAAGTTTGTTTGCCGTTTTATTGAATAAAAAAAAAAATGAACACATAAGATCAGAGAGATTAATTTAAAATATTCTGACAATTTATAAAATTCACGGCTCTTTAATAGAATAGGGAACCAGATGATATTTGGAGTTATAATAAATGACTATCTTACTATGAATTATAATATGCTCATGTATAACGAATACCCACATATGACATCATGCATTTATATTGGTGAGAACCAATTGTTTACTGGTGGTAGGACCTTTTGTGAGTCCGCACGGGTAGGTACCACCACCCTGCCTATTGCTGTCGTGAAGCAGTAATGCGTTTCGGTTTGAAGGGTGGGGCAGCCGTTGTAACTATACTGAGACCTTAGAACTTATATCTCAAGGTGGGTCGCGCATTTACGTTGTGGATGTCTACGGGCTCCAGTAACCGCTTAACACCAGGTGGCCTGTGAGCTTGTCCACCCACTTAAGCAATAAAAAAAACATCTTATGTAAAGAACAGGTTTGAAAATAATGCGATGTTAGTATGGAAACATTAATGTTTAATATCTCACATTGTGACAGCAATGCTTCTTTTACTTAATATATATCATTTCATAATTACCTTTTACAAATTTTTGTTATTGGTATACTGTTACATGATATGAATAAATTAGGTTAAATGTCAATATTACCATTTGAAAATTGTAGAAAACTTTCTAGAAATTATTATTGAACTTAAAATATGATCTGTTCTACATTTATACTCTAGCATTTCGCATATGTTTTTTCCAGGTACAAAGTGTCGATATTGCTGCGTTCAACAAAGTCTAGCACAGAAATGTTAAATTAAATAAAGTGAAAACATTGTTTGAATAATTTTTTTTGTCTCCCAATCACGAAAATATCCTCAAAGATTTCTTGCCTTGCAATAAGAAATGGCCGTGGTCCGTTCTTAGACTGCTGATTTTTACAATCGAACACATAAATGTTTGCTTAACATCTGTTGGAGAATGTGGTGCGTTATGAGTCTTAAAGTAGGTAATTTGTTAAGGAAGTTTATTTGTAACAAAATTAAAAATACGATACACATTGTATTTTAAGTCTGTGGATCTTAAAAGAAAATAACATGTATAATCAGATGGACGGGTTTCGGCTTTCTTCGGAAATAGCTATTCATCTCGTAATTTTCTGCATATCTTTCTGCGTTTTTTCCCCTAATTGATATAGGATGTAATGAAGTGAATATATTTATTTATTTGTTGCAATTAATAAACGAACATTACGAAATAACTATAGAAAAACTATAGCCAAATATTAAAAAGTACCTACAGACAGATTCACAACAAATTTCCCCAACGGTTGTTTTTATTGGTAGACACTTAATTTTCAAAGATGTCTTTCTGATGAATAAACTTGAAATATTTTGTAGCTATCTCATTAATATTGCTAATATCAGTCTCTCTCACTCACTCCCTTGAATATATAATCTTGACCTTGGGCCAGAGAACATGCTCTTTGAGGAATGAGCATCTTAAGCTGCCTAAATCACGGCAGTCCGTCTGTAAATCATGTCAGTCAACTCCACTTCTTACTACCCGTATGAGAAGTGGAGTTTCTTCCTCACACGATCGCCAGGTAGGATTAGTTGCGAGGCCTAGCTTGTGCAAGAGTATTAGTGATCTACAGTGTCATTTTTAGGTCCTTGTTAGAATTCTTAGTTTTTTTTTTAAAACTGTGTCACGTTGAAAGCTTTGGTATACCGATTATGGCTTTCACATGCAGTTCTCATAGTTTATTTCCAGAGCGATCTGCTTTTAATGGGCGCTCAGGAGTTAATTCGGATGTTAGTAAGCTCTTAGGGAGCCCACAGGCAAGCTCAGGATCGATCAAAGGCCGAATTCCTGGCTAATTTATCCGCTATTTCCTTTATCTCTAAACCACTATGTCTCGGCTCTAACAAATGGGAAGCTTATTGCTGCTGACCAGCATTGGTCCATGCTGTTATGGTTTGCCATGCGTTCTGAAGTACCTAAGCGTAGGGTTGGTTGAACTGAGGCTAAAACTTTAATAGCCGTTTGTTCATTGGACTATCATCGTTTGTTCAGTAGAGATATCTATAATTTCAACTTTGAATTGGTTGAATTTACTAAAGTTATCTGTTATTCAGTTTTTTAGGATACCATTTAATTTAATAATGGATATGAGGTTTACAGTTGAGGTCGAGAAAAACATAACTTATTGCATACATATCTGTTTAAAAGCAATGTTTCTAAAAAGCCAACCTTATCTCCTATTTGTGTTGGAATATTAATTAATTAATTTAAAAAGTATACAGAGCAAAAAGGTGATTACAAAATATTTGTAGCTTAGACTACAGATTTCACAATTTACCATTAAACATGCCAAGACAATGGTTATTAAGTTTGAACATTTATCCTTCCGTACACACCTGTGTCGCTTTCACCAATCACTTAAATAATTCTGGGAAGTTAAATAATCGTCAGCGTTCTTATATCGAGGCGGCGCTCTGTAATGTACGAGATTTATCTCTAGATTGGCTATAAAGGACCGAGTGAAGTTCCCGCATTCCTTGAACATTACTAAGTATCTATCTATAGGTAGGTGTACATTGTATATTAACAACTTACGCCCGTGGTTGCTAGCCCCGACGGTCGTGGGTTCGATTTCCACATCGGGCAAAATTTTGTGTGGTGAACAGGTTTATATGCTCTCTACTGAGTGATTAGGTAATGTCCATATATGTATGTATAAACTTATGTAAGTTTGTATATCAGTGTTTGGTTCCAACAGTCTTTGGACAACCATCGTACCTATTTCTACGACAAATCATTCGCGCGTCTTGTTTAGCGGAGCTTATAGAAGTTATAGATATCAATAGCGCCATCTTATCCCACTCGGAGACTCCCTCGTACCAATATGTAGTGGATCTAGGATTTATTGTTACTGATCTTCAAATATATTAATAAATAATAACAGTAATAAGGTAGAAGTTTTGTTTTTGTAAATTGAAGACTTTTACAAAAAATGGTTTACTGCAAAATCAATTTCAATTTCATGAAATGTTCTGTCCTTAGAATGACGGAAGCTACAGATACCGATCAATAAAATATATTTTTTCACAATTAATTTCTGCCAATACTAGATATTTCAAGTATATTTATAAAATTTAACACTGCAACAGCTCCGAGGGCACATCTTGTATTATTTAATTCCTCTGTACTAAATCAATGCAATCGGTTGATACAGGCTGTTCCTTCCATTTAAAAGACATCAACGCGTGTACATCTTCTCTCGTGTGAGGAACCAACCAACAAAATCAGGACAGTGCTTTCAGAGAAAAATCCTAACTTCGCATTTCATTATTGGCAATTGCGTAAGATTGTGTAATCGGCACCCGATTGTTAGTTTTTGAATGATTTTGCTGTGGATACCTATCTATCTTCATCGATTATATTATGTACTATCGGCGCAGTCGTGGCTGTCAGGGCGTTCGTCGCCTCAGGCGGTGCCTTAGCGATTTTGTTTTGTACCACTTTCTCAAAGTTAGCAGTCTTACTTCTATGCGAGATTAATTATTATTTGTTTCTTGATTATTTAAGAATATTCATCTATTAAAGTTTATTGGATAAAAATGGGAGCCTTCCTTTCTGTGAAATTTGGTATGAATAAACAGTTTCGCAATTTAAAGTTTAACCGACTTAACGATTCGAAAATTTGTCTCTAATGTTACAAAAAGAAGAAGTAGTATTTTTTCGTAAGTTGCACTTGAGAGTGGACAGTGGGCAACGTCCTCGGACAGGAGGGCCAGCATAGCACGGGAGATAAATAGTTGATGTCGGTGCGTAGTGTCGGGCGCGGGTAGCGCGGGGAGTGCGGTGAGTGGCGGCGGCGGCGCGCGGAGGCTGCTGCGCTCAGAGCACCTGCGCCCGCGCTCCGTAGCGCCGCTCGTCGCGTGCTCGAGTACCCGCGCTCCGGCCCGCGCGCCGCGTGAACACGCCGCCCACGGTACGTGATACGTCGGGGTCGGTCGACAGCGCGTCCGCCACTGCGCTCGCCCGCACCACACCCGCGCCGCTTGCTGGCGCGCCGCGCGGTGCTACAACCGACCGGCCGGTTTTGTAATTTTGCCGGGCTGGCCGTGACGTCATGATACTAGTTTGACGTGCATGCGTGACGGCCTGTGCCAGGGCGCCTGCGCCGTCGCCGCCCCCGACCTTAGGACTAGTGCTATGACGTGCTTGCTTCGTTTCTAAGTTTAAACTTAAGTGACAGCGGCAATTAGACAAATTATCTGTCCTATTCATTTCCTTAGATGGATTCAATCGAGATTGCTTTGTTTATGTGGACTCATAGTATTTTATCAAGCTAATAAACGACAATTGATGATAATATACATAAGTTAATGGATGTGGTCGTTATTGTTTTAAATTAAAACATGTGTATCGTGAAGCGTATGTCGTGTAGCAATAGGGTATATGAAATGTTTGTTTGTGTGGGTAAATTGTGCGCGTCTGTGTAACGATGTGACCAACGGGCTTTAGCTGTATGTATGTGTGTGCGACTGCACACTGATACAGAACGCAGCTCAGCGGCACAGCCTTTTTGTAATTTTGTTTTTCCTCCTTCAGCGCGACCAAGCAATCAGGCACGACGCTCGCGGCTATACCTATGGTTATTTCTTCACAAACATGTGTATATATAATACATCTCTAAACAGTATAACTGGTTATAAACGAAAATATTAGTACACTTCCAAAGCTTTATTTAGTTTAATAGAATAGCACATTCAAATCGAAGAAGGTAATAAATTAACAATTGTGAAATTATATTAGTCTTGTCATATAAAGTCCGGTTTCCATATATTTAAGTACAAATTTTGATTGCCCCTACCGCTCTGTTAATTTTTTGGGGATTAAAAATTTCTTCTTCTAAGCAGTATGAAGATTTTTTCACCAACTTTGTTGGCCTTGTAACATTGCACTGCATCTGAAACACAACTGCAATATTCTTTGTTAGCTGCTTGGGTTCAATCGTTTGCCGTACTTCGAGGTTTTCTTTTACGGGAAACCTATTTGTTATATGTAGCGTTTTTTAGACAGTCAAAATCCTTGAGCTGTGTTTATATTATTAAGTTTGTGTAAGACAAGTTTGACGAGCACGTGTGTACAATGGCGTTATGACCAGTTTGTACCGTTTGGTGGTGAATCTCGACGCACAGGGTCGGAGCAGGGCTGCTGAACAAGTTCACTCGCTTGCCGGTCAGGTGCCACTCGATACTGGTTCTCTTCTAACTGGATTTGAAACAGCTGATGCATTGCCCTTGTCCTCACATAACGAATTTGTTTCGTTCATTTTAGATTCGAGTTGTACTCTGAAGTTTTTTTGATCTGTAGTTACGATTTTTACTGATTGGCCGAATTAAATTTTACTGTCTCAGTTTTTTTTTAAATATTTGCACAAGTAACCGATGTGATTTAGCAGTCTACATTTATTTATTTTTTAAGTTGTTGTGTGTCGTCGATTGATCGATCGTTAAGGATTTGAACTACATATGTTCCTTTCATACTAATTCCGATTAGATTATTTTTTTGTAATGGAAATGTTTTCTATCAATAAAATAGTTAAGCAAGCACGTTCAGCAATAAATTAATTCAAATAAATGTAATTAAAACGTTCGTAAACAGTGTAAAAAGGGATGGTATGTTTTACAGATTTTACTGATATCAAGTGTAGAGCGGGGTGCTCCTGAGAGGAGCCTCCGCCCGCACAAAGACGTCGCCCTTCGTAGTGAGACAGGGCGGGATGTCCGCGTCGCCACAGCACGCGGGCGCTTGCGACGAGCGGGCACGCACGCCCAAAGCTTGCGGCTCGCCCGCGTCCGCCCCTCGCTCACCGGCCCCCGCGCACGCTGTCCTAGCTACCATGACCCCGGTGCAACCCGCCCATGACTACTACCCTCATAAAGTAGAGATGGATTCCGATGATGGGTATCCTCCTGAGGCCCATTCGTATCGGCACTCGCCTCACGAACTAGCCGCCTATGCTACCGACAGTAAAGTGCCCGTTCAACCAGATGTTTACGAACAAGGCATGGAGTCAATAGATGAAAAAACTCCTATTGATCTGATTTATGAAGATGATAAGCAGACTGTAATATACACGACGACACCAGATCAAAAGCGCGTGGAGATGATCAGTGGGCAGCTTGAAGACGGTCAGCTGGTGAGCGGAGGAGGGCAACTGGTCGACGGTGGTGTCTCTGTTGTTGTGGGCGCTCCTGGACAACCACCCACGGTTCTGGTCTTAGCTGATCACATGGTCGATGAACTTGGTCAAGTTATCACCATTCCCAGGTAAGAATATTAATTAGTTACTCAAATTTTTTTTCTAATTTTACTGTCAATTCCAGTTTTAAATTAGATTTTTTATTTGTAACAATGAAACCGTCTTAAGATATTTTATAAACACGTTTTGTGGGTATCGTATTTTATTGCCTCGCTTTATGAGATGATATGGAAATATCTCGGTGTAACTGTCGCCAGGTGTTGCCGGTATTCGATAGTGGGAAATTCCAATCAAACTGTTTACTGATTCCATACCGGTTTCGTAAATAATATTAAGCTTTTCATTAATAATTTTCCAAGTGTGACAACTGTGCTAAATAACGAGAGTCTAGGGTTTTCGAAGGAAGTTCCTTGATATTTACAATAGTAGTTGATGTTTTACAATTATCAATCAATTTATTAGATACGAGTATGATTTAGCAGATTTGGAATTAACTGTGTAAACGAGTCTGTGTGTTGGAGGTTCTGTGTAACGGTTGCGATGTTAGGAGAGGCGCGTGTGGGCGAAGCGACGTGCTCACCTTGAACTTGCCGCGAGAACTGTCTCCGAGTCAACCTGCCTCTCGCTCGCATCGTTCTGCAACCTAGCATACTATTTTAATAAAATCGAGCTCAACGCTATCTTCCATTGAAGATCTCATCATCGAAAAAAAAAAAAAAAAAACATTATAGTTATGTTTTTCCTTGATTCTAACAACGTAGGCGGAAGACTGCTATAATGGCCCGCAATTACTTATAATTGATTCATCAAAAGAAACAAAACACGCTTGGATATTGTAACACATTCTTTGACCAAAACATTTTACTTTTTTTTATGCTTGTTTGAAATTCTCATTCGTATACTACAACTATTTTGTCGGTATGTGTATATGTAATTGGTTGCCATGGTAACGCGCGATCGCCTGCCGACAACTTAATGTGCACAAAAAGCAGCACCGTGCCTCTGCATGTCATTCATATCACATGACGTTGTCTTCTACACATGTATGTAGTAAAATTAGTTACGTCTGCTTCGGTGCTCGGACGAGTTTAACAAGTTGTTTCTAGTTTATGTGCATTAGAGGTGGGAGTAGGCGCTAATCTGATTGTGCTGAAAAAATTAACGATTATAGTCGTGTTATGTAAATAATTGTCGTTTTTAAATACACTTCGACTGGAACGATGCGAAAAGATGATGGTTTGGGCATTTTTTTAAATTTCAAATTTGGGCATTTTAACTCTCAAACATTCCTTGCAGTTGTTTTAACATGTTATTCAAATGTATAATTTGTTGAAATAAATCATAATGAATCATTTTAAATCAAAACCACAAGTCACGGGCTGATCTTTTTGTTATTATTTGAAACCACCTTTCGTTTGTGTTGCCTCCGGAAAATGTACAGTACTAATTTTAAAAAAGTATATTGGAGTGATTATTTTAGGTGGGTAGACTAGCTCATGACAGACCTGCTATTAAATGGTCATAGGCAGCTACAGAGATTTAAAACGTGAATACCGGCACCCACCTTCGTAAGCTTAAAGATTCAATGGTTGTTTAATAGCCACCCCACCCTTCAAACCGGCACATTTAATTTCTTGGCGGCATAAATTCCTAAGTAAGTAATACCCATGAATACGGCTCTCATATGTCCCACCATTTGTAAGCTCCTGTTAGCAATCGCAGTATGCTAACACAATACACAAGAGAACGCTACCGCCCGTTCTCTGATGAATCCCTTAGTTGTTTTTTTATATATTTTTTTATTGCTTAGATGGATGGACGAGCTCACAGCCCACCTGGTGTTAAGTGGTTACTGGAACCCATAGTCATCTACGACGTAAATGCGCCACCCACCTTGAGATAAAAGTTCTAAGGTTAGTTATCCGTATAATTGATATATACTCCGTATAGTTACAACGACTGCCCCACCCTTCAAACCAAAACGCATTACTGCTTCACGGCAGAAATAGGCGGGGTGGTGGTACCTACCCGCGCGGACTCACAAGAGATCGTACCATCAGTTTTATGACACTAATGGGCGTAGTAGTTTATATTACAAAGTCAAAATTATATTTGAAGGTTTTTTTAAAAAACCAAGAATTTAGATGCTAGATCGGTAATTCGTTAATATATTCTATAATAGTTGACGTCCTTTTTTAATTGATTCGAATAGGAAGATGAGCCAACATTCAGACGCGAGATTACAGTTTTCACAGATTATATAAGTTCTATACTTATTTTATTGATTTTAAGGCTCATTTACTCTATAGTTCAAGTTATAATCTATTTTCAAAGCCTAAGGTGGCAATAAAATTGTCAATGTTTGAAGTAAACAAAATCAATCATAAAAGCATAAATATGTTTAGATTGGTTTTACTTATTTTTTCCGCAATGTATATTCCGCAATAATATTAGTCCGCAATGAAATGGGAGGTGAAATTGCCTAATATATATTCCCCAATTGGTTATAAAACAGAATGAAGAATACGACAAGAAACAAAACAAAAACAAAAGATCTCGTGTTTTTTTAAATATTCAACAAATGAAATAACATGCATCGAACAAAAACTAGATAGTATTTGTATCAATAAAAACTTTAGGCAAAGTTGACTCTCCGTAATCTTGCCACAGCTAAAATTACTAACGATAATCAATTCAACTATTCCAACAGTCTATCTATATAATATATATGTGTTATCTCTATCCACGACCAGTTTCGGAATAAATTAAGAGAATGATCTTGAAAAAGACGCGGCCAACTAACTTTAAAGACACCACACTGTGGGATCGAGATCGTTTGAGACATTTTACAATATTTATCTATCGAGGTTGCTCATTTTTTGAATTAAAATAATCGTTTTCTTTCTAGTTCTATAAAGATTTTACTGTGGAACAGCCACCCGTTCCTTTATGAACGATGAAAAGCCAATATGAGTTGAGGTTTTGACCTCATGTCTTACGGGGGATGGCGGCGTTCACGTTCTAATGTCTACGAACTTCGGTAACCATTTAATCTTAATTGAGCCCTGAACTAGTTCACCATTTAGAGTTTTAAAATAAAAACATTACGATTTTCGTTCGAACGGTTCATAATAAAGAAAAACTTAAGAAAGTTACGTGAAAATCGACAATTTAAACATAAATAATTTAAGTGAAACGGCTACCACTCCCTCTTATCACCCGAGCCCTAAGCAATAAAAATCATGAACAAAAACTGTAAAAATTTAAAATTTATAAATCATTGTATTTAATAAGTAAAAGGAATAAATATATCGCATCGAGCTGTTTATCTGAACGCTGTATGTTATTGGAGTGGGTGCGCCGCGGTGTCGCTACGTTAATATAAAATTCATAATTGAAGATTTTTTGCTCCGATGATATATGGAACGTCGTTAATTTTTTACGGCGCCAATTTTGTTTTTAGCCAACAACTCGCCGTCCGTCGTACGAAAAAGTTTTTTTAATGAAATTCGCTAATCTATTGAACGTTATTTTCTAACTAACAATTGAAATAATAATAGTAAGATGCATCATTAAAATATTAATAAGCCGTAAGAACAAACGATATACAGAGTGAGGGAGAGAGAGAGAGAGAGAGAGAGAGAGAGAGAGAGAGACAGATAGAAAGAGAGAGATGGCTATATTAATTCTTAAATAGTATACACTTATAAGGCTGCAATGATGTTATGCTTGTATACCTACTATTGTTTATATTGAGAGATTTTAACTTGAAGAGTTCCGAGTAAAATAAGAAAATAATCTCGATATGGATTGGTAAGTGATAAAAACTCGGCTGAATCGTTTAGGACTCGGCCGGGAGGCTGCGCAGGGCCTCACCCGCCGCGCTGAGACCACTTTAATGATGACTTTTTGTTGTGACGCGGCGCAAGATGAAGGCGATGCGCGTATATGTATATACTAGAAGCCCACAATACTCATTTATGACGATTTCCTTTGATGTTCATTCTAATTTAATCAGTTGAATTATTTGCAGGAAAGGAATTAGTCAAATTAAAAAAAAAAACTCTGATGTATATTTTGCGATATAAATTAACTCTAACATTCCTTCGACTCGTAGTTATATTATAGTAATATACATGTAGTTTCATTTAATTCGAATTATAATACGCAAAACTATTATAATTCCTATAGGAAAGAGGTTTTAGTTAATTTCGAAAGGTCGCTCCTCAGTTTCCGGGTGTACCTATTTAAGACATATTTCACTGAAATTTATGTAGCCTATATCAATGGATGATTTATATGTTGTACAGATGAAATACATATAATATATATCGTATTTTTTTCGGTTTTCACGTGTTGTAGATATGATTAAAACAATTTTTACGTTTAATGCGTGAGATTAGACCGTGAACGTTGTTTTAATTCGAGATATATCGCTACAGCGTGTAGTTTACGTGTTGCGAGTGAGACGACAGACTGCGCCCCTCTGCCCCCGCACTCCGCTGCCTTGTTTTATTGCCTCGCGCTGGCTCTGCGCCCTCGAGATGAGCTTACCATCGCTCGCCCTCGCCTCAACCAATATTAAGTACATGTAATTATTTGGCTGGCGTACGTGGTTTTTTTTTGGAAAATTTCACCCGCGATTTGCCTTTTTATAAATTCACGTCAGCTTCTCGTGACACGCGATATATCTTTAATTTGATTTTTAATTTCAAGGACATGAAATGTTGCATTCACTTTGTATAAATATCAAAAGTTTTTTTTTTGTTTCATTTTAATGTTTCTCGATCGCGTTGTCACAAAAAGAGTCTGTCGATTCAAAGCGACAGATGCAGGTTTTAATAGATTCAGTGATTTTCCAGCGCACAAGTAAATTATGTAAATAAGCTTGCTTATATACAATAAATTAGTGTGACGAAATTTACCGAAACATATTAAAAATTCGCTCCACTAAATTATGTACTTTTGTCAATTATAAAAATTAAATTACGCAACACACATATACTATATGACATCTGTAATATTTAAACGGGCAAAAGCTGTAAATTTTACTTGTGTATCACTTTTA